ACTTGCTATATCCAAAGGTATACCAACAATCCGGGAAGATTTCACCGCAGAAGCGATGTCACGTCTCATACCGGGATTTGATGTGACTGCTAAGTAGATTTATGTCTTTCCCATTGGCCGTGTGCAGCATCGGTGAACTAAATGTTGTTGTGCTGTACTGCATGTGCAGGCTTCATCTACTACCTCGACCCTACACCGAGCACACAACAAGCTTTACGAGGAGCTCGACGGGAGCCGACTGATTTTGCGATGGCCTAGCGAATGCTTCGGATTTACAATCTCTTATCGACGAAGCGGTTTCAATGTACTCCGATATTACTGCGGGACTTTCTCGGGTCGCACCCAATACTGGCTAAGGAAATTCCATCTCTGGGGCAGCCTGTCAACACTCTGTGACTAACCATTTGCTGGAGGTACGATTACCGCCTCCTTTGTCTCTCATGCCCATCTCTGCTACTCGTAGTAGTTTTCGAGTTTCATACTGTGTGCGTCTCTGGGAAAAGCTTTGGAATAAAGCCAACCTGCAGCCTACGCCAAGGCTCGCACATCCGCCTGCCACTCTATGCTCAAATCGCTGATGTCTCTCGGACCTGGGGTAATTTCTAGAACCTGAAATGGAGTCACTGAATTAATCTGCGCATCACCTCCCTCCCACAATCTCGCCCGCTCCATGAACGCCTCAACTGTAGGATAGTGTTCGGTAAGCTTGATGAGCCTCTCCGTGTAGAGGTTGAAAAAGTAGTACTGGGTGGGGTCTTCGCCAGTTCTGATGACGGTTAAGAATGTCCTGCTCTTGTACATGACGAAGAATATATCGCCATGGACGTTGAATAGGGCTTCGAGGATGAGGTTGGAGTCAATACGTCCTCGTACGCAAGGATAGAGGTTATAGCGACCGCAAAAACTGTGCCAGGCGCAGCTCCACCCGAATGGAAGATCCGAGGAGCCGGTATACAGGCGGTGATTGGGGACTCTGAAATCAATTTCCTTCTCGGTCTTTCGGGATAAACATAAGTAATGGGCGTGTGCAAGGCTGAGTGGGAAAGTAAACGTACAAGCATTGCGATGCACTGATGCAGGTGATGGTTAGACGTCAAAATACGAAATATGTTCGAGTGATCTTCGATCAGAGTTGAATAGTTTTAATCTGTTCTGTGATAGCCGTCGACCTTCTGCATCTGGATCCATCCCCAGTTTTTTCCGAAGAATGAGGAAACGACAGAGGGTTACAGCAGGGGCTAACTGGTCGTAAGTAGCGCAAAACTGTCTGGACAGGGGCTATACTCGGGGTCGGCTTAAGTGGCGAGCGTGCGGCACGCAACGGCTCATTTGCCGAGCTATTGCCGCTGTGGCTGAGACTCTCTTTCCAGATACTGCCTATTGGTCGGGTCGATAGCGTGGCAGATGTCCTTTCACCTGACAGCCCCGCTCAGCGGGTTATCGAAAATCTGCCTCAGCTATTGCTCTGCATTGTCCTGATTCTGTCGTGGTATGATATTGTGTTGGATATACAGTGAAAGAGAATTCCCTGTATACGAACCTGTGAATTAAAATGATCTTTATTTTGTTACGGCTGGTCAGTGGTAAATCGTCAGAGAGGCTTATCAAGTTTACGGAGCACTATCCAACGCTCGAGGCTTTTATGGAAGGGGCAGGATTGTGGGTTGGAGACGATACGCAAATTTAAGTGTAATCCGGGGCCGACAGACTGATAACAAGTATGGAGGTGCGACCAGGGAGTCGGAAAATGGTGAAACGTGCTGGCACAGCCACTGACGTGACGCGTCTATTTGCGTCTGTTGTTTTGTCCTCTCCTTTCCTACCACGACGACGGTGATCGGGCCTGTTGAATTTAATACTCGTTTCACTCACGTTCCGTATGCTGTTTATTCTTCTGCAAATGCTAGACTCTCTTACAATGTTTTCGATGACTAAAAGAAGGAACAGACTTCTCGGAAAAAATTCCCGGTGTAGGGCTTGATGATATTGTGAAGGGTACGTGTCTGTGCTGGCTTGCATGTGCACTATACTGACCAATCCGTTTCCATAGTCGCTACTCCGTGTAAAATGGAACCGAAGCTTGTCACCAGCAATCTCGATTCTCGAGAGACGGCGGACAAGGTCCAAGCGGTGTTGATCCATATCGAATGTACAACTGGGCATAGAAGAATGGTTGAGACGAACCACTTATTAGAGGTCCGCCATAGGAGCAGATATCATTGGGATCTTCACTAATCTCCCTACAGATATTTCTTTCTCCCGAAGGTCTAATGTCGAACTGGTGTTAGTAACTCCTGTACGTCATCCGTCAAGGACGAGCAGGACCCGGATGCGAAAAGACACAGTTATGGCAAATTTCGATATCTAAAGTAATGTTATCGTGTAATTCTCTCTCGAAGCAAGTGCTGATCTTTTAAAATTCTAGCGGGCCTCTCGAACATTAGCTGTCACGGTATCAGTTGGCTAGGTCTGAGCTTTGATGTGAAGCCCGCGGTGGAGTACGCGCGGAGTATTTCAAAAAATACCGGTTCTAAAATCCCAGAATAGGCTGTAATTTAATCATCTCCGCAACTATGACGAGTTGGACGGTAGGATGCTTTTGGTAAACCGTTTTCATTTTCAATTCATTTTCTGATTCCTTTCATTTAGGCTGCTGTACATTGGTATTATTCAACAGAGAGGAAGGCGGTGGCATCACGTCGTCCCAAGGTATGGATCGTTGTTTTGTCCGTCGAGCGTCGACCAATCCTATCGTTGCATGCTGACTTTTGACTTATAGTACTGCATCCGCCCGACTTTAGTTCAATGAAACTCCAGGAAAGGCCGTATTTCAGAGACTTGCTCCCCGTACTGTTCGACATTAAAGTGAAGATCCCGTGTGTCGAAGGCGCAGAGACTCCGCCGTAGCCGAAGTGTGCAAATATCGAAGGAAGAAGGCGGCCAAGCACGGAGGTATGGACGAGTGATCCTGTGTCAATTATATCATGCTAATATCCTTACAGCTCATTACTCGTGGCGCTGAAGCTTCGAAGAGAAGCGCAACTTGTGGTTCTACGTTGCAGAGAACGCCTTCGTCTTTGTGCAAAACTTAGGTAGGTCCATTGTCCATCTTCATTTTCCGGCTTATCAATACTCTTCATCGTTTAGGTTACTTTCACCTGTGCCGCACCCATGCTAGATATGGAATCGCACCATGGACCCGGTTATTCTTTATTGGGACTTTGCTTGGTACTACCACCAGTACCATCTTGCCGAGCGCTGACTTTCTAGAATGGCTATGAGAAACCGCGCCAAAATATGCGCCAACACTTCCGCAGCTCTTCTCTTGCATTGATCAGACCTAAGGTCGGATCGCTACATCAATGGCCGTCAGCAGGAGAGCTTGGTAACCTTCTTCAAGTTTGGTAAGCTTATCGTCCATCCTCCTTTCTTGTGGGTCCTTAACTCTGTTAAAGGTACAACTGTGGTACTGAAGTCCGTATCCATCCATCGTCATTTTCCTTATTTCGTGATTACGTCGGAGCGAATGTCAAGGGCTTCCCATTCAGGCAAGATGTCTGTTGACAGCAGATTCGTAGACCTCGATGTTTTGGCCGTTTTATTGTTCCGATGTTGTCCTGTTTGTTCAGGTCTTCCTGTCCTCGACCCCTTCTGTAGATGATGTCACATCGGGGGGGGGGGGGACTTCCCCCACGCACTTCTGCCCCGCGTTTTATGGAGACGACCTTTTGGCAGATGAGATCATGTTCAACCAAAGTGGCAGATCGTCAAGGGTATAATGAGGATAGTGCATAATCGCTTATCACAAATGAAGATCACCCCTTCCACAATGCATCCGAGATCCCCTTGGAACTCCACCACCGACAGGTATACAGCTCTTAATCAGGCCGTATTCCAAACGTGAGTGTCGGGTTGTTTCGCCTTTATTAAATGCTGACGTGACGCAGCTAGACATGCCTGTCTCCGAACCCGCGCATCTTTCGAACATCACCCCCACCCATTTTCCTCAAGTAGTGTGTCTACAGGGTCCATCACCTATAGCGCTTCTCCCCGTGTCGTGCGCCATAGATGGCCTCATTGCCAAGGATTTTTCTTGGAAATTACCTTGGCATATGCACGACCCTCTTCCAAGCCTGATCACCACCCGTATGCTCCTCGACCGGAGCATTGGCTGAGCGACACCACTCGTAACGCCGCTTCCTGTTTCGTGTTGTAGACGGCTTCATATCTCCAAGCAGTTTCTACGACAGCTGCCTTAGCGTCACCGGAGGTGTTTGCTTCGACGTATATCATTGCCAGCCATGAACGACCGCCCGCTAAATGCACAACTCCGAGAATTCACCGAGATGTGTTCGTCATGGATACATTCTCGCGCACGTGTGAAGGACTGGCTGGGATCGGTCAATCAGCATACGCGCAGTCGACATCGTTCATGAAAGTGAGGCGGCCGCCACGTCAGATAATTTTACGATTTGCGGAGTTGAGTACCCAGAGCAAGTACAAGAAGGATAATAGTTGCTTGCATTGGCGCCGTGAACAGCTTGCGGAGGTCGCATGAAGACGACAGGGATAGCTTGGTCACCGAAACAGTCTGGGACTGAGGGTCTGGAAGGCACCCCGTTTGTTGGTTAGCATATGCCATCTACGATGTTGCCTCTATCGCCTCCTCCTCGAGATCCCACGCAAGTTCTAACTCTCTGACTGAAACTCGCCCTGCCTTTACTTCCGCAGGTGCAAATGGGGTCACCGAATATATCTGCTCGTCTCCATTAATCCAAAGCGTCGCCCGTTCCATAAACGCCTCCAGCGTCGGATATTTCTTCGTGAACTTGTAAAGCTTATCTGTATCAAAGTTGAACAAGTAGTATTGTCTTGTGTCGTCGCCGCATCGAAGAATAGTCGTATACGACCCGACCTTGTACATGACGAAGAAGATATCGCCATAAATGCTGTAGCATCCTTCCAAGACAGCATTTTGTCTGATGCGCCCGTTGATGCAGGGTGCTAGTATAAAATCAATCTGGCCCAGTCGCAGCTCCACCCGAGTGGGACATTGGAGCGGCCTGTGTTCAAGTGGTGATTTGGTTTCGAGAAATCGATTGTCAGTTCGGTCTGAGTTCATGATAAATGTGAGCGATGGATATGGATGGGACGACGGTGTAACGTCGACTCACAGTCATTGGCCAAGTCAGCATGACCGGAGCTTGAAATTATGCACATCGGTTGACGGTCAGGCGGGTCGAGGTTTCTCAATATTCAATATCAAACCGATCATGTCTCGTCTGACTTCGGCACGAACTTCAAGTCCTTCAGCGTTCCTTTAGGTGATAGAAGTGTGCGGGATGAATACTCGACGACTGTCAAAGTATGGAATCCTTGCGATTACCCCACCTAAATGTACGCTAACGCTTCCGCAGATATCAGGTCTATGGTCAGGTCGGCACATGGGGAAAACCTGGTAATCATTTTCTAAACTTAATATGCATATCTTCCATTCGCCTTTCATTGTATCAGCTTTGAACTCCGTTCAGATAACACTGCGGTGACGACTAAAATGACGTCTTTTCGACAAGGCTCGCGTCCAGAACGTGGTTTCCCTCTCTCACGGCAGGTTTCGTTACTCGGCCGTTGCACATCTGGAGCTGCATCTCTGTAACGCCTGAGAGGTTTTCCTAGTGTCCTCCTACGTCGAGAAGTCCAGCGAACACCTGATGACAGGACTCACACCGAACCGAAATACCATATCATCCAGGCCCCAACGAGAGTGGTACTCAATCATTCTTCTCCAATAAAGAACAGTCCGTCCAAATCCAATCGAGGAAATCAAGGCCCCCTTGAGGTTGAACCACCGGCATTGATGCAGCTCTTAATCAAGCAACCTTTCTCGTGACAAGAGTGAGTATCTAAGTTCTTTCGTCTTTATTAAGTGCTGACGAGTATAGTCATAGACACATCGGGGATTGCGTCTCTTCCGGAAGGATCCCCACCTGTATACCTATCAGAGCCTCTGGGAAGGGCTCATATTCCCGAACATTTTCCTCGAGAAATAATACCTTGGCATCTGCGGAGATATTTTCTTCGACATGTATCATCTCATCGCATGTCTGTGGGGCCATAGATCCGGCACGCATTCAAAGCATTTCTCCGCGAATTTACCGAAACGTATTCGTCATCAGACGCTTTTAGACGCCGTGAAGGATTGGAAGGGTCCGGTCAATCAGGAGACGCAGCGGACGACATCTTTCCTCAGGCGAGGTGGAAGTTATCTCGGATAATTCCCGCGAGTTGTGTGCGGAGACCAGAGCTCAGAAGGAAGCGGAACAAACGTAGTTGGCCGCGGTCAAATCTTCGATTATCATTTCATCACTATGACGGCTCTTCGTCCTTCACCTTGAACTCATCCCCTCGATCTCGTGGCCTTCATAGTACAGCGGAAACGTCTTTCAGCGTCACAGGCATCATGCCCGATTACCTGTTCCAACAAGAAGGCATTGACGGAAGTGAACGCGATCGTGAACTCGTATAACCACCTTGTGCCGCAGACCTGAACTTTTGGTTCTCACTCCGCGTCTGAAGTCGAGTTTGCTGCTTAGGACAAGCCGGGGATGCATCATGTTCAATGGACCCACTGGAATTTCTCACTACCACTCTGTCACAAAAGAATCCAAGCTCAACGTCCTCGTCGTCATCTCCACTCTCATAATCCTTAATGCTCACAAGCCTGTACCATTCCGCTTCCTTCTCTTCGTAGACGAGTTATCAAACACGCCCGTCTTCTTTCCTACCACAAGTGTCGGTGGCAAGGTTCCAGGCATCCATTTCCTGACCGCGTCGCTCGATAAGTCATCGATCGAAGCATACCCCGTGGTAAACTCATAAAGCGGCCTGTTGGAGAGGTCCCAGACGTAAAATCGCCCTGAACAAAGGAAGACCATGAGGTCGTGATAGAACATGATGGCATTGACGGTGCCACGGGGCATATCGTAGATCCCTTCTAGCTCAATATTGAAATATGTGAGGCCATCGATGGCACGAGGGAAAAACGTCCCGTTCCCCAAGAGCATGTTCCGGTCGCATCGCCAGCCGATGGGTAGCCAGCCATGTTCGCGGAAGAAATAGCGCATGTCAGACATTACAGAAATCCGGTCCAGTATATGATGTTAGTTATGGTGGAACACTCTAGTGCTTTTGCCCACGATATCATTAGGATCCATGGGATGTACGGTAACGATGATGAACTTCGAGATGATTCTCAACGTCAACGGTGTATCGATCGAAGCGGGGATACATTTCGGATTGATGGTGCTAGCCGGCTATGGTATCTCCGCAAAAGCAAGATATCAATTTACGTGGTGATCTAGCTTGTTTCTGATTCTTCAGATGGCGACCATAACAATGCGTGCGTACTCAATATTGTGCTAGGACATCGCCTCCTCCTCGAGATCCCATGCATCTTCCAACTCTTTAGGCGGGATTGGCCCTGGCTTTGTCTCCACGGCCGCAAAAGGGGTCACCGAATAGATCTGCGCGTCTCCATTGATCCAAAGCGCCGCCCGTTCCATAAACGCCTCCAGCGTCGGATATCTTTCTGTGAACTTGTAAAGATTGTCCATGTCGAGGTTGAACAAGTAATATTGCCCCGTGTCGTTGCCACATCTGATGATGGTCGTATACGTCCCAACCTTGTACATGACGAAGAATATTTCGCCAAAGATGCTATAATATCCTTCCAATATAGCGTTTTCTCTGATGCGTCCATTGATGCAGGGTGCTAGCAAATCACTACCTTCGAATCTGGCCCAGTCGCAGCTCCACCCGAGTGGGATGTTGGAGCGGTTTGTATTTAAACGGTGATTTGGTTTGGTAAAGTCGATTGTTAGCTCGTCCTGGGTTCGCAACAGATGTAAGGGACAAGACTAGTTTGTTGGTTACCATACTCACCGTCATCATGAAAGATAAATACTGCCTTTTTGTATCGATGCGCTTAGAGCGAATGGTGGGCATAGGGGCCATTGAATGACGACCGACGATGCGTCATACGATACACCATGATGTCACTAGAAGGTCGGTATAAAACTATAAATAGACGGCCATGGCTGACTCATACTGTCGACCGACACTGTTCCCGACAATGGTCACAAAGGCATTATTTCCGGTTGTGATTCCTACAGATCCTCTTCATACAGTCCAAAGGACTGTAAGCACACAGGGTAACAGAGTCGCGTTGAGCAATTTCCCCCGAAATTTCCACCAGATAGTCAGGTTTACTATACCAGCACATTTCAATTACTCACTTGAATACAATTTGAAGACGACATAACGAAGAGGGAAGCCGTCTCAATCTGATATCCATCAGATCATTTGAAAGACTCAAAACCGTCGCTAAAACTAAATATCATATTCAAGAGAAAAAAACTTGCATGACTTTGAATCCCTGCATCTCTCCGCCTTATAATGAATCCCTCCCACAGGATGAGTATCAGAAGGGAAAATAGATCGAGTGGGTAATCTGTGTTGTTCCCTGGAGATAAGGGTGGTAGTGTAAACACTTTCAACCAATCGGAACTGGCATCTCATCTCATTTCATCATTACATGGCATGGTACCTTTAGGCACGCCGGACGCAAGGATACAAGTAACGCGTAACTGCACTAACTAATGAACGCCTTTCTTCTGTCATGATTGCGGCTAACACCCATCTGCATCAGGGTTTGAAAGATCAACACGAAGCTCAAGCTCAAACTTGATCAGTGAAATACTGTCAGGCATTCTTTTGTGGCGTTGAGCGTATCCCACCGACGAACTGTTCCTTGCTGGCTATTCTGATATTTAAATGCTTGGCGGATCTCATCACGGGTTCATATCTCAATGGCGGTGTATTATTCGTCTCCCAGACCACTGATGGACCGTATGTTTCTCCCACGAGTTGGATACATATATAGGACATCAATGGTATCTTTTCGTTCTCTCCATAGTCGCATATTGCAAGGTCTCGCTTCTAAGTACTCGGAAGGCCCTCAGGTGAGGCGAAGATGCTACTCCTTATTGTTTTGTGAGTCATTTCTCCCTACCTACGTAGGCGCTAAAACTTCAGGGCCGTAGATCTTGCCTCAAGTTCGCTATTTCATACGGCTTTCGTTTTGACGGTTACCCGGGTATTGTGACCATCGGGATACCTATAACGGTATCCTGGCATCGCGATAACGAAACGGGCGATATCCGTTTCGACGGAGTCAGCAACTCTCAAGGTTCTTCACAAGGGGACATAATCTTAGAAGGTGATGCCAGTCAACTTCATGGGACGCTGAATGTGACTTTTCCTTCACCGGGGTGGGCCCAGAGTCTCTTTCCAAAGCGTATCCCCACTCATAGTTTGCTGAACACAGCCAATACACCATTAGAGCAATAAACAACCAAACAAATACCGTAGTTGCTGTTACCCAGATCTATGCTCCACCCAATGTGTCCTTGACTGCTGTGAATCCATCACCCAGGTCTGTATTCGCACATTATAGCACTTCTTGGATGTCGTTCAATATCCGTGTTTCAGTAGTTCCTCCGAAACATCAGTACAAAGTGCGAAAATTACTGCAAGTGACCCACCGTGCGTGTCCTCAGAATAATTTTGGCATGGTCAATAGATCTGACTTGATTGTAGGAAGTCAGATTCGACAGATCAAGGTCATAATCGAAAACACGAAAGATCCATCATTATTGGCGCAGTAACAGGATCGGTGGTATCCTTGATGCTTATTCTGGGATGCGGCACGATTCTCTTCATACGCCGGCGGAAGCACCGAAGCTTGAAGCACCGTATATCACCAAACCCTAAGATAATATTTGAGCGACAATCAATATGGTCGCCGCATTCTCCGCCACCTGGCGCAATGAGCAAAGAAAATGGCGTAACCATCTCTCCCATGTTTGCGGGCGAGATGGTACAGTCATCGACCAACTTGCAGGAGGGACACTTGAGAATGGCTGATAGAGATCTGGAGGGAAGTCCAACTGAAGATGAGAGACAACGGAGGGACGACATCGGCACAGTTTTTGCTCCTTTGCCTGTCGGACCCTCTGAACCCAGAGAACCCCAGATACGCAGAAGCACACAACAAGTGGGACCTCAAACTTCCACCGAAGAAGAGGGTCCGCAGGCGGACACTGCCGCATTGGGTGATGTCACAGGAGAAATTCTGAGATTGAGGACACAGGTTTGGCAACTCCTTGTACGTGAATCAGAAAGGGCTCAAGGTAATTCCTTTGATTCGCCGCCAGCCTACGCGTAAAGAACATTTACCATGACTGTACGAACGGAACCGATACCGGTTCGATTTGAAGATAGATGGCGGTGTAGGGCCAATAGTTAGTGTTGATTTCTTATACGAGACGCTATATATCTTGTGGACAGTTAGCGAGCGGGTGGGTTGTAAATTGTTTTGCATAGATCAAGTACTGCTAGTGCACATCCTTTCGCTCAATTGCAATGTGACGTTGCCGAGCCAATGAAATTCCTTCACATTGACCGTTAGGCTAATCAGAGAAGAGAAGAGAGAAGAACAAGCGCGTGTGGCAACTTGCCTGGCTACCACGTCCTGACTGCATTGTGCAAGAGGAAGACATCGATGGAAGGAAGCGCAACCACCTACTCATGCGAAATATTATGATAATCTCTCACACGTCGAATTTGCTCGAGTAGAGAAAGACCAAGAAAACGTCGTAGAACATGACGGAGAATAGTGCCGTATATATCACAGATACCGTCGAGGTCGATTCAGATACTCAAGAGGGCTATACGACCAAAGACGAGATAGCTGAATAGACTCCCCCAGTCGCATTTCTAGCTGGTAGTTATCTTATTATTGTCGAAGAAGGTGATATTTCCACTTGTCTCCGCTGAGCGATGTATCTAGTATGCGGCCAAAATAAATCAAAGTAACATCAGTGAGTAAGAAAACAAATTGCATGCTGCAAGCGACTGGCCAGCAGAAATACCTAGTAGTTAATCTGAGGGCATAAAGCCCTGTTAGCCATAATAGGCACAGAATCCTTGTTGATAAAAGCGTATAATACCTAGAAGCGAAGATCAGCGAAACAGTGAACATTGGTTACGAGAGGACTTACGATTTTGTGGTGTCCATGCTGGCAGTAGTATTCCTGCGCCAAGGGACTCGGGAATTGTTTCATATAGCGAGAATAAAGACGAAGAAAGGCGAAAGGTCAGAAATGTGTGCTGGAACATGATGTGGGGCAGAGCTGCAGACTGTATTCCGCCCAATCCTTTACTCCATTTGAGCATATTGGGGGAGACCATGTTCAGATGATGGCTGAGCCGGGAGGATGCGTGTCTAACTACATCAAGGGTCACACACGGCATTTAATAAGGGTGAAACGTCACGGATATCACATTTATCGCGAGGACTGCCTGACAAAGAATGCCGGCGGTTCAGTTTCAAGGGGGCCCCGATTGGATTGCGGATGATCAGCAGTTACGGAAAATGTCCTCGGAATCCCCTTGATGGCCTTGATAGTTCGTGTATTTCACTATGATCCCTGTGCCCTCCTCCATGCACGGCTTCTCAAGCAGCATTCCTCATCTAAACCTCATCATAGAAGTCCGGTGTCATTACTCAACGGGATACGTTGGAACTCGACAGAAGTCACTCCCGCGAGCCTCCTGTGGCTGAGCAGTGAGCACCTGTCTCAGCTCAGATTTAGTCACAAGTGGAAAGGAACACCGACGACAGCATTTGGATATCATTGATAGAACACACCCGCGATTAGTCTTGTTTTTCCAGCCTGATGATTCTGAGTCACCTAAAAATGCCTTCCCCTTGCTTGAATGATTGCGAAGAACTTGGTCAACAAAGCACAGCACACTGCTAGAAGGAAGCTTACCACCAAAAACAGAGACTAGGAAAATATTTAATGAGTTGGCAAATAGAAGTTGATCTATTGCTACCCCAGATGTCTCTGGGGACGACACCCCCAAAACGAAGAGAAACTCGACTTCTAAGGTGCAGTGAGTGAAGAAGAAAGCCTTGGCAAAACAACATGCCCAAACAACGCGTCGCGTGAAAGCATTGCACAGCCACATATGCTCCTTTATCTACCTGGCATCGTTATCGATTGATGTCGACCCCACGATAAACATCTATGGTAACACTATACGTGACTTTCAGGAGTTAACAGAGCTTCTGACTCAAAACCGAATAACAGCAACCTGTAATTGCGAGTGCTTCTTCTTGCCTTCTTCAATTAATCAGCTTTCATTAAGTTCACTTTCCAGGATATTTTTTACGGAAAAGGAGAAACCAAGCATCACAATCTCTATCTATCAAGCTAATATGGTCCAATCTTCGTGAAAAGTTTCCTTGTAACCCTTACCTGCACTTCTAGCATCCCCCTTTTCGCCAGTCTTTCCATCCTACTCAATATGAAATCTCTCATTTCTTCCAACTGATTCCTGTCCAAACTGTCCACCCATATCGCATCCTGAAATTTCCAGCACGTCTGCTCACCCCGATCCCAAGAGAGGTCGATCATCAACTTGATATTTCTGTCATCCAGAGCGTCCCAGAGGCTTTCGGCGTTTTCAATTTCATACATGCTAGGCGAGGGAGCGAAGATGTCTATTTCCCTTAAAGTGGGGACTTCCTGTCTCGTGATCAAGGTCAGCCATTGTGATAAATCATTGGCATGGTCTTCGAGCCTGATCGTCAGTTTTCTGATTCTGAAAACGTTCAGATGAAGTAATGTTGAATCGAAGCCTTCATATTGCGCCGTGTATCAATATTTGTAAAATGGCTGAAAACCAAAGACTCACCGAAACTTGGCAGGTGCGTAACCTTGAGCTCTTGTAACTCTTATTTCGTGCGCTCAAGCAGCTTCACAAACAAATGCAGTTCCTCATCATTCCTTTCGCAAAACTTGACCGCCAGCGATCGTAAATTCCTCAGCGTTCCCGGCCTCAGAAGAACGTTCTGCAGCCGTTGTTTGACGTACGGACAAAACTCAACATCCAATAACCTCAAATCGCCACGGAAATCTTCCATGCTCTCGCCCTTGGTTTTCCCAAGCAGCGTCAGCTCCTTCGCCCGCCCAGAACCCCGTCATATCCACATCGACTAGAAAGGCCCTCTTCAGCGCCTGACACCCCTTTAAATCCAAGTTACCCCACTTCACTTTACGGAAGAATATCTCCTCGAGGTTGTTCATATGGGCGCATACCGCGCTTAGCGAGGTCACCCATCCCGAGTCATTATAGACGTCGAGAACGCGGATCAACGCCCCTATCTGGGGAGATATTTCTTGGAATGTGCTGAATCGTTTTGCGTCGTTAAATCGGATGATACGGAAAAGATGGAAGCGGGATCGTGGGAGGAGGCTGCGTGAAGCGAGGCTACAGGATGTTAGAGCTCGGGTAGAGCGGTATCTGTCCGTCCATGAGCTAATGGCGTCTATTATAAGTTCTAGGATGCTTTGGGACAAGAGGGGGTCCATTGAAGAGATGGTGAAAGGAGGGTTCTTGGAGGTTTTTTTTAACTTGTCGAAAAGGAGGCACGACGAAGAAAGGTAAGACTCCAGGGTTTCACTGAAATTCCTTTGAATCATCTCTTCCTCTTCATTTATAGACCATGATCTTACTGTTTGGGATGGAAATTTCCAACGAAAACAGCAAGTTAACAGCAAGATCACTGTGCTATTACTGGGTGGAGCAAGATCGGGTTCCACCCCATCGTAGACTCTGAGCACAGCCTTTTACGACCAGTGGTATACATTTACATGCCGTTTGATAGGCTCATGAACTGTGTAACTCATATCATTACCGGTCCCCGATCAAGATGTCGGCCATTCAGCGTATGGTGAAGGAACAGACTTTCCAGTAACCCTCTAAATATAATTTCCACTGAATACGTCCGGAGGGGGGGGGGGGGGTCTATTCCTCGCTGAGAATCATGAACTGCCGCGATCATATATTACGGACTACATATTGACCCCGAGGATCTTTCAGGGTCTAGTCGACAAGGGAAGATGCGCGCGCTTCGCTCAGAGCTCTCAGGGTTGGGGGAGATCATCCGGGAACTGAACAACTCACCGAGGTGTAAGTAGCACAGTTCTCAAGTGTCACTCCATTTTTCATACTCATTCCAAAGCTCCAGTGGTCGCGAGGACATGAAGCAAGAATAATTGTTGCATTAAATGGCGGCCCGGATCCACAAGGTCAGGCTCTGATGCCCCTGAAATTGTAAAACAGCCTCACCTCTGATCATCAATGCATCATTACCAACACGTCGACATTTCAAGTAGTAAACAGTCCATCCTTCCAGACGTAGGTACCCGCTGCTCATTTTTTCCAAACCGCAGACAAGATCATTTAAATCAGTTAGTCATTACATTCCAGATTTGCAACGTCAAAGCCGCCTATCGCCTGTGCATCTGCTTGCAAACACCGCCTCTTACTCTAGTCTAGTTACCAATGCTGAAAGAGCTGGAAAAGACAATCGTGGTCAACGATCTTTTACATCGCTTTCCTACCCGATCCGGTAGTAGTGCTACCGCACCTCCAACAGCCAGCCCTACTGCCCACTATACGCATGCCAGCGCCGTAATGTGAGGTGATACTGACTCCTGATTCATATCCCGTCTATACGTCGGAGATTGCTGAGCGCAGGTGGATAAATAGCAGTGCGTCGTGTACCTACCACAAGTCAGCACGGCCCTCTACTTACCAGTATACTCCAGAGACGTACCGATGCTTCGTCTTACCGCGAAAGACGACCAAAGCAAGATAGAAACCATCGCACTCGGAGTCTGGAAGGTTTCTTATCTCAAAAATACTCCTTTCAATGTTCGCAAGCAAATTTCTGACTTGGGAGCTGCATTTCCCTACTTTCAACGTTTAGCCCTCGAAGTGTATTCCCTCGAGCCCATGTTGGCGATCTTGTTTGTATTGAACAAACTGTGGAAAGGAGTAGAGGGTGCTTTACTGCTATACTTCTCCAGCCGAATTCTGCGAATCGTAGGTTTTTCCTTATATCATTCTATCTATATGACTTACAGGTTCTCTCGTATAGATCGAGATCGGGTTGATAGAAGGAGTGCCAGACACGGGTGCGATCTTGAATGCGGTAGCGGCGCGTATCGCCTGCGTTGTACTCGCCGCAATATTACACTGGGCCAGGTTTGTGTCTTGCTTTTCTTAACGTCCAATGTGCGCTTAATTATTCCAGCGAGCAAGTAATCCCGACTCTGAAAACCCGGATTACGACTCATTTTGAGTTGTATTTGATGCAAGGTAATTGGATGCGTCATTCTTTTCCATCATCAACACGCGTTTATCGTGCTTTTAGCTCAATTAAGAATAGACGTTCCCACTTCACAAGGTGAGTCGTATTCCCGCGTTGCACGTCAGTTTCATTAACTCCTGCTTAGAACCGCGAAGCAAAATTAGAGCATCCTCCTACAATGCGTGGACTTCATTTGAGGGCGTCGTCGACTTTGTGACGCAGATAATGAAGGCATTTAGCCAGTTTACCCTCATTCTTCAAACTTCTCAATTACGGGTTCGTCATTGTTTACGGTTCTATGTGTCATGAAGCCGGTGTTTCTCTCTCTATCGGGTCGTTCGCTATGGGATACTCGTATGTTGCTCTTGACTCGCTCCCTAATTATAGACTGACATTTAATTTGAGCCCATATTGTTTATACAGACAACGAGCATCGCAAACGTATGAAGGCATTGAACGTCATGACTACCCCTGGCTACAGATCCGAAGTCCTCGCAGGAGACCTGATCGGCTACATTATTAATGGTAATTACTTCTCTCAATCTCTCTCCACTATTTCTCAAGAGTGATGTTTCGCAAAAGAATATAAGAAGGCGGCTGCGCTTCTCGGCGGCCTCTCGGACGATTGGGCTCCCAATCAGTACATGAACAGGAAGTCTCCAATGTGGCAAATTGCCACCAGTTTGATGGGCGACCTGCCAGTCGTATGTCCAATATAATAGTCGGCATTCTGATGCTCAATTTTGATTCATTAATCTCCAGGTGTATTGCGCGATCGTGTCTATCCTTCATCCAGAGAAGCTGTCACTTTCTTCAATTGCGATACTCCAACAATCCTCGCAGACACTCGAATGGACCCTCCAACTCCTTTCCATGAACATCAACTCCTTCCGAAAACAATATCAAGAGATCAAGAATGTCTACGATTCCGCTCAACTCACAACAAACATTCAAGATGGCAATGTATCTTATCCCAGGACAGGCGAAGAGGAACTCCGGGGCATGTCCTTCGAACTGCGAGATGTCTCCTTCACTTATCCCGGCAGCCAAAATACCAAACCAGCCCTGTCCAACATTAACCTATCCATAAAGTCCGGCCAACTGGTCGTCATCGTGGGGGCAAATGGCAGCGGGAAGTCCACCATCCTCAAACTTCTCACACGGTTCTACGACCCCTCTTCCTCGCCAGACTCAATACTCGTTGGTGGTATCCCAATCTCAAGATACCGTATAGCGGACCTACGACGAGCAACGGCAACGTTGACGCAGGATCACTCGCTCTTCCCTCTGTCGCTGGGAGAGAATATCGGACTGGGGTATCCAGAGAGAACATGGGATGCAGGGATGGTAGACCGGGCTGCCGAGATGGGTGGGGCGACACATTGTTTAGGAAAGCTTGAGAAAGGGAAGAATACCAAGCTGGACACGGGCAACGAGGCGTATGGACACAACGTACCCGACGAACCGTCCCATCCATTGCAGTGTGAACTGGAGAAGCTTCAGAAGAATATTTCGCTGTCAGGAGGGGAGACCCAGAGGATCGTAGCGTGAGCTTGTTTCTCTTCGGGGCGAACCTGTTGATCATCTTTATCGTCCAGGGCGAGGACGTTCATGCGTTTTGAGTCTGGGTCTGTCAATTTAGTGACAGTCGATGAGCCAAGCTCGGCGTTGGATCCTGAAGGGGAGGCGGCTCTGTTTAGAAATCTTATCAGAGTTCGAGAAGGGAAAACTATGATATTCGTCACGCATCGGTTTGGCCATTTGACGAAGCATGCTGATATTGTTGTGTGAGTCCTTTGCTTTGACGTAAATCAGACTGATTGACTCGATTCTGTTTAGGTGCATGAAAGATGGTACAATAGCTGAGGCCGGTACTCACGAAGAGCTGATCCACAGAGATGGGGAGTACGCCAAACTGTACAACATACAGGCGAGCGCGTTTTTCAAGCCTGAGTGCATGTAACACGTCAAGGGCCGTGACCCTGTGCGTTTGGACATGGGTTCAGAGGTGATCGGGAAGTGTCTTTTAACGAGAATTATATTGGAAGCGATACAAATATGTAAGTATCCTCGTCGTATTTCCTCAGTATATTATCAGCAAAATCTGTGCTCACAATCAAATCGTGCATATTATCTATCAAGTTTTTACACCTGTATCCCCCAACCACCTCTTGAATCCGCTCGCAAGTACGGTCATAAAACTGAGCGACCCGTGGTTGCGTATTCTCTTCATCGCCTCGCGCAGACGAGAAGTGCAAGGACTGAAGACGCGGCCAAGAAGACAACACGTCGAGAGTACGCGCCTTTGTGAGGAAATCCAGTTAGCGCTTTAGACTCCAGTATGAATACGAATCGTCACATACGATAATATTTTCAGAACCCTCAACATTAGCATGTGCTGAATCAAGGGCCAATCGCAAAGTAGTCAGTTTCGTGCACTGCAACAAAGCAGCCAGATGCTTTTCCTCCAGACACCATGCACCCGCGTAAGAGGGCTGAATGTATAGCTCTGTGAGGGTCTGCACATGCAGCGGTAGGATTGCATGATAAAAGTCGTCGGCACAACGCCTTTCCTCCTTATGGTCCGCTTCTTCAACGTCAATGGTCACTGCCAGTAACTCGATCCCCGAATAAGATCTGAGGTAGCCGAGAAGAGATTTGTTTCCCCACGCAACAGACACCGATACAAGTTTGATGCCTTCCGCACGAGCGAGTTCCCAGAATTGGTCTGGGACTTCCATATCCAGGGTGAGAGCAGTTAACGAACGTAGATGTCGAAAGTCATCTGGGAGAGAGGAAGTCGAAATGACGAGTCCGCGAAGGAAAAGCGATTTCAATGGAAGCTCGACGTCAGAAGGCACATGGGAAAGAAGTTTCTCGATGGAAGGATGTGAATCAGATATATCATCGTAACTCGTCACCGATAAAGACGTCATGTTAGGGCAATTCCCCACTATATGTGGACAGAAATCCATTACGCGAAATCCGGCAAATGTAAACGTGGTGAGATTTCGAAAGGCGGAAAAGGCGGTGGTATAGGAGCAATTAGGATGCAGCTGAATGCTCACGTCTGTCAAATGACGACAGGCCATGAATTTCTTCATAATTAATTCGATAGAGTTTCTTCTGAACGATCCTTGGGACCATCCGATCCAACTGCGATCCATTAGCAAGTTTGCGGACTACCAGTAGCGCAGCACGTACCATAGAGATCTCAGCTCAATTAATTTTGGAATAGCCCCAACGAGAAGTTTCTCGATGGCTTGAGTTTTTCGTGCACGCTTACGCGCCATGCGATGCCAGAATCTTCGGTATTTGAGATGGGGAGGGTCGAATGGTGATACGAACCGCAGAGTCTGGATGTATTGCCCCACTTCGGTTTTCCCTGACGCGAGAGCTCTGAGCAATGAAACAGAAGTGTAGTATCGACTGTCTATGTGGAGACATATCTCGATAGTCTCAAAGACGAAAGGTGTAGCGACATCTCGGAAGTATTTACACGTGCCTCGAAGGGCTATCAGGTCGTCGTGATCGAGCTACGAGGAAGGAAAGAGAGAATCAGCTTCGAGAGTGCTTCCCAGTGCCAGTAGCTCCAACATTCGCACCTCGAACACAATGCCTTCTAGTATCTCAGGCGGTACCGCAGAGAGCATGGGAGTTGAAAGAGAAATGCCGACATCATGACCAAGTTCTAGTTCATCGGAGCCGGATTATGCAATATGTTCCGGTTACGTTGGACCGCTCCGGATGTACCAATCACGGACTGGGCTTTCGTTCCTGTTCGATTAAATGACGGGAACGAGGGTCCGCCTTTGACTTGACGGCCATAATAAATTTGCCGGTAATGCGGGGGCCTAGTTATTGACAGTTTGACATAATGAAGAGGAGAGAGGGCGTCAAGTTGTGAACTCAGATGAAGAAAAGAACTAGGAAGATAATAGTATGGTCATGGGAATCCAACTTCCATCCAACAAGAGACCTTCTGCAAGTCGGAAAAGGCAGATTCAAGTGGGGGAGCAAAGACGGGGCTCGGATTCGAGAATTTGGAAGTAGCAAAAAATTATATAGCGAGTGTGTCCTCAATTATAACGGCAAAACCTCAACTTGAGCCGCTATATCACTCCAACACGTCGACATCACCCAACGTCTTAACGGCGACCTTGATCTTCCGAGCGCTTGCCATAGCCGGCCATGGAGAATTGAACACTTCATCCAATTCTTCAAGTGTACGTCCACGCTACGAGGAGGGCATAGGTAAGAGGGTGTTTATAAGGAGATATCGACATGTAGCTTACTGTCTCCACGCAGAATAGAAACCACAGGACGGACGCAACAAGGTCCCATCCGACGAAAACGAAGTAGTACTTCCATCCAAGACGCTCCAAACCAACGCTGTTTGCAAAGGTGTTGATGAATCCGGCGATATTGGATATCAGGATATGAACTGGGAGTGGACGAGATTCAGGTCGGGAAGGATGCGTTGTATGTCAGACTTACCTCCCATGCCCTTAGCGCGTATGTCCTGCCGCAAAACTCTATAGAACCCGCATGCATTGGCACATTCAAATAGCGCCAAAAAATCGTAACTCACTCTGCACAGTACAGCGCCTGCAGGGGGGTATACGTAAAACTGTATACGACACCGAAGAGGAAAACCATGGTGATGGACGCGTTAGCCCCAGCCGTGTTCGTATTGTCAGATTTCCCATCTGGGAGATTTCATTAGCGTGGGCAGGTTAGTGGTAGTGTTAGACGTACATGCGGATGATAAGGCGGCGACCATTGCTAACAGCACCGCAAGGGTGAAAGCCCCGATGTATAGACGCCTGCGACGCCCGGTGCGGTCGGTTACTGCGGCACCCTGTGGGGGTAACATGAGGCGGTGGGAGGAGGTGAGGAGAGAGCATACACTGAAGGCACCAAAAGCGGATAAAATTGAGTTTGCAAAATTACTAGAGAGGGAAGATCAATTTAGGCGCAAACCGCTGGGTTTGGTGCAACAAACTAGACGAGTTGTTGATGTTTTGATTTTACGCCAGCGTTGCTCATCAGCGTAGGGAGGAAATATGTGATCAGCTGATAGACCCTTGAGTTACCCTGCACGATGTAAGGATTGAGGCTAGCGGCTTACCCCATTCCCTGCGAGTTGTCCGTTGACCTTTGAAGTGAGTTCGGTCAAGCTAGCAGAAGAAATAAAAGGCAGAATGGCTTACACACTGAAGGACGCGTCAAATACGGTCGTTATATGGGCGAAAAACGTACCATCAAAACAAGGCAAAGCATGCGCCATCCTGGAAGGAAAGATTTTATTAGAACTAATACAGTGAATGAAACTGAAGATCAGCGTACGGCTGTTCCTATTGTTAAAGAGACCGCTATAATCCCAAAACGGTTCACGTTTCTTGACCGTTATCGCTGCTGAAATTCCTTGAGCTGGAGCTAATTGCCTCTAGTCAAAGAAAGATTCTCAAAGCAGAGTAGCTTATAATCTGACCTCGATAATAGGATTTGTCTTTCCATCGTTGCTGTGATAGCGAACGAGAACTTCCCTCGCTTTGTCCAGCTGACCTTTCTGGACATACCACCGTGGGACTTTCAGGGCAGAAGCCAGCAGCAAGACATAACTATAATCTGGGCATGTCCATCAGAATTCGCAAGTAGAACCATGAGGCTAGCTTCGTACCGGTGGGAAAATCTGCAAGGATGAGGGGGAGACGCCAAGCCCAGGTGCTGTTCATCTTCTGGGTGCCAATCATAGCTCCAGTGGCGGGGATACTTCCAATGAAGAAGCATCTGTGGAAGACGTTCGTTTCAGTATAGAGATACGGTCATCGAGATGTCGACATACGAGTTGTATAAGCCGCCGAGACGACCCCGCCATTGAGGGGGTGCTAATTCTGTTACCCAGGTTGGTGCTGCTGTTGTAGAAATGGAGATTCCGAACCCGAGAATGAACTGGAAGGTGCATGGGTAAGGGCATGGAGAGAATGGACTTTGTGCTTACTCGACCGCCCAAGAAGGCTTTTATATTTTGTGCGGAGGATATTATGGCCACTCCGAGAAGTATGAAGAATCCGCCCTGATGATAGGGTAAGGGTGAACCGTGACGTAGCACGAAAAGAGCTGACGGTGAACATCCCACCTCGTCTTCCCCACTGCAGCAAACACGAAGGTAAGATAGGATAACTTGAATAGTTATTACACTGCTACGTACCATGTCACTCAGTGGACCAGCGAAAAGTGCACCGACGACATTGCCAACAATACTGATTATAAGGATTAGTATGCATACATTAAGAAGAAATGGAGCATATTTACTAAATCATAAAAACAATTCCAGTTGATACGCCGACTTGATCGTAGCCGAACTAGTAGTTGTCAACGAAGAACTATGAAGATAAGAAATATGACATACGTAGTTCAGATACTGGTCCATAGCGTTGATCCCACTCATCAAGCTACCGTCGAATCCGGAGGATACTGCGTTCAGAAATCCCACCATTACGATAAAATATAGCTGCAGTCGCGAGGTAAATCTCGATAGATAAGGATAGTAGAAAGTCAATATGTACTTTGAACGCTCGCTTGCTCCATGGATCCAATAGCGTCGTATGTACTGCCTTGGAGAAATCGACATTGTAGGAAACATCGACTTTTTTGAGGACGGCATCGTCGAGGGACGAGGAGACGGGCGTTTCTTTGATATCTTCGTCAGAGAGCTTCTCAATAGACATGAAAGAAGAACTAGACCTCTCCCTATCAGGATTCGTGAGCATTTATATCGCTGAATTGATAGATAACACCGAATAGCGCTACATTCGGGTCGCTGTGAGATAAGAGAATAGAGAATGCTGCTTTAAAAATTGCGAGCGTTGTCCGGCATCTCACCGGGCCGAGAGGTCATGTGTTGATGGTTGAAAATATCCAGTTCGGAGACTCCGGCCCGCATTACGGCTTTCACTGTTGCCACCACCACTGACGGCGTCTGAGACTATTGCTGGCGTTTAGCGCTCAGTGCTCGTTATCCTTCTTCTACCTGAACTATCGATAGAAAACGGGACCCTCATAGCGTCGATATCATGATTAATCTCGAGTCTCTGCATATCCTTCACTCTGAGACTTGGCACCTGACGCGGGCAGAAGAGCCGTGGAACCGCGAAGTCCGCTACCCATGGCCTATGGAGAACGTCTTAGGTGACCTTCGTCATTTCTACTATTCAGGTATCGACGCCGTTACAAGTGAGTGCTCTTCTGTTTCTCACGGCGTCTCCTAACGGTTTGGCTGAATCCTCTTAGATATTTTTTCATCTGCAACGGACCCGGCGAAAAGATCAGAAAACTCAGAAGAATTACTGCAAAACATGGTGTTCAAGTGGATCACCCGATTTTTTCGCCATGACCTGCAGTGTGCATGCATACTCGAATCCCGACAAGGACGTGTTCCTCGATGATCTCGTTAGCAGGATGTCCATTCCCGAACTTGTCTTGCAGCTTCATCTCATGTTCGCCGATAATGTTGCTGGTCCTAGGTCTGAAAATGAACTCTATGGTATGCGGATCATCGATATAATCTATTCCTTGCCTATCTAACCACCTGACAGACTTCGCTATGCAAGCGGCACCAACGGCCGGTATTGGTGTTATCCACGACTGGTATCCCACCGATCCGACATACTATAATATACTTCAGAAGCTCAATAGCGACAAGAGCCGTCTTGGACTTCCCTTCATGCAACTAGGCGAATGTGTGCATGGCGTTGGGTCGTTCAAGCAGTCAATGTTCCCTCAGGCAATAGGCATGAGCGCCAGCTTTGACCCAAGCATGGTATACCAAGTTGGGAGAGCAATTGGTTCCGAAGCTCGATCCATAGGTATCCACGCTTGTCTGGCGCCGGTGCTTGATCTTGGGAAAGAACCGAGATGGGGCCGAGTGCAGGGTAAGTCGTGCGGTCAAATTTCGTCTGCATATCGTGCTGAGACTATTAATAGAAGACTGGGGGGAAGACTCTGTTCTCACATCCCATATGGGCGTCGCATTCGCTTCTGGACTGTCGAAGAATGGATCATGGAGTGACCCTGATGCTGTTGTTCCCGTTGTGAAGGTACGAACATATATCGTCCTTACTGCAGCCGACTAATTCATTGTGTATGCACAGCACTTCGCCGCACACGGAAGCCCTCATGGTGGAATTAACGCTGCTTCTTTCATGGGTCACGGAATGCGTCAGGTCATGATGGAGATGCTCGTGCCGTTCAAGGCCGGTTTAGACCTCGGAGGCGCGAGAGGCGTCATGATGTACTTGTTTGTTTATGCAATCACTGGTGATGGCGCTGATCTGACTATAGGGCATATCACGAACTCGATGAAGTCCCAGCACATGTACATCCATTACTATACGATGCATTGGATGAGTGGGGTTTCGATGGTACGCTGATTATGTTTCACCTGTTGTTTCGAATCTGACCTGTTCGACGCAGGCTTTATCATGGCTGATGATACAGGTATGACATGAAATAGCTAAATGATGGACTAACTAACTGACTGATCACTGAAAGGAATGAGAATGTTGAATGTGCGACATACTGTATCAAATTCTCCGGCAGATACGATACGACAATGGTTTAACGCGGGCGGAAATCTACAATTCTATGACTATGACCTGCCGACATATCTTAACGTAAGGCAGCCTGCTATCCCCCATATTCCTATTCTCACCGGAAGCAGTGCACTATCGACCTCATAGCGAATGGGACTGTCTCTGAATCAACCTTACGGTCCCATGCTCGAAGGATTCTCGGCGTCAAATACGACCTCGGACTCTTCGACAATCCATACATCCCCAATGGCCTCGACTATCGGACCCTCACAAACGAGCATGTACCTCTCACCCTCGATGCTGCTCATCGTTCCATTGTTCTCCTCGAAAACAAAAACTCGACGCTCCCCATCAGACCGGCGGAACAAGGAATCTCCAAGATCGCTTTGATCGGACCTTTCAGCGACATTCTGAACTATGGTGACTACTCGGGCTCGTGGGGGGAGTACCCTGTCGCCAATTCGAGCACTATCAGGCAGGCGATGAAGGAGTATCTTTCTACGAACCACCCAAATGTCAGCCTCGTCTCGAGCTGGGGTGCCGATACTTGGATGTACACCGCCCAGCATGCCATCCCAGGATACCTTCTCTCTTCTAACGGTACTCCTGGTGGATTGCTCGCGACCTACTACTCCGATACCAATTTCACGCACGCAGTCTTCCAAGTGCAGGAGCAGCCGAATAGGGACTGGGGAATATACCCTCCGCTTGGATTGCCATCAAACAATTTCAGTGTGGTCTGGGAAGGCGAGCTCGAGGTACCGGTGGATGGAAGCGACGTCGATGGATACATCGGTGTCGCGGTCTATGCGAACAATACGGGGAGGATATACGTCGACGACGTCCTAGTCGCTCAGTCCGAGTTCTCAGGTACCGGGACTGTGATGGGCAACATCCAGTCGCTCAACTACGTCCGCGCGAATGCGACGAGCACTCCACCCGGAGGCGTGGCCTTCACTTGGAGGGCCGGCGCCAGGCATAAACTGCGGGTCGAGTTTCAGGCGTGGAATTTGTGGCAAAAGATCGAGAATGTGAACTCGATCAACGCGCAGGTGGAACTGTTTTGGAATTTGGTGGATCGGAGGGATGCTGTGGGCAAGGCTGTAGATGTTGCGAGGGAGGCAGACGTGGTGGTGTTGGCGGTTGGTGCTAGTTGGAGTAGTGATGGCGAGAGCGGAGATAGGGCTACTTTGGGCTTGTCTGTTAATCAAAGTGGGTCTTAGTGAGCTTTGGTGCTGTTTCGGTGTTGATATTGTTCAAGCTAAGCTGGCCGACGCAATCTTCGCTTTGGGGAAGCCGGTAGTGCTTGTGCTAGAAGGTGGCAGGCCGTTTGCGATCCCGGAGTATTATAACAAATGCGCCGCCGCGATCAATGCTGTTGGTATTCGTGCCGTCGTTTCACTTCGACCCTGATCAATGAGCGTAGTTCTTCCCAGGTCAATCGGGCGGACAGGCTATTACAGATGTTCTATTTGGGGAGTTCAATCCTGGCGGAAGAATACCGCTGAGCGTGCCGTACAACGTGGCGCAACTGCCCGTTTACTACAAGTGAGGAGAACATCGTTGTTTGGTTTTCCCTTCCCTGATTTTGGAGTGTAGCTACAAATTTACGGACCATGCGGTGGCTTATACGGATCTGAACCCTTTACCTACGGTACGTTTTTTGCCGTCTGGTTGTACTACTGGCTGATGTGACTGCAGTACTCGTTTGGCTACGGTCTATCATACACAACGTTTTCGGTGCACAATTTCAATGCCACTTCAACTGGCGGAGTGACGACATTCACTTCAGGTGAAACAATAACTTTTCGCGTGGAGGTGACCAACGAAGGGGACGTCGCAGGTTCATATGTCGCTCAGGTATGAAGGGCACGTTGTTTTCCGCTCGCTTTGCTTATGTGTTCCCGCAGGTCTACTTGTTAGTCCGAGTGTCCACCATCGTGCGCCCGCAGAAGCAGCTTGTTGCATTTGAGAGAGTTTATCTTGATGCGGGGCAGACGAAGGTGGCGATGATGGAGCTCGAGGTAGATAGGTACCTGAGAATTGTTAATAGGAGATATGAATGGGAGCTGGAGAGGGGGGAGTATGTGTTTGCGTTGCTTGAGCATGGGGGTCCGGATGCAAATACTGGGATAAATGTAACGATGCTTTGTTTGGGATAGCTTGAAAGAACAAATCATATTTCGTAGCACGTCAACATGTAAAACCGCTAGCTAATCGTATCCCCCTGAAGATAAAGACGGCGGTAATTCCCCGCCGCAGCTCACCTCTAAATCGTCTGTGAGCTCCAAAACCACTGTCGACGTCGTCGTAAATACGTCCCAGTCCAGAAAACAGGTTGATTTGTACGGCTTGCCGTTGACGGTTACGCTCTACACCGAGATTAGCAATGCCCTGGGTAAACAGAGGTTCAAGGGTACCTTGACATAGATGCCACTACCGAAACCCTTGCTCACGATGGTGGTCGTAGAGTTTAAGAAGGGATTATGAAATGATATAGAGGGGAAATACGGCGAAGAGAGGAGATACTGTTTCGTAGCTGGCAATGGGTACATCCCAGCGAGGTAAAAGAAGACGTAGCTACCCATAGCCCCTGCAGATTTGTTTTAACAGAGGTGTCGTTGGCTACTAGGTCAGATTACACACCTGAATCTGCCAGGGGTTAGTTTCGTGAAGAAGGTGAGGAGAGGTGAGCGTACCATCATTCCCAGGTAGACCATTCCGGGATGTGTTGAAGTATTTATCGATTGTCTCTCTTACGCGACGCGCACTATATCCTGGCTTGTCGGCATAGTGATACATATATGGAATCTGTTGTGAAGGTTCGTTTGTCGAATCGAAGTAACCCTAGCTGAGGATTAAAGGACGGCTGTTAGATGATATAGAATATACCTACGTTATCAAATATCCAATCAAGTCGTTCGATGAACTTCTGCCGACCGCCTTGCAGCTCAATGAGCTTGGCTGTGTCGTGCGGGGCGTACTGCACGAATGAGTATGTTGAGTGTATTAAGAGTCTAAAGGTATACCTGAGAATAGACTATAGGAGAGGTCTCGTAGAACCCGTCGCGACGGATGGCGTTCAGAAAGCATGTTGATCCAGTTGGATCATGAATGCTGCAGTGTCGAGGATCAGTGTAGTTCCACGTTCCATTGGCGAAGCGGGGCTGTCTATTCATCAACAACTGGTGACATACTGAGCGGTCTAACGACAGACCTGAAAGAATCCAGAAATGTCCTCTGCGATATCCGGAACAATGATGCTCCCATTCCACGAATTGACGAAGTTTCCCGCCCGGGATGTATACTAGTGATTGGGGATGAGGCGTACGCTCGTAAAGGAAAGATAGAAGAAACCAGACCTTGGCAGCATCCTCCGTCTTCTTCAGACCCTTCGCGACCTGCGAGATGGCGAAATCGTCGAAAGCATACTAAAAAGCATTCCTTCGTTAGCACGGAAAGAGAAAGGAGAGATTAGAAAAGAGACCCACCTCTATAGCCCGAGAAACTTGTTTTGTGTTCGCGCCTCCACGATACATTGTATCGAAGGAATGTAACCTAGTACAGGATCAGCCAGGAAGTTTGATCGACACACTGGGTCATACGCACCGAACTCTTTCCATACGTCGGCTTGGCGACCTTGGATGTTCCAATTGGGAGGGGTATTCTCCGCATCTGCGAGAAGTGCGGTATAGAGATCTTGGTCGGAAACGCCTAGCGCGGAGGTGTGATTCTGATATCTTCAGATAGATTGCATTAGTCACTGGGCATCGAAGAGATAAATGGATTGACTTGATGAAGAATTCTGCTAAGATGGGATCACCATCTAGAAGTCATGAGCAATATTTTGGCAAGGCAACGGTATCGGATGAACATACGACTCCCGCCTTGGATGAACCTTCATTGGTTCTTATGTGAGGTTCGATTCGAGCATGCAGAAAAACACGAATCGTACTGCTTGGTTCCCATCTCACGACACTCAGGGAGCCAACCCTCGTTCTTCTGAATATCGATCATTCCCCGAACGATATCTGAAAACCTTTCGGGGTCGTGAAGCGACATGAGAGGAAATAGAGTTCGATAGGTGTCCCACTGTACAAGTAATGTTAGCGTGAAAACAGGGAGGCAAAAGAAGAAAATTTTACGTTACAATAAAATGAGTCGTAATAAGGCTCGGTAGATGACCATCCGGGATTTTCGCCTGTCACTGGAAGAATACCATATTTCAGGGTTGTGTAGGCAGATAAATGCATAACTCACGATCCGCGGGAGTGATATGAGTCCTGTAAAGCTGTTTTGTTGGTTGTCGTTAGGGCGAAAAGGAATAGAAGTGAGAAGAATACGCACGGAAGAGTATAGCAGGGTCGTCGTATTTTCACCCACGCGTTCAGTATCAACCTGCACTCGTCCCAGAATGTCTCTCCATTGCGCTTCGCTGTCTTGAACGACCCTCTCAAAATCCCAATCCGGTATTTCTCCCTCTGCATTCGCGCATGCCTGTTCCACAGAGAGCAACGAGATACCCACCCGTGCTAGGATGGTAGTAGGTCCCACTCCCGAACCGGGAAACCCGACTAAACCACCATGCTCATACCCCCATGCTAGTGAAAAGGTTAATCATAAAGTTGAACGAAAGAAGACGGCTGATTCTCACTAGTAATAATGTTGCTGGATATCTGTTCCCCAGAGATCTGGGTAGTTGATCTTGTATGGCCCATATTCCACTGGTCCGCTGAAGTCTCCTTTGAAATCGACGCATGCATATGCTTTGTAGCGGTCTATTCCAAACGAGTCGGCGAAGCTTCCGCTGGCTATATGGGTGTGAAATGTGGTACCAAAAGGCTGATGGAAAATAGGGACGAACCTGTCATGCGACCCGTCTCCGCGTCGATGAGCATGGTTATGCCATTTGCACTAATCTGACCGTCGTTCGTAACATCCAGCAGAATCCTAGGTGTCGTAGATTCTTCAGGGAAAGTGTACCGATGTAAAGCTGTTCGTCGTGTAGATGTAAGTTCAACTCTGATTGAATTAGAGAGGTTGGTAGAAAAATAGCCGGGTGAGGCATAGTCATCCACTGAACCTAAAAACAAGCTTTCGTGAGAAAAAGAAACTGTCTCGAAGGGAATTCCGTACCATCAGGTAGTATGTGACGCAAAATTTTCCTCGAGTCGATCGTAGTGAGGCATTGCTCAAACGCCGAACAATTGTGAATAGGAAAAAGCTTGAAGTTCGATAAAGGAACTTGCTATTAAACAACTTGAGCAATCACTGACAAGAAACCGATAGCACATACTCCTCCTGTCCCGGACTGATGTAACTGGGAGAAGCCTGTGACATTATACATGCCATCACCGTCGTACCCTGCGTGCTTTCAATTGAAATAAGTTGATGGTCCGATAACCCGACTTAAAGGGCCATACGTTTCCAGGAGAATCGGTGTCCATCCCCACTTTGACCATACCATGCGGAATCGTCGCGCCTAGAACGAGTCTTTTCAGCTCCCTGGCAGGTACGAACTTCTCTTGAAGACGAACCAGGAAAAGTGTGTCCTCCATTGATTGTGCCGATAAACAGGTTCACATATTGGAGGGGATCGAGAGCAGCAGACAGATTTATGAGCCAGCTGTACAATACCAGCTTCATGAGAGCACGAAAGCGAGCAGAACAGGGTCAGCTGATAGCCATACGACCCGGAGATTTCGAAGGACTTCCTTTCTGCCTTTTCAAGACCGTTCTCGTGTCATTCTAGCAAGTGGCGGGCCGTTAACGTTTGACGGTACGAGTTACCGATGTGCTGAAGAAATCGAAGTATGCAATAGTATACACGAGCTCAACCAATGTCGAGAAATCAGTGACAGCAGCTGCCTTGAGGTCAAATGAAAATTTCCGAGATTAACGCGAACATCACGTGATCTATCGCCCTTGCCTGAACCCTCTTGACTAGGATTGGCGGAGGACTGGATCCTAAGCACTCGGCCTGGGTTGAAAGTCCTGATATCCCTTTGAGAGCAACTACTGCTACTTACTCGAGGCGTGAATTCTTTCTGAAGACGGAATGACGCAAGGAAGCTGTGAAACTTTCTAAGTATGACCTTGGTTTGACCCTGAACAAAGTAGTATGGTGCCAATATTGTCCAGAAATTGGGACAGTTGGGAGAGATTAATTACCCTCGGTTTATAAAGGAAGTCAAACCGTCATGTAGATGGCTCAACATATTGTATTTCTTTGGACATCTTAACCTGTATCTCTCGGTTACGCGTAAGGAGAAGGGGAAGTGGCAAAGTTAACCCATACAAGAGCAAATGAATAAGAATAATCTATAGAATAAAAACGATGCGAACAATGCTAGCCCTCAAGCTCAAGCCTCAACTTTCCATCCTCTGCAATTTGCGTAATGACTTGATTGGTGCCGACGCTATGTCGTCAGTATCATCCTTCAATCGTGACACAGCCTTTGCCGGCGCTTGCTCCTGTTCAGGCTCGCAGTTTAACGAAAGACAGGGTAGCACCCTCATCCATATCCATATCCACATCTAACAGCTGTTCCAAGGGATTTCTCCAGAAGCTCGTCGAACAGTCCGGGTCGGAGAGTTCTGGGAAATTGGGGGTCGGGACAAAGGCGACCGCGTGTTCGGGAATGGTTACGGTCGCTCTAATTCCTGCTGATTTCCTGAGTAAGGCGACCTCATTTTCCAGGGATGCGATACGCTGTTCTTGGGATTGGAATTTTAGACCCAAGAGCTTGAAGAGTTCGGGTGATGGAGACGGTATGGCAAAAGCGACGGAGTCACAGCCTAATCCGGGAGGTGCGACTGAAATCTCCGGATCACAAGATTCCAAAGCATGCGTTTTCGTTGGAAGGGTATTGACGGCTGATATAGACGGTGCCACGGGCCGGTCCCCCCAGAGCTTTGTGCGCTGCCAAGACTCCAGATAGTCTTGCGCATTCCTCGCAGGGAGCGGTGATTTTTCGTTCGTATCCCATATCCAAGCGCCGGCAACCTCCTTTAGCCCACTCATCCACCGGACGGCCATAACCCCGCCCTCTATCTGCTCTTCATCAAGTTTGAATCCCTTGAGTCCTTTCGTAACCAGTCGTTTCCAATCTACGCTTATCAGCACCATAACTGCGACAGAGAGAAAAAACTTACCAGATTTGACAGCATCTTTCCGATACTCTTCCTCGCCATACATCTCCCAAAATTCCTTCAGGTACTTTGGGTGGGATAGCAACCACCCCATACGATATCGAACGAGGGCCCTATCAAACATCGCACATCTCCAGCTTCTTCCAATGCCTTCTTCACTCATTGCTCGCCTAACTTCATCCAAGAACGCTTTACAAAGCCTCGATACATGCAGGATTCCTGTCTTGAATTCGGCCCACTCCTTGTCGTCACCCAAGACCAACCGGAGGGAGCTCCACATGAATTCTCCCACGAACATCAGCGGTATACGGTATACGTTCGGGACTACCGTTGTTGACCCATCTGCCGAGGTTATAGTAGCCCATTTCGAACGATGTGTACGTCCTGGGACCGAGAATGAGTGAGTGACGAGATGTTTAATGATGTCGTCCTTGGACCATCCAGACGCATCTCTGTAGTCCAACTCGTTGGGATGGTCCCATCCCAAATCTTTGGGAGGCGAAGGGGAACGAAGGTGGATGATTGTGTCGGCCGGTTCTTCTTTCGGCTCTGATTTCACAATGGAAGCCGTTTGATATTTCTGCATTTTCTTTTGACGGAGCCTATGGATAGGATGTGAATTAGAGCTTATGGATTCGCTGGTAATCCGCGTCATGGAGGAATTGTGCTGCTGGCAAAAGAGTTAGAACTATCGATACTGAGAAGATGTTTAGAAGATCCTTACTGATTCGAAAAGACAGGAAATGACGAAAATTTAAATAATCCAAACCTTAACGCACTGGGGTGTTGTAAGAGAGTCAAAAGGTCGAGGAAATGCTGTACGAGATGGTGACTGCTAGGTGAAAAAGGACCTTCCGAAAGCGGCAATTCCGATGTCAGCGCGACAACGTGATATTTGCGTCGCCGGTCGGTTTGTATATTGTCCCGCCGGCTATATTGGGCTATAATTCTGATTTCAAGCACATTCCTCCACATACCAATGTGAGATAGTTGAATGATCCATTTTCGTCACATATTATTAGCTCTGGAAATTGGGCAGACCTTAGACCTAGTCAACACCAAGTGGTAACCCTTTATCTATTGAGCCACGACTTCAGCTAACCAAGGACTGGTACAGGTACAAAATATAATGATACATTAGATGCAAGGACGACAAATCCCGGCGTGAGCACGCTATCAAGGAAATTTCCCTCAAACTTTCGGTTATCAAGGGCAAGACGGTCTGAACATCTGATGTTCCAGCGCATGCTGCTTTTCTGAATAGAGTAAAATACCGACCTCCGAGAGTGCGGAGATTTCGTATTGGAAATCCTGCCTCCAAGAATAATTTGACTAAGCGGGCTCTACCATAATAATTCAGCATAAAAAAGGACAGAAAACCTTGTACTTGTAGAAGATTAATCAGTCTCTGGTAGGAGTCTGACGACAATGTGCTACACTGCTATAGCGTTATTGAGGTGATCGTATTCCAGAATCCCCATAGAGTAACCCTTAGAGGACAGGCGTTCGCTGAACACTGAAATCGCCCCACCTCCAAGCTGTCAGCTGATGTCACGCTTAAGCCGCGCGTCCTTCAAAAGTTGATCCCCTCTACTTGCGAGACTAGTCCCTGCGTTCGCGTTGCGACCCAAGTAGGATCTGGCAGTACGAGGAATTCGAAGGCAGTAGGTGCCGTGAGTCTGGGATAAATGCCGTACCATATTATTTATCATGGTCACTGGTCAGTATATCTCAGACACATTTTAAATGTATAGAACTGAAATATCAAGAGAAAACTGGGCTTGTACTGAGGGGACCCATCGAAGACAGTGTATAAAAGATAACAGAAGAGGGTGAATTGCGGTGAGATGATGGGAGAAGGGTATGAGTCAGTGTAATTGCTACCGGGCTAACGCCGGCTACCGGTGCGACTCAGCCGGTGTCCAGAATTGGAAATCAACGCTTAGTATCAAACCATCACACACCATCACCTATCTGCCTCGACCGGATTGTATTCGCCCCTCCTTGGATTTCCCTTCTTATATCGGATGAGCTGGCACACAAAATCAATTCCGTTCTGTACATCTTAGCAGGCACATTAGGTTCTCCCTTCATGCAAAGTAGCGCAACATGCAGAGGCTAGGAAAAACTGTCCCCTGGGTCAGATATCACTCAAGAGCTCAGCGTCATCGAATTATTCTACAGAAAAGTTTAAAATAGTATAGCGCGCATCATGCTCTGTTCTACGCTCATTCCCAGCTGATTTCTGTGAAGACAATCCGAAATATCGTGTTTGGCACCTCGCATACAATTGACAAATGTGCCACCATTTTCTTCAAGACCAGCTCAGGTAGGAGGATGGTAAATAAATCACTAAACTCTACTTCAGGAGCTGATATTTGTTCCTTCAGGATCAGATATGACAGCTCCCCTCGACCAAGACAGCTAAACGCGGTGTCATATCGAGAAGGTAGACCCAGTTGTCGCTCGTTAATGGCTCTAAGCGTAGATACTTACATTGTTTCCATCCATTTCGAAGCCTTGCCTGTCTAACTCGGTTTCAGACACGAGGCACGGATGACGCTACCCTTGTGCCGTTTTAGGCTGACTGATCTTTGTCTCCTTCCGCTTGCTTTGTCTTTCCAAAATGGCTGTGCGAAGATATTTCAATATTTAAGGCGAAGGCTAGCGGTATCAGCTCTTCATTCCCTTACCTTCTCTCTCCCTTTGCCCCGGTGGCACTTTTCCCTACTCCTTCCGGCCCACTACCCACAACGGCGATGGCATCTGCCGCACAGAATGTGCCTCTACTTGAGTCTAGGCTTATTAATAAAGCTGAGAGTTCTGGATCTCGCTTGAAACTCGTGGACGAAAGTATGTCTATTTTCTCTTCTTTCTAAATCTCTACGGACCGAGAGTGTTTATAGATCGCGACTTCAATGTGTGTTCAATCGAAGCAAAATTATTTTCCACTCATAGCTGAGCACTACTTCTCAGGTATACCATGGATCCCTCGAAAAATTTGGCGAGATCGTTGTTTTCGTGAGGTTACCGAAGGCTCGTGATGGCGGCGCAGTCACACCTTTTCAAGTTATGCTCTCAGAGGTTGGCGTTCTTCATTCACTTCTCTGTAAATGTTCGAGCTAAATATCTCCCGACAGTTTGCAACTCTGACATTGTTACGACTCCGAGTTCCTAAGTCTGTCCCTGTTCCGAGACCCATCTGCATCGACGAAGATCAGGATAACTTGGTTGGTGGACCATGGACAGCGACCACACTGGTGCGTGCGTGCAACTTACATCGTATATCCATCTGAGCGCATTATCTTCTTTCCAGACCAGGGGATCGTTTCTCAATGACATCTTCGACACTCTTACTCCAGAGCAGCGGGAAACTGTTATCGATTCTGTTGCAGAGACGTATTACAGGATTCTCATGTCTCGCAGCCGGACGTTTTCAAAAATCGGCAGCATCTATCGCCATCAAGATCGACAGCAAATGGCTCGGGATTGGTTCTTTACAGATGTCGACGATCTCAAGTCCCAGTCCGCTGGCTTTTTTGTGGGACCTATCGCGGTATGCCCTCCAGGTTCGAATGGACTGTTCTCTAATGCCGAGCCCCCGAATATCTGGCATTGCGGTCCGTTTGAATCTGCGGATAAATGGCTTGCAGCGATCGCGTCTCGAGACTTGGACTATACCGGGGCACCCTCCGTCCTCTCCCTCGATGAGCGGCGTGATAGAGAACGCGACGTGAATGAAATCTTGGGGCGCATGCGTAAGGAAGACCGAGATTTTAGGAAGATACTTGTACTCGAACATCCTGCCTTTTCTCTTTCTTACATCCTCGTCGATCCTGCTGATCCCACGAAAATTGTTTCTATCCTCGGTTGGTCTGGCGCACGAGTGGTTCCATCGTGGGCTATCAATCCGCCGTTGGATATACCGGAAAGTATAGGGCATGTTGAGCGGATGCATTTGATTAATAAATTTGCCAGTCGAGTGAAAGAACGCTTTCCGGAACAACACTGGCGGAATAGCGGGATGTTTGACAAGCTTCTCGTCGCGCAAAATAGCCACGTACGTCCAGAAAATAGAAGCTTGATCTTCAAGGGCAAAACTGTGCTGCAAAGACTGCGTAAGTTCGTCACTTTACAAGCTTCGCCTTCTTTACTTGACCCAAAACCATAGTGACAGAGGAGGACAGAGATTCGGAGAAAAGACTTCCGGAGTATCTGGATTCCATTATTGATCGCTTTTCCGGGTAGTAGTCGAGATTCTTCGTTCTTACCGACGTTCCTCTTCCTTATGACGATTCTGTCTATTGTCCAACATAATCCAGTGCTCCAATTTCATATTATTGTAGATCGTCTATGAGAATAACACGAGACCTCATTCATCCAGGAAGTCTTAAAGCTTCTAGATCATTGCTCCAACTTCGCAGTGCACACGTATAGCAGTTCCGTTCACGACTAGTCCCACGTCTTACCGGTTGGCCCGGTATCTCAGTGCTAATATCTCGTTACTAGTCTAAGGTATTTGCGGCTTCCATCCTTTCCCTTCCGATGTGATTTGTCCGAGTTTCCCGGTATAACAGAGACTATACCCGATTCCGCTCTGATTTTATTTGACGAATTTCTTGTTTTAACAGGAGGGACAATAATATCCGAGCGCTTTCGTTTTCTATTGAATGAGCAAGATGAGGTGTGTGAAACGCGTTCCATAAATCAGGGTAGCGCCTCACATGGACGTTCGGAAAGATCGCGGAACTGGTCAGTGGTAACAAACCCATAATACTGGTTTCATTGCCGATTAGATGAGCGGGACATCTAGTAGAGATATTTTTTAATCGTGAACAGTTTGGGCCTGTAGGTATGTAATAGAAACGAGGGGGTACTTACCCGATCTTTCAGAAGCTAGATCATAGGAATCATTATAGAACAGCAAAATAAACCAAACGATGTTATCTTTCGTCTGGATCGAATCAAGTGACTCAACCGGCTTAGCCGGTCTCCTGAAACGGCCGGTCTCACAAACAAAACCAGACGAGTAACAGCCATGAGTTCTCGAAGGGTAATTTTCTAAAATACCACAAATGCTGGTATCTACCTGAAATACGCAGTGTCAGACGCTTGGTAAGAAGGAAAGATGTTGCGCGCTACGTCAAGGGTTGCAAAATTACAAGAGGGACATGTAGATAAGACAAAGACGGAAGCCGTGCGGTTAAAACCATCCGAGTGAAAAAAAAAAGCTATCAAACTTTGATCACATTGCAGATGTCGCTTCCAGCTTCAGGTACGGTCGCACACCTTGAGAGAATCTGAGGCTCGACGAGTGCTGCGGCAAATGCCGCGACTGATGTTGACTCCCTGACTCGGCCACGTGCTAACGGACGGATATATCTCAAAGCCGAACCAACTCTGCGCTGAGCACAGCACGCAAGTTACGGAACCGACAATCTCGTCATACTGCCAAAAGCGAGATCTATGTCATAATCCGGGACCCTCGCTGGCGCCGATTAAATACGGCCGAACAATGAATCCGTACAGTGCTTTTACCTTGCTTTTGCTACCCTCTTGACGTTTTTTGAATACAGGTGATGCTGCATGACTATGGTGCAGGCATACATTCCGTTTGCATTGCCAAAATGAAAGAATTGGACGTAACCCCAATGCGGTACCGCTCTGGCGCGCTGATTGTTACCAGAACCATGATGAGTCATTTTCACCAATGTCTTTGCCTCATATACCAAGATGGATAGATATCACAGTATTGGGCGCTCGTCGCTATTCAGCCTCTCCCTTTCTCTCTGTCTCCGAGTCATTCCTCAATCGTCCGCCACCTGACTGCATGTCCATCGACAAGGCAAATCTGACCATGAACCAGGTCGAAGACGAGAGACGAGAGCTAGAAACCTTCCAACTCGGTGTTTGGAAGGTGTCTATCCTCAAAAGCACCTCGTTCAATTTCAGAAAACAATTCTCGGATGTGAAAGTTGCCCTCAAGTACTTTTGGCGTTTGACCATCGAGGTCTACACCCTGGCACCCGTGCTAGCGACATTATATGTGCTGAACGAACTATGGTCGGGGGTTCAAGGTACTCTTCTGTTATACTTGTCTAGTCAAATACTCCGAATTGTGGGTGCTTTCCCTTTCCTTCGTTATATCCTGCTAACGCCATCTTGCTAAGATCGAAATAGGAATGGTCGATCGTACTCTAGACATCGCTGCTGTTCTCAAGGTCCTCGTCGTGCGGATATTATGCGTCATATTCTCAGCAGTACTGCAATGGGCAAGGTGAATTAAATGTTCATATTATGAAATTCACTGCTGAGGTCCCAATTATCCTAGGGAGCTAGTCCTTCCAACACTGAAGACTCGGATAACGACTCATTTCGAACTGTTTTTGATGCAAGGTAAGCGAGTGAGTCACACCAGCATCCATGTCTAAAGTACACCTAGCACGATTAAGGATAGATCTTCCGACTTCGCAAGGTTGAAGTTGCTCTCTTCATGTGATACTGTTACTAATAACTTCCCTATCAGAGCCACGCAGCAAACTCCAGGCATCTTCTTACGATGCTTGGACATCCTTTGAGGGTATCCTCGAACTTGCGACGAACGTATCGAAGGCCCTGAGCCAGCTTATACTCGTCGTGCAAGCTTCTCGATCTACTGGATCGCCTCTCTTTGCCACCCTCTGTATCATAAAGCCAGTTTTTCTCACTATTACGGGACGAACGCTCTGGGATACACGTACGCCGATCTGCTGTCATTGTTCCGTTTAGACTGAAGTTAAGTTCCAGCTCACATCGTTCACACGGATAATGAGCATCGACAGCGTATGAAGACTTTGAACAGTATGTCGTCCCCAGAATATAGGTCCGAAGTCCTTGGAGGTGATATCGCGAATTATATCATAAATGGTAGATATTTCCGTCAATGTTCTTCGATATGTCTCAACTCCTCGTTCAGAGTACAAAAAGGCAACTCAGCTGCTCGGAGGTCTCTCAGATGAATGGGCTCCATACCAATACATGGTTAGGACGTCGCCTGTTTGGCAAATCATTAATGATATACTTGGAGACCTTCCTACCGTATGTACCCAATAACTCTTTGACTAACTGAGGCTAACGTATCGCCTATTCCAGATATACTGCGTGGTGGTGTACATTCTCCACTCCGAGGGACTCTCTCTCTCTTCCTTTGCCATACTACAAGAGTCCTCACAGACCCTAGATTGGGCCATCCAGTACGTCGTTATGAATGGTAGATCCTTCTGGAAACAGTACCAGGAGCTCAAGAATGTCTATGAATCGGCTAACATCGCGAACACCCTGTCTGACGGCGACATCGCCTACCCCAGTACTGCCTCCGAGGAGAAACCCAAAGGGATGTCATTTGAACTGCGCGATGTTTCGTTCTCATACCCAGGAAGCCAATGCACCAAACCCACCCTATCCAACATCAACCTAACTATCAAGCCCGGCCAGCTCGTCGTTATCGTCGGCTCGAACGGCAGCGGGAAATCAACTATCCTAAAACTCCTCTCACGATTCTATGATCCTACATCTTCATCTGACTCCATTCTAGTCGATGGTATCCCGGTTTCGCATTACCGTATGGCAGATCTGCGGCGAGCGACGGCGACCTTGACGCAGGAGCATTCTCTCTTCCCACTCTCACTAGGAGAGAATATAGGTTTGGGGTATGCAGGAAGGGTGGATGATGCAGACATGATTGATCGCTCCGCGGAGATGGGAGGTGCGAGTCACTGCCTGGAAAAACTTGAGCTGGGAAAGAAGACAAGACTACGTACGGAAAATGAGGCGCGTGGATGCAACCTACCGGATGACCCAGATCATCCTCTACAAGTCGAGCTAGCGAAGCTGCGGAAGAACATCCAGCTCTCTGGCGGGGAGGTACAGAGGATTGTTGCGTGAGTGTCATTTTTTAGATATAACCTCATGCTGATCTCTCTTCAACCTAGGGCAAGGACTTTCATGCGTTTTGAGAGTGGAGAGGTCAGATTTGTCGCCGTTGACGAGCCAAGTTCTGCGTTAGATTCTGAAGGAGAATTTGCGCTATTCGATAATCTGATTCAAGCGCGAGAAGGAAAGACCATGATATTTGTCACGCATCGGTTCGGAAATCTGACGAAGCGCGCTGACCTCGTTGTGTAAGCTCTTGTTTCCATTCTATGCTTCACGACGGCCACTGAAGTTTACTCTTAAGTTGTATGAAGGACGGAACAATCGTTGAGACTGGTACTCATGAACAGCTCATGGTAATGGAGGGAGAGTACGCTAAATTATACAACATTCAAGCAAAAGCATTTGTAGATACTGAGAGTTCTTTAATGAGTCTATAGTACTTTTTACGCTTCAATATAGTGCCTGTATGTGGGGTGGCGTCGTTTTGGAGTAAATGTACATCCTTTCCCAGTCGGTGAATACCACCGGAGACCACCCATCTTATCATTTCTGCTACCTCTGTCTGCTATAGATAGCATAAACAAAAGACTCTCATGCCGACTTGATCAGTCAGTTACGTTTTGAGGTCTCTTTGGTGTGGGTGCGAGAAGTTGAGATATCGCTTATGCGATGCCGTCTTCGTGTTGTCCTTCTAATATCGGAGAGGGAATGTCACCGAGCAACGCGTAGGAAGAACCATACATAGAAGACTCGTCTGTGTCCGGTCAGAAGACCAACAGAACCTCGGCGGACTGTCTCCAGGTTGCCGCCAATCAGAGGTTCATTGAATTACCTCCCATGTTGTGGCACGGCCATGCTTGGACCTCAAGAGAACTAGACAGTTTTGGTCCCGTCATCGAAAGATTGAAAATAGCGGTAAATAACGTTGTAGTATTGTGAATGTTACAAAACGTGACACGGAGAGAACAAGGTTGAAGAAGGACATCAGAAGGGTAAAATTAAAACTAAGACGCAGTCCAAGGAAAAATGCGCGAGATGCTGGGCGCGTCATCGCACTTTACCATTGCACTGAACGTCAACAACCTTCTTCCCCGCCAAACGCCGACTTCTTCTCGCGGTAGGATGCTCGACGTCATAGATGGTACGACCAGGTCCGGGTCTAGGTATTCGGGCCGTCAAACTCGGACCGGTCTTCTTCACCTTGGGAGGGGACGCTCTGGAGGGATGGCTGACATCATATATAGTCCGAGGGGTTGCGCGCTGGGAAGTCTTTCCGTGCTTCACCTGCCAAGTTAAGAAGTAATGAGAAACAAGGAACAATCGGGTAGGGTGAGCCGTTACCATTTCCTGGGTGAACGATGATGGATTTCGATGTTTTGCATGTATAGGTTGGGTGACTGGATTGGATGCATGTCTTGACGGAGGATGTCTCTTCGCTTCTGCATGAATGTAAGAGTCAGTACGGCAGAGGAAAGAAAAAAGAAAGAGACGCACTAGAGTCTAGCGCATCGCCATGGGTACATCTTTTTGGAGCAAAAGAGAAACACGATCCGTTCACATTTTCGAGCTCGACGTAAGAAACATTCCGCTGGATGGCCACTTCAGCCTTTCGATTTGCGTGCTCCTGCGTAGGTGGATTTTCATTTCGTCGTATTGGGTGAAGATGTCGAAAGCGCGTGGACATCCGGTGTAAGGGTATTGCATGGACCCTTTTCAGATCTGTTAGCGAAAGAAACAAGACCGAGAATAGGATCGTACCGTCATTGCCGTAAATATCTTTTAGCGTCGGTTGAACTGGAGCGCCAGAGACTGCACTGTAGTAATGTTGCTGCTGAAGCTTGGGTTTGGCTGAAAGCTGTCATGAGCGAGACACACAGCCACCCGAACAAAACGTACGTGGAGCACGCATCGCAGTTTTGTTTTTATAAAACACCGGCTTCGGCTGAGCAGCTAATTCTGAACTGCCGTCGGACACCCGACAGTTGCGATCATCAATCTCGTGGAAGCGTCGTTTGTTGTTATGAGACACGGACTGAGGGTCAAATGTAGTATACGAGGGAACTTGGATTCTGTCAAAACCAGAATTGTCGTCCCGTGGTGGGAGAGGGTGCCGAGCGCCTATACGAAGAGCAGAGGAATCACGCGAGAACATCCATTCCGACGTGTCATCCCGAACTAGAATTTCAATTTCAGAACTAACCCGAGATTCCTATGACAATGTCAGAGTTCAGGTGGTCAACCACAGAGCGACCCAAACCCCTACTGTCTGGAATGAAGGCGCCAAAGACGCGCCAGTGGTTGAGACAGGGTTCAAGAGCCATCTAGCCGGGTAAGTATTGATAAAAGCCTCGAGGGGAAAAAATTGCAAGACTCACCGAAGCGATGGGGGTCCCTCGAGCATTGCCATTGTATATCGACGTGGAGTGAAAAAAAAAAGAAGCTGAGATCAGGGTTGCAAGGCGACTTTCGCAGAATAAACGCAGGCACATGATCCGGTGATTTACCGGCAACTCAGGCGTCGCGCGTACTGGGGTGCCCCAAAGCTTTAGTCGGTCCAAAAGAAAATTAAGTGATTGGTCTCCCTATATATTTTCTCTCGAGCTCCTCGCATACCGTCGTTATTGCTCTACATTAGCGACGTAGCGCAATACTAGGCAATAAAAGCTGCATCGATCAAGTAATGATCTATTGTTGGAATGTCTATGCCGTGTTTGATGAAGCCTACTAGACACGAGTACGTGAGCCGCAGTTGGGAAAAAGAAGTCTTAGTTGATATTGCTACTTTACCTTTGCTGGTCAGAGACACAGATTCAGAGACTACAATTCCTTCGACCGGCAACTCCATTCGAGATAGAAGGCCAGCATCATTTTCGATTTCGATGATCCAGAAAAAAAAACTGGATACCTGCATCTCAGAGGAGAGAAGTCTTATAATCAGGTCGTATTCCTCGTCGTCCCAGCCGGTAATTGATGGTTACTTATCAAAGGTATACCGATTTCCGGGCTTGGGAGTCTACAGTGGAATGCCTTTACCCTTAGCACAGCGTTTCGTGTCGTCTTTTCAACAGTCACGGAGGAACTTACTTTGGTTGGTAAATTTCTGCGTTCTTCGACACATAGTCTTATCCTCCGAAAGGTATCCGTGTGCGGAGTGGAGAACTATCAACTTGTGGTCAGCACGCAACGACCGATGCCGAAGGACGCTTTACATCTTTCATTCCACATGCTGATAAGTTCAAAATCAAGAGCTTCAGATATTCACTCTGGATTGATGACTATCAAATTTTAGTGACCAGAGCCTAGATCAAGACATGAACGCGAAGCCTACGGATGACCACTAGAAGCAACAGCGCTTCGGGTTAACCGCTGCAAAGATTATTGTCAACTGACAGGACAAAACACCGGAAATAAATTAACCTTTGGAAAGAGAACCCTGTTGGCGTCATCTTGCGGGGGCCCGTGCGTGGCTAAGGGTGTGATTTCCTTTTCTACGAAGCTCTGGGATCCTAACGCGGTCACGAGAGACCGAGGAGCAGTGAAGCTGTAAAGCTGTTACAACCCAGAAGAGAATAGAATCGGTCTATACGGGGGTAGATGGAGGAGGAGGCAGTCGGTTGGTGACTCATGAACCTATAAATGGATCCAAGTACCTGAGCTGTGGGCAGTTTTCCCTGAGCGTGGGATCCAGACCAGTATTCGTGAGATGTGTTTTATATCATACTGCTGTTTTCAATTGAGGCGCAAGAGGAAGCGGGCGCAGGAACGGATTAACGAACGGTGTGTGCCTGAAGTATGTGCTGCGGCGGGTAAAGGCTGGACAATGAATTAAACGTCCCAGAGCAAATAGCCTTCGCTTCCATGCTCACGACTACCCCGGCATTTATATGCTCAATTGTCAGCGCGTAATTTCCCCCGGGACCGCACTAGCCGACGTGTCGGGAAGCGCAGTTTTAGCTGGAGGAATTGAATGAAGAGAACACAAGACCTACTTCCGCTTCGTTGGCACGAAGAATAGTAAATGGGCAGAAATAGATGTCACCACAAGGGTCCACTATAGTAACAGACCGAGTTGATTTTGCATTGTAGTAAGCTCGCGTCAAATCAATTTCAGCGCAGAAATTGCAGGCGCAAAGGAAAAGGTGCCCTCGTGATCCGGAGGACCCTGACATCAGATGGTCCGGCCGTTTCCTGGCTTATTCGGAGATAACCGGCTTCCTTCCTCCTCCCTTTCTCTTCTGTCACCGCATCACGATAGCCTCCGGCTTCTTATGTTGTTAAGGCGCCTTCAAATCATTCCTTGGTCGCGCATGCCTCTAAATTTCGTTGATTCATGCTGTTCTGAGTCACAAAATTGCGACTGAATGACGCCAATTGAAAACGGTGATGCTTGATGAACCGCGATCCATGAAACAAGACGGACGATTGAGTCGGTTAAGCGGAAACAGATCCCTCTATTCACCAGAATCTGGGCTTCTCTCGGGCGTTAGAGCGATAATCATGGCTCCGATTCGGTCACAGAGAGGCGCCCACTCCCCGTTATCCGCGGTTGGTGGCGTCGGCTATCTCTGCTGGCTATATTAACGCCAAGCTGATCCAACTCTTCACCAACCAATACTCAGTGTCGAACCTAGCTTCAATACTCAAACTCAAATTACCCCGGTAAAGCCTCTCTTCATTATGTTGTCATGGATGGCAGATATTTTCCCCACAACCCATTCACCGCCGCCTGCCGTTACGCAGTCGGAATATACTCCCCTCACCATCGAGTGTATTCAGATACCTGCAGATGGCTCAGAACCTCATATGGTCCGCCTCGAAACCACCTATATCAACGACGACAAGCTCGATGACTGTTTCCTCTTCCACATCCCTGATGTCCGCATCTTCTGGACCTTCCACTACGCCACTGACGCCAAATCAGAGGAGGGAATATGGCGAAAGCGTACCCTTCGCCGAGTCGATGTCGCCGACCAACACACCGAGGCTCTGAATGGGAGCTACTATTTCTTCCGCTGCATCGATGGGCGTTTGCAGCGGAATTTGCATTTTCGGAAGGACACCACGGTGAGGGGGGACGTCTTTGTGGCAAAAGTGAAGGATTGGGATGGATGGTCGGAGCCTGCGGAATATATCGACGTCCCTTCGGATTTCGTGGAGACGAGGGAAGGGAAGATAACGCTGCAGAGGATGATGGATGCTTTCGTGAGCGCCTGCACGAATTGAAGGACGGAAAGAAGCGATCCGCTTCAGCGACAATTCACTATTATGGGATCATCTGGACTTTGATAATAACCTACTGTATGACCATTTAATCTTTTCTCCTCGCACTCAGATTATACAGTTCACCTATGGTTTACGAACAACAGCTACATACTATACCCATTCATTCTATGCCTTGTATATCGCTTATATTCCCAAAACTTCGTCGTGACTAGGAACTACCTACATTTTATCGCATTGACCTGTAGACGATGCATACTTTTATATCTTTCGTCTACCCCGCACATTGAAAGGAACATACTACGCCCCTTAAACTTGATATTCGAGATGTGTTTCCCCTCCTCCGCAAGCACCTCATTTGGGCTACGTATGTTAAGAGACGTCTGTCAGAAAAGAGATCATTAACGGCGAATCAGGTGTTGAACGACGGTTCGAATGTTGCGGAACCGACAAAATAGCCAAAGTAAATTTCCAAAAGGAGCCCACGGTCAGTCCCCGATAAAATAAGAAACTGCCATTCAGGCTTATCGTATCACGGAGGAGCCTATCTGGGTGGCTACTCAGATGGGATAAATGTGGAGCAATAAAGTGGAGTTTAAGGTTGGTTTAAAGATGCCCGGACTGCCCTGTTTCAGGATGGTCAACTGCAAGACTACTCTGTATATAGCTATCTGTGAGGTACTGCTTAAACACAGAGGATTTCAGGGAAACGGACTTCATCCTGTATTCAAATCTGCGAGTCGGTGGGCGAGCGTCGTCATGACCGGCAGTGTCTCATCGGTGACTACGCATGCACGTCGCAAATGAAATATAAAGGAAATGATTTCCGAGGTGAAAACGTTGCACCGTTTTTTTAAACACACTAATGCATAATACACCAATGATCATAACGAACACCACGAAGCAAAAATATCCAAATCGGGGAATCGAAAGGGACTTTGCACATAATAAAACAAGGTATCTGTCCATGACTCGGGTAGTGGTTTCTGAAAACCCCGTCCTCTAGGAGTCTACAGTATTTGCGAAGTACATACATAAGCCGTGAAATGAACGTTCAAATTCAATTTGCAAAACTCGTCCCGAGTTGGTCTCTCCACGTGATTTTGACGCTTTCTTTTAAATTTCTTAATCGGCTGCCGTAACAACTTTTTGTTCTGCTTCTCTATCATTCACTAGCCACTCTTTTTCGCCTCGTCTGGTACGAGCACTCTTTTTATTCTATTCTACGCTCTCGTCTACAAGTCTGTCTGCCGTCGAGCCTGGTGCAAAAGGCTTTTCTCTCGTTCATCTTCTTTCAAGCGGTCAGTGGCTCGCGTCGTATTGGAAATTGTGGGTATAGCTGGGTATGCGATGCTCAAATCAATCTATTAATGTAAAATGTTGATTGAATTCCAGTCAGTCCTTTGGCACGATGAGTCAGCCTGTAGAAAATGGAGTAGTTCTTCCACTCGAGCTCTGTGACAGAATCATAGACGAACTTGCGGGGGATACCAGAGCATTACTAGCATGCTCTTCGGTATCTCGCTCCTTTTATCCTCGCACGCGCTTTCTCATATTCGGCACGTTCCGTGTTAACCCAGTGCCGCAACGCAATCTCGGGCTTCTCGTCGATTGCTGGGGTCAGGTTCCACACATTCCGGCGTACATCCACACCTTTCATTTCTCTACAGTCTTTCTCACAGAACCCCAAGCAGCCAGTATGCTGCGGTATATGCGGAACGTCAAAACTGTGTTCATGAACCACGTTTACATTCACCATTTTCGGAATCGCGAGGCTATCGAGGCCTTGGCCGCTCTCCCCATAGAGACCTTGACGATCAATGGATCTGACTTTACGAGTATCAACGCGTTCGCTTTTGCCATGCGCTGCTTTCCCAGGCTAATATCGCTCAATCTCTTCGGTGCTTCCATCTCCTCAGCAGCCGATACCGAATTTCCCTGGGTCAATAACCTGGACGTATGTGGGCCTCCCCGTATTGAGAACCTCACGGTCACCGCTAGGTCTGTTGAGACACGCAAATCAAACACGCGCCTATTCTCAGAGTTTCCCTTTAATAACCAACCTTTTCGCATCGATAACCTGAACATGTTCGAGGTCCGGTGCGCGAACCAGACAGACATTGTCCGTATCGGGAGATTTCTTCCTCACATACCGAGGACCCTCAGGAAACTAGGCATCACGCGAGTGGATAATGGTAAACAAGTTCCCCTTCATATCGGCCATGTATCTCACCGTCGTCCCTTTGCCAGGTGTTTCAACCCCAGGGGTGCCACTGCCATGGGTCCTAGGCGTCCATCCGCTAGCCCTGCAATCAACTGAACACCTGATTATCGACGTCGGTCTCAGAGTCGGGAACTATGCAGACTACTTGCGCTGGTGGATATCGAGCATCGCCGCAGCGAGGGATGTTCGATCCATCAGCATTCGAATCGCCATGGCTTTCACGTACCTTGACAAGGCGGAAAACAAACCTTGGCAGAACGTATGGCAAATGATTGATTCTGCCTTGTCAGGGAAGGAGTCTCTGGAACAGGTTGTTGTCGAGCTTCAGATACCTTCTTGTCCTCGAAACTTCCTGGGGAGGAAAAGGGGTATCGAGAGTGAGTGCAGGGACTTGATAGAGCGCGGTATCATGCGCGTGGTGTTGCCCAAAAAAGTGCGCTTGGAGGCTTTTTAGATATATATGTATATCATACAAGTATCTTGGACCCTAATGAAGCTTTATCTACCGTTCTCTGCTGACGCGAGAATGTCAAGTAATCCGTTAGTCAAAGATAAACCCAATCAAGCAGAAAACACACATATATATTATTAAACATAAGTAGACCGGCTACCACCCATCCAACGCCAGGTGTCAAGGCATTTCCTCGGCAAAGCAGGATGACTTAGATGGCCTGATCAGGAGTGACTGCCGCCAGCGACTCGCAAGAGAGTCCTCTTTCTGCCAAGAGCGATAGTGCCGCAGAGTGTGATTGGTATATGAATAAGGCACTGCTCCTGCTCGAGCCTGCGTATGAGGAGAATCGAAGACGGAAGGGATAGGCATCTGGAGTTGGGGACCGGTCGTGGGGGAATGAAGAGGCGGGGCTCTGTGGGCATCATGAGGGAAGATGGGCGACGTCGTAGGCCGCACGTCCTGCGTGATCGTCTCTTCGAGACGCATGTGCCTTCCTTCCGAGCGGATGACAGTTTCTAGCCTCGATATACCGACTCGTATCAGCCATTGAAGAGCCTTCTGGGTCTCTGGTACGAATGTTGATGAATGAAGGCGCTAAAAGATGAAAGACGCGTAAACGAACAGTCTCAGATTAATGCGTGGATACATACCTGCCATGTATCAACACTCTGAAGATCGCGCAATGGCTCATGAAAAGAGTCGCCTTCGTTGCTGACAATTATTCCAAGCCACAAACCACCCTTTGCTTCCAGGAAACTGATAACCAAAGTGGCTAATCCGTTAACATCTCTTCTACTGTCGGAGTCCGACAAAAAGAGATGATCTGCCCAATGCCTGCAAGCATACTCGAGAGCCCCGTCGACAGGTGATCTTCGCACACCTACGAGATGACTTGTTCCGATATCACGCTGCGCAATTCCTATATCGGTGGGAATATGCCTGGTCATGTACTGTAGGAGTTTGGTGGTGATGGAAAGATGATGCTGTTTCTTCGGCATATATAGACGGAAGAAATCGAGGCGCGGATGATCTCGACATTGGCTATTTTCACAACCATCTAAGTCACATCGAGATTGCCATACTTGACGGGCTATCAAGAATTCGGTCAAGGAAGGATGGTAAACGCGTACGGAATCTGTGACGTCCTCGGGTATGTGCAGGATGGAATGGAAACCAACCAGCAAACTTCGCACGTGCGTTGTATCGTGACCATGAAGAGTGGAAAGATCCGATAAAGAAAGCTTCTGTTCTTTCCAAAGCGCAAGCATCCCCAAGATGGACCGACATACTGCGATATTCTCATCGCTGAATGATCCAACAGCAGATACAAAAATTCTCCCGTAGAAGCGTTGCATGCCGGCCGGTATATCCCTCGTCTTGTTCAACAAGTTGGATAGATGTATCACTGCAGAACCCGGTGCCTCCACCTGCCGACACACCTCAGCAGCGTAAATGAACAAACCTTGCGATTGCTTTACGATGCGTGAAACATCTTCATTTGGCGGCCATTGCATTCCAGGAGGAGAGAGTTTCTGAAGGCGCTTCTGAACATAAAGCTGGATATCAGAGTCGGCGAATTGACGGAACGAGTTGAGATTGACACTATAGATATTTCGAGCATGCGAATTGCCATCAGGTCGAGCTGCTACGAGGACTTTGAGGTTTCCCGGCATCGGCCCCGAGAGACACGCCCAAAGCACGCCTCGACCTTCTTTATCATCGCATTCATCGATCCCATCGATTACAATTAAGACAGGAACAGAACCTGGCGCCATCGTTTCAAAAGGTTCAATGATCAACTTTTTCCATTGATCTGCCGGATTTGCAGTAACCAACCCGTTCCAGCCTTTTATGATTTTCGCCAACTGTCTTCCATATGAGTTATTGAATGCTGAGAGCTGAAAGGCGATTGACGGGATAATGCGACCCGCGTTCCTCCGTTCCTCGTTCTTGCGAGAGCAGAAGAAGGTGCCACCCAAAACACCACGTTCCTGGGCGTCTCGGCAGAAGCTCTTGGCTATGGCAGTCTTTCCAGTTCCCGCCATGCCATGTAGCAGGCAAACGTGCGGCTGAGTGTCGTCTTTCAACCATGAGGTGAGATCACGAAGGATATCTTGGCGCGTTTCCGGGAGGGATTCGTCCGGGCCGTTGCCAACGTCCCACACTGCAGTCTGAACAAACTGAAGATTCTTGCGCAGCTCTAAGAATTATTAGCAATGTTGAAGACTATCGACCAAGAACTTCTTACCATTGTCGACCAGTATCTATGCAGATGGAGGGTGTGAATTGGAACTTGTCGAGGAAGAGATACAGCGAAGGACTAACTGAAACATTGGCTGCCGCATGGATGGCTGCGTCTCCCTGTAAACGACACTGAGAACAATGAAGGCTTCTAAGTGTGATGAAACGTACAGTCAAGGAGTCGAGATCTTGTTTGATACGGCTGAAGAAACGCACAACCAGAAGTTGATCGTCTTTTGCAGTCCAAGCACGCTCGAGGAATCCGCGATTGATTAAATCTTGAAGTGCAGGCAGGAATTCGTCAATATGACTGTGAGAAGAATGAGACAAACTCGAGCAGAAAGGAAGTTCCTTTTGAAAGTACCTGGCAATTGAAGCGACCCTCTCTTCCAACTCCTCTGGCATTGAGTAACGGTTTTTCAGTACGGTAAACCGAACATTTATCTCCAGCATTAAATCGTATATCTCAATGAAGTCGCGTTGGTTAGACGTCATTTTCTAGATATATGGTATCAGATACAGTAAGAGAAGAAAAGAAGTTCTTACCTCTATGAGGTCTACAATGTCAAGGCTGATGCTAAGGAAGGGTTTTACACCGGGTATGGGTACCTCTCCAAGTGTCCTCTGCAGCAGAATGAGCGTCGTCTTCAATCCATGAACAACATTCCCCTGCTCCGGGGCTACGGTGTTTCTGGGAAACCGAGCTACGTCGTTCTGAGCGTAATCGGGAGTAAATGTGTTCGTTGTCTGAGGAGAAGAGGTAGTAGAAGACTCTGTCGTGGGTTTATGGGGTGCGTTAGAATCATCTAAAGGCTTCGGATGTAAGCAACAGAAGACTCGACGAAGAAAGCTGTGGAATCCCATTCTCGAATGGTCAGCCAATGTTGGAGGGTTCCCGTCTTCTGAATATTTATGTCTTGCCAATGTGAAACGAGATAGAATCAAGCGCGCGAGCCCCTTGACCACAGTACCAAGGCACTGCTACTCGTCTGAACATTGCGAGTTACTACAGGCGTCTGCTTGCGAGGTGTAAGATAGTTATTGCTTGATGATTCGTCGAGCGGAGTCCAACGCTGTGGGGAAAAGGTGATAAAAAGGGGCGAAATAAGCGTTGGCCCTGCCAGATGACATTCATATCGGTAGAAATAACTCTTCAAACATTTAGCCGAAGGGGATCCCCAGAGGTGAAATGTGGTATAGGACATGTTTCAGAGTGCGCAACGTGATTGTAGCATGGTTCTTGGGCCTGTGCACCTTAGACGCTGGATGATGAGCAGCCGCAAACACTTCAACTTTTGCAAGCTTGTGGGACGGACACTTGAAAATCCTGTCGGCTTCCGCACGACGCTGTAACAGGACGGAAAGGATGGAAATGCAGCGACAGTACCAACACTGCACATACACACAGAAGTGTGGTGAATGCACGACAAAATTCGTCGCCTCGAGGAAACGAGTGATAGAAGCAATATACGCCTTGTGGGTGACGGCACCTTCAGATCGTACAGCATTTCCTTGGACAATACCATGGTATGAGCAAATATACAAGGGATCTACGGTTTATGTTGGCTGTTGCTTACTACAAGAACCGAGACGGACACATACCATCGACTGAATTGAGCAGGATAATTAGCATTAATACTGGGTAAGGATGGCTTGAAGACGGGAGCCTGATGCCTATCTGGAAATAAGATGCATGACAATGCAGAAATCGAACGCTTACCACTCATAGACTCCCCAAGGGCCACTTCGAACAGAATATGAATCGTTTGTAATGAATCAGAAATGATTTTCAAACAAATCTTCATTCATTCAGGAATGCCGTTAAACGATCACCTGTTCAGTCAAGGGTCGACGTCTTGTACACAAAATAGTCACTCGAATTGAAGCTTCAATATATCGCATTGAATTTGCTACCGCGAATCGCCAGTTTATCGCGACTCATAACTGGGAAGTGATTACCTAGCGACTTTAGGCTCGGAATATCAGTCCCGGCAAATGAAACGACTTCCTGAATTGTGTTTAGGCGTAATGATGAGAGATGACAGAGAATATTTTATGTAGCGACACGCACCGTGTCTCTGAATATTGTCCTAAGGACAACCACTGGTCCCTGGATAACAACTAACTAGTAGCTAGTAACCACCGGTAAACGGCTCTTTGGCTTTCTGCTTGCAGTCGGCCACCGGCTGTATCGATTTTAATTGATAAAGTCCAAGAACTGCGCGGAAATAGATTGCAGTTGCACACATCGTCGACTCATGAAATAGGTGTTGAGTCAATTCAACATGGGTGTCGGAGGTAAGTATTGACCCGGCATTTGTCATCATAAACGCTTCCGGACCGAACTGTCCGACTCCATAGGCTTTCGACAGCGACGGTCATCACCGGGTCACGTCTGCAGTGAATTCACTAGGTAGCCTGGGACTTGCCATGCGTCTAATGCGCGTCTCTCTTCACCCACGACCTTTACTTAAGGGTTAGTGACAATGTAAATGGAGACAAGCGGCGGGAAGCTTTACTAGACGGTACTTTTACAACATGATGCATTTTATGTTTACTTCCTCCAGCGATCGGAGGATCTCGTGAATTGTAAATCTCATGAGATTTTCAGCGTCAATCGTCAGTCGCTCCACGTTCGTAATGCTCTCACACGGGAGGACCAGTTATTTCCAAAGCAAACGAGTCTGTAAGCTCCGTATTCCTTGAAATGTAATATTAATTGTCGCTTCTCAGCCCGGAGCCCCAACCTAGACTAAGTATATGTCACGTTGATGTTCCAACGAACCTTTCCAATTTTTGAAGGATTCCATTTTGTATCCATTGTAAAAATACAAGCTACCTAGTGAACAAAAAAGTCAGTCTCCATCTTCTAAAACCACGATGGTATGTCGTTGAAAGTTCTACAACTATAATAACATTACAGAAAATCAAAAAAGGAATTGTTTGAGCAGCAAAGCAAGGGTAACTTAGCGCTTCAAGCTCGCACCCTCACCGGGTCAATAAACAGCGATAAGATAAAAGTCATAGTTTTGCCGCCGGAACACATAACTTGGAAGTAGGTCGCGAGCATGTACTATAGCCAGTGCGGCGCACGGGGAATGGCGTGTATGAGACTTTTCATGGTTTGGTGCTGGGAGTCATGGATCTAAGAGATCCGTAGATCGCACCCCATTACAGCGCGCTATGACCGAAATTTCTCCGTACTATAGGACACAAGGTATTTTATCTCTTCAGAATATCCGAGCGGTGATCGTAGGCGCAATTTGTTGTATTAGAAGGTAAAAAAGATTCAGGGGATATGAATTGTCCGGCTTCAGTAGTACTCACGCTGATCGGCCCACAGAAAACTGAAGTATTGAATAGTATTGAATGCAGGATTACGACCAGATGTGCCAGGAGAAGTATTTCGCTTTGAATGTACCTAAGCTGAAGTGAGGGCAGGACTGCGGATAGGCAAAAATAGATGGCTGTTTTTAGAATGCATCTAATTCCGTCCCTGCTAGCGCCTCGCTTGCACTGACGTCAATGGTAGATCACTTCCATATGCAACACCGTGCAAAATCAGTATCCAGCGGCCTTTCCGCCACTTACCGCATTTGTTACGCCAAGTTTGATTGCAAAAAATGATGTCTCGAGCGTGATGCTGATGGAAAAGGCTGCGGCCCTAATCATCAACATAAATTGACTCGAATGCATCAGAGTTTTCGTACAGTTGAGTTACGAAGAGGGGTTTTTGCTATACAGGAACATCTATATTCCATCGGAATCCAAGGGTACGTAGCCTAACATATCCTCGCTTCCTATATCTCGAACCTCGACATGGATCCCCATCCATTTATCCACACCGATATGACCCGGGTCCGGTTTATGTTTCCAGAACACAGTTGACGCCAAGAGGAACCTGACATCAGGCTCATCTCCCTGCATTATTAGGCTTCCCGTCAGATGCCGCTTCGCTGAATGCGATAACTTGATCGTCTTCACTGATCCTTGGCGATCGTGGACTAGATCACACAACCACTGCACATCTTTGGGACGTATGGAATCTACCACTACACTTTGGAGATTTGGCCAGATCGCGGACGGCGTCCCCGAATTCGCTTGCTCTCCAGGAGGAGATCGCATGATACCGAGGGTGTCCCTATCGGCGTTCCTCCTACCTTCCGCACTACGGAGTGCCATAGCTTGTGAACCGATAGAAAGTCTTCTGCGAGAGGTTAGAGGCCGTGGGTCTCCAATGGGGAGAATGTCTTCGCAAGCGGAGTGATAGAATTGGACGTGTGCTACTGCGGGAAGGGCATGTAGTGCGGAAAAGTCCATCAGCCGTCCACTACGGGAACTGACGAGAGTGGAGCACTCCGTGAAACGAAGAGTGCGCAGCTTGACGAGCCCTAAAACGAAGGAAGGCGGGATGCCGGCGGCAGGACCGCGAAGCTCGAGAAATTCGAGATTGGGGCATGAAAGCATGGACAAGATGGAAATGTTGGCGGTATGGGAACGAATCTGACCGAAGGTTAGGGAAAGGAGAGACGGGGCCTCAACTTCCGGTAACGTGTCAAGCCGAGTACTTTCGTCAAGAGGCCACACGCCTCGGAGGACGAGAGTCTTCAATGCCGGGCACTCTGAAAAGAGCGCTTTACACGTCAATGGGGATATCGACACACGGTAGATGTCGAGCGAACTGAGATGCGTAAGGGGGCAAAGGGGATTGGTTCCGAGGAGCCGCTGGTGAGATAGCCGAGGGACACCATGCACGAAAAGATTGTACCTGCCGTTGGTCGTAAGCTCGGAAGCGAATCTTCTGTAATCATAGAGGAAAATCTCCAGATCTGTGAGAGCCGGAGCCAAAAGAGGTTTGAGGGGGGAGAGGAAGTCGATACCTTGGTACTGCAGTGACGGTGCCGATACAGATAGCCGTCGAAGGCGACTAACGTGATTAGCCACGAGTTGTATAACCTGGCGCGTAGATTCCCCGATTGCCGTGTCTTGTGCGGACGAAACCTTCAGGACGACATCGAAAAGGCACGATTTCGACCGTTGGAGCCGGACTGATGCCCATTCAACTGGATCCTGGACGTGCGCTTGGTGAAATGGTATGTCAATAATGGTCCAAAACTCTGGATCATTCAGACACAGATTCCTCCAATGGCGACTAACGCCGCAGAGGGCGAGAAGATGGGGCCGAGAGCTGGGAGGAGAAAGCGGGAGGTCGGACGTAGTTTTGAAAATCTTCAAGAGCATTTCGTTGGGCAGAGAATGTACTCCGGAACCATTCGGAGCTACTTGATCACCGTCTGACATGATTGATGGTCACTGAGCCATATTCTGCGAAAGTTAGGGCTCTAGAATTCTAACACAGCTCGAATGATGCGTACTTGTTGAAGGCAGGAAGAATACAGAGAGTCGTGGCTGTGATAGGGGAGTTTGATCTGGGCACAGGGTTTATTTGATTATTGCAATTAGTTCCCGTGATGGGAAAGACATACCCGTTTTTGACCAGCGCGTGTTCTAAGCAAAACGCGATTTAAACAACTAGTTGTACTAAGGTTTCTTGGATATTTTATCCGGCAACATGTGTACATGGCTCGGGGAGACGTGATACTTATTATCGTCCATGGCCCAAGAGGCTTAGACGACAATCGGACACGCTAGATGCGTGTGGTACGGTCATTGGACCAGCTGGGGAGCAATAGTAGCGCCCTAGAATGAGATCCAAAGCTAGACAGACCGAACGAATCATTGGAATGAGCCGACGAGTAATCATAATTTATAAATGTAACAAACCAGAAAGAATCAACTAGAAAATGATGAGCAGAGGTTAATGATGGACGATTCCAGGCCTTGGATGCATTTGAACGCGACAGAGCACAACGAGCCTCGAATGAGCCATCATGATCAGTGCTAACTTGTTCAGCATGGTGCCGTCGGCCACGGGGTAAGAAATAATTCAATATCCGATTCAAGTCCGATTCAGACCTAACCACGGTGACGACGTTCGCATCAACATCAACATCGCACGCCACTTTTTAGTCGCCGAACGTATCCTGCCCTTGCATTTGACCTCGAAAATCTCAGTACTAGGACATCGCGGCAACAGAACAATGATTCAATTTGTAATACCCCAAACTTGAGAAAATCTCGACGACTTACTAACTGTGCTCAAGTCATACAGAGGACCGCATCACGCACAGGGCCGGTCCTATAGTATCAGCCACACCCTACTTCTCTAGGTTTCATCCATGGGCCATGGCAAACGTGTTGGGTGATTGGGCCGGCGGCGGATATAAGCCGTCCTGGTGTGCTGTTGCGAAGGTCGGCCGCTAACATCAAAGAATGTAGACTGTAAACTGACATGTAGGAACCCTAGGCACCTGAAGGTGAAGTTCCTGTCCCGACGGTGTGACCGGTGACTTGGTGTGAAACGAATGTCCACTCCTTGAGAATTCAAAGATAGCGGAAAGTCTCCCATGCGTTCAACGGTCGAGGTGTACCAGTGAATTGCCAAGGCAAGAAAAACGTATCCCAGTTTTCATAGAGCTCTACTTGCTATCTCGATCGACACAAATGCCCAATTCGTGTTCGAACCACGAGACATCCATATCGAAATATGTGAGGGTAACAAATCCGTACCCTCCCTGATCTCTGATTGGAACATCGAAACTCCCTCAGGTTCCCGAATTGACCAACAGACACGATCAGCACGGTGCGGTTGGTTCTTGCAACTAGTCTTCTTCTTACCCCTGGCTCTATTCATACCCCAAGGTACGAACGCATCTCTCGTAACCCCAGGACATACACTTATGTTAGTCTAGAGCTGTCAGACGCTCGTATCAGATTCAATTACCTTGCCGCGATGTCGGACGAGTGAGACATTTTATGGGCCATCGAGAGGTATAAAGAGGGATGGATTTTGTCGACTCTCTATCAGCGGTTCTATCTAACAGCAAGACCATATCAGGATGGTGATGTCTACCGCTCTTCTCCTCGTCTCCGCCTTATTCTCTGGGGCGTACGCCGCCATCGGTCCCGTCGCCAATATGCAGATCGTCAACGCAAATATTGCGCCTGACGGTTTCACCAGAAGGTACGCGCCGCTCTCACCCCACCCTTTCGCTCTCGCTAACCCCATTTCAGCGCCGTCCTGGCTGGCGGGACCTTCCCTGGCCCGCTTGTCAAAGGAAACAAGGTATACATCCTTGCCGTACCAAGTCATTCTGATCTCATTCTTGCTTTTTTTTCCTTCTAGGGCGACCGATTCAGACTCAACGTCATTGATAGATTGACGGACAATACGATGTTAAGAAGCACTAGTATCGTAAGTGATATCTTCCTACTTGATGTGCTGTCTGGGTTTCTCTGACGACCGTAATAATAGCATTGGCATGGTCTATTTCAGAAAGGATCCTCATGGGCTGATGGGTTAGTATATAACAGATATGTAACACATCGTATCTCACCTCTCTCATGACCACAGGCCTAGTTTCGTCAACCAGTGCCCCATCGCTGCCGTGAGTGAAATTCTCCATTGCCGCTCTTTAGACGCTGATCATGTCGCAGAACCATTCATTCCTATACGACTTCACGGTCCCCGATCAAGCGGGAACATTTTGGTATCATTCTCATCTCTGTATGTCTCTCCCTTTTGTTTTCGCATCTCAGAATTGTAACGCGATAATTTCAGCTACGCAATATTGTGATGGTCTACGTGGACCCATGGTCGTTTACGACCCCAATGATCCTCATCGATCTCGTTACGACGTTGATACCGGTTTGAGATTTCTCCCTTCTGATCTGTCACATTTTCATACTGACACGCCTTCCAGAGGCAACAGTGATCACGCTCGCAGATTGGTGAATACTTCTTTCCGACTCTCGAACAACAGTCTCTCATGATGAAACACACTAGGTACCATACTCCGGCCCTCGCAGCCGGGCCAGTACCCGTCTTTGATGCTACCCTGATCAACGGTACGTCAGAACAAATTTATCATTCCAACCCTAAATTCCTAATTTCAAAATAGGTAAAGGACGTTATGCAGGCGGCGTAAGTACCTCTCATCTCCTTCTCCCATGCTCCTCCTTCCTAAGCATCAAACGCAGCCCGCCTCGGACCTCTTCCAACTAAACGTAGTCCGCGGACTCCGATACCGCCTCCGCCTCGTAGCCACTTCCTGCGACCCCAACTGGGTATTCTCCATCGACTCGCACAACCTCACCGTCATCGAGGCCGATGGCGTGAACACCCAGCCACTCGTCGTCGACTCCGTCCAGATCTTCGCCGGGCAGCGGTACTCCCTCATCCTCAATGCGAACCAAAGGATCAGCAATTACTGGATGCGCGCAAGCCCCAACCTCGGGACGCAGGGATTCGAGAGTGGAATCAACTCGGGTGTGGTGCATTATGTTGGGGCGCCGTCCGGGGTGGACCCAACGAGTAATCAGACGACGAGCGTCATACCGCTCCTCGAGACGAACCTCCATCCGCTTGAGAACCCTGGTGCGCCGGGGTTGCCGCAGGCTGGCGGGGCGGACATCTCGTTGAACCTAGCTCTTGCGTTCGATATCAATAACTTTGAATTCACGGTCAACGGTGCATCTTTCATCCCGCCTACCGCTCCAGTGCTTTTGCAGATCTTGAGCGGAGCTAATACTGCGCAGAACTTGCTTCCTGCTGGGAGCGTGTATACTCTCCCGCCGAATAAAGTCATTGAGATAAGCGCTCCGGCGTTGGCGGTTGGCGGTCCCGTAAGTATTCGAATTGTTATCTCATTATGCACTCTCATTCTGACCTTTCGTCTCCAGCATCCCTTCCATCTTCATGGTGTAAGATAATTCTCCACTGTTTTGCGAACTTGGTAATGAATCCCATTTTCTAGCATACCTTTGACGTCGTACGAAGCGCAGGAAGCACTGAATACAACTACGCGAACCCGGTCAGTCCTGGCTACTCATCCCTTCCTTCATGGGGGATAGATAACTAATTGTTCTCTCCAGGTTCGAAGAGACGTAGTCTCCACCGGTTCTGGCACTGACAACGTTACTATCCGCTTCACAACCGACAACGCCGGTCCTTGGTTCCTGCACTGGTAAATCAATATCTTACTTCTCACTGAAAGATACACGAATGCTAACCATGCTGTATCAGCCATATCGACTGGCATTTAGAGATGTGAGTTCTCATCTACTCTTCCATTCTTTCCAGAGCTGACTTCTTCCCTCTCCTTAGCGGTCTCGCGGTCGTTTTCGCCGAGGACGTCGACACGATTCAGATGCAAGACATGCCGAGTATGATTTCTCCTTTACCTCATCCCGTTAGAGATACTGAGAAAGAAATTTCTTTAGCGGCTTGGGACCAACTCTGTCCGATTTACGGGAACCTCACCTCAGATCAGCTGTGAATAATAACTTATACTTAAGTGTCCCGACTATCCTTATTTTTTCTCCTTCTGGACATCAAGTTGATTATTTATCATCCATATTGGCGGGTTTCTTCTCTATATATACCATTTTATACCAGATGCACGTGTTTTTATTTATGACATTATGTATCTTTTTATGAGGAAACGCGCATCTTCTGGAGGGTTTTTGAGTATCAGGAGTAAGGAACGACAGATGCTAGCCTCGCTCCTAACCCTATTTGACGAGCTTGGTGTTCCACATGAAGAAGAAAAGCAATCGGCGAGTGTCGGCAAAAGGGATAGCTCACGGGTCGCCTCGACCCTTGCGGAAAGACTTCAACAAAGTCATGTAATGACGCTATACATTTGCCGACGTGCGAATCGAACACGTCTTAGCCACTCCAGCCAATTGGGAGTTTCTACCGGTAGATAGGTTTCCTATAACCCTCGGCCCTGTATAAAGCCGTAGATTACCGCCAATGGAAGTTCAGTGCGCAACCTGAGGTCCGTCATGGTAGATTCATCGCGCCATAGGAGCAATTGAGATTCCAAGATATTGTAATGGCCATTGCTGCCAGTCATCTGTCAAGACAGGGATCGAACCTATCTCGACAACGCTAATACTTACACTGAGGGAGGCGACCAGTAAGGTTTAACTGTATCTGCTTTGCTTAAATTTTCTGCCTTACCGTGCGGACAATACTTAAATGTGTATGTCACTTTGGAGAAGTACTCGGATACACAGCCCCAGGTTCTGTAGCGAGTCGTGAATGAGGCGAGTTTTAAAAGCACTGAGCACCGAGCACCAGGTTGGCAGCATTAAGTCGAGACTCAAGTATCGTAGCGCACGAAACCTAGGTTTCGACACATTTGACTTTACTACCGGTAGTTACCAGTAACTTACCTCTCCCCCCTCGCCCGACAGTTTGAACTTCAAACATTTAAACAAAATTGACAAAATGAACTGCAACAGCGGATACCGGCCAACGTGGAGATCGAACCCAAGACCGTCGCGTTAATAGCACCTAAAGACCTAGTATTAGTACGACTCTCTGACCAACCGAACTATTCGGCCCTAAAGATTTTTGCTTTATTACATCTTTGTTTCCCTCTGAGCCACCCATCCTTGCGACTACCCAAAGTATGCTCTACAAACGGCAAAGCACTGTTCGCATGCACAGGAGAGGGATGGTCCTTGGTTTTGTCTACTCTTTCCCACCCCAAGATCTAGGTACTTGGTGGATCGAGTCAGCTGAGCTTAATAATATCTTGAGCGCGATTTACCATGGACTTGAAGTCTCTTTCTCTTGCGCACTTAGGGCTATAGGTGGTCTGACCGCTACAAAGATGTGGAAACATAACAAACCTGATGGGATGATCGCCTGTGAGGCCCCGCCATGAAGAACTGATTTATTGAGCCAGCGGCCGATTGTCATTTGATCAGCACACTCATCCGCAAAACGATAAAGCTGTCTAGACCTTTTTATTAAATTTCCTCATAGCGATACATCCAATGTGAGCTTTTGCACTGGAGTGTCGCTCGAGTTGAAGCCTAACTACTTTCAATCTCACATATCTACTCAAGTACTTTCTGCGCTGTCTATTTTATCGTTTATCATGTCTCTCGTCTTTGGGGGCATTATCATGCCGAACTTGGACAACATTTCTACTTGTCAGACTTGATGCCTGGGGAAGGAAATGGTCCGTCTTTCTGGGAATGCGACACGATATCATGAAGCGGCATGTCAGATGCCAGGTGTAACCCTACAAGCTTTACTGATGCGATTAACAAAACTCAAAGCCGTAGTCAAAAGGATCTAGACATAATACCGGTGACATCACTGACATGGTCAATGTGGGGATCGAACCCGAACTATAATATCTAAATTATTTGGCTTCATCGGCTCAGTATCAACTCACACTTCCAAAATAATAACGCACTGAACTGATGCGAGCTCAACTTGAAGATGTTCAAGGTGTTGACGGAAGGTTGGATGCATTCACGTGACTTAGTTAAGCGCCATCGGCCCGAGATCGGATCCAGGGCTGACACCCTCCTTTCTTTCCCTTCAAGTTTGAGCTCGTCATCCAGGCTGGCACGTATCAGCCCTTTTCGATTCTACCACAGCTATGGACCAACATAAGTGACTAGAAGTTCGACGAGCATCAAAGGACCTATTCTCTAGATGGATAGAAACTGACGACTCTGGGGACGCCGAGAGCCACAACCGTCGACGCGGACTGGGAGGATACTCCCGCCGTTGCCTCCTCTAAATCCTTTCTCCATTTTCTCGCCATGCGATTGCGATGTTCAGATCCAAATCTGGGAAACTCCTGGTTGCACTGCCCCAACAAGTGTAGCGCCGAAACTCTTGACCTCCGCCGTTATTGTCGTCTGGCACCGGGTTGCTCATGTCGTTGAATCGAATCGAATCTGCATTTGCTCCAGGGCTCCCGACTCGTGTCCTCTTTCTGATAGGTCCAAGCGATACGCCATCGTTTCTGCCGAGCAACAATTCAGTAACTCCCTCTTCCATCGATCGTATACACATTCCTTCAATCGACGCATCGCAAGCAACAGGCCTTGCGCAGTCTCTGCTAGTTGACTGAGTACTGAACGCCCAACGCGCTACATCCCTTGAAAGAAACACTTTCTCCATGTATTTGGCTCAGTTTGCCCAATGGCGGTGGTACACCTAGGTAGGCGCTTGCTGCCTTGCGGTGAGCATCTTCGTAAAGCTCACCAACCGATCTAGGCGGCACATATCGGCACAGCACTACTACAAATGGGGACTCATCGGATGGGAAAAATAGGAACGAGCAATGCGTCTCTTCGATCGACGCCATCATCTCACCTCCTCTTCGCCGACCACGCCTATTCCTTTTGTGAACACGGTATGCAGGGCCCGGGATAACATTGCGTTTCTCCGGCTAGCACAGAAATGGGTCAATGTAAGCGCGTTTTGCGGTGCTTAATTTCGCGAAGCTCATGCCATTGCAGGTTACTTGGACTATCACTCGTCGGAGTCAATCTCGGATCTCCAATTAAAGTTGCATCGTATTGTCCAAAAGATCCCATCGAGTATGTGCTGCCATCTATATCGTATACGATGCCTGACTTGTCCTAGCCTCGCTCCCTCTGTTGTTGAGGAATCCATCTCACTCGAGGTTCCCATAGTACGACCGGTCCGTATTCCAGCATCTCCAGTCCCTGACACGTTTCCAGCCTCGTTTCGCCCCTGAGTATCTCTGTGTCGTTGCTCCGCTCGGCTCTGGGGAAGCGAGACGAACCGGAAATCGCGAGGATTCCATCAAGGTCCGGTAAGCTCGTCGGTAGATAACCATAAGTGAGGAGAGCGGGGGTGCATAGGGAAGAGTAGTGGTTCTGGATGAACCGTTACGCATTACCGGTGAAACAGGTAGATGGGATGAAGCGGTATCTTGGCCTGTCGCAGGGTAAGATATCCATTTCCTTCTTGCCGTGTCTCATATGCTGTCAGGCTGATGTATGCGCCTAGTTAAAATAGCGCATTCTTCCATTACTCTTGCCTTTGAACAGTAGATATACGCAGAACGTCTAATGGATTAATACTAGTCGGATGCGACGCTGGTATGTATTTGACTGGCGAGACGTTCTATGTTCGTCTTTCTCACCCCACACGTTGATCTATCCTGATACCCTCGTTGATAGCATAGGTATCGGCGGAAATTTCTACTGGCAGGCATGCTATTTTGTGTGAGTGTCCTTGATGCAAAGGAGCGTAACGATAATTAATTCCGACTAGGCAACCACACGAACACGGAACGCGGTTTCCTTCTCGTTCTGGTGGAGCGACTCCGGAAGGAGATCTGAGTTCACCATTTTGAAGACTCGTAAACAAGATGGGTGTACATTCACTTGTGTTCGCATGATGCCACATGAAAGTGAGTGGGTAATGTGCGACAGGCCGAGCTGTCTCAGCTAGCTCAGTGCTTCTCAAGACTGAACTTCGAAGGCAGCTCTGCTTTTACAACTGACTGCAGACGGTAGAAAAATCAATTCAAGGCTTCTGCTTTGCTACATGTTGTATATAGCGCATTCTCGTACCAAGACGCTGATTGATAACCTCCGAGATTGAGATACAGTGTTCCTCTCTGACTTTCCTCACAGCGAGAAGACCAAACCTAGCTCTAACTCTAGCTGAATCAGCTGGCTGGCTTGATGCCCTTAATTGGTGGAATAGTCGCCCAGATAGCAGGCGTATAATGAGTATGTCACAATCTCGGAGCTTCTGTGATCCTATGGATTCTGCGAGATCGATGAGGTTTGTAGAGAAAGCACACGTTTATCATGCAGCAGGTTAAATTTCCCAGAAAATTCTGACTCTGCAGCGCAGTGAAAAGAAATATTGGAGATAAAAAGCTAGCGAACTGTTGCTATCCGAGCAGCCAATCTGGGAATCGAACCCAAGATTTAGTTTTGTGTTATGTTACATCCAGGTAAGTTGCCTGATGCGTTGTTGCTATTAGTATTCAATCTTAATCAGCGGTCACATCCAAGAAACGAAAAGAAATGTTGTCCCATGCAGAGAATCCGACTTGATCACATATGAAGGACTTCATTGCTCATGTTTGAGCTTGTGTGTCCATATCAGGGCTACCAAGAATATCACACAGCTCGACTTAATGTTACGGGGAAGGAGCGATACATCTTCCTGGCCACATTTGAAAGCCAGCATCAAAAGGATTTACTACGCAGATATGGGAGTCGAACCCGGATTAGAATGCCTAACCCGCTGAGTCAGTCACCCGAGATTCAATTGGAAAAATGGTGGAGTTACCCTGGATGATCACTCGAGTGTTCACAGGAACCAGTTGAGCACATTGAATCCATCTCGACGTAAAGAAGCAAGCGCTATACCGGTGAAAAAAAAAGACTGAGAATTTACCAAAGATGAAATCATTACCCGCGTCGGGATTGAACCCATACTTCGACACCTATTGGAGTCTGCCAGTATGCAGACAAATGGTAGTGTGAAAATGCAGTAGTCCAGTACATTTATTTCCCAGCATTGTTAAAAGAATCACTACGGACTTCCATAAGGCTATTCGCCAATCATGGTACAAGTAGGATACTACCATTGAATGGTTGTGGAATGTACTTGTTGAAAGTATAAAAAATCATTACTCCTAACGATTTCGAAGTTGTGATATTACAGAAAGCGTGCCAACACGACTACGGCCATCCTTAGCAAGACATGCTAAGCAATTGATTCGTCAGTACTTTATGTACATGTCCACTTTCGAAATACAGCATACGTTTTCCTGTAGCAAGGAGGAACCTAGAACACCGGTGAACGGTGAATGGTGAAAATGGAACGTTAGCGAGAAATGTATATTTTAAAAAAGCAGTAACAACGATGATAGACATGATCGTAGGGATCGAACCCAGAACAGACATCTTGCTAGGATATTAACGCAACGCTCTAACCAACTGAGCTAATCACATACATAAAGCTTGTTATTTTTATATTTTAGTCCAACCTCGATTCTGCCTCGGTTTCCCTCTGAACCACCCGCTCAGTCTTGATACTAGCCTAAGCGAACTCTTACAGACGAGAGAACGCATCTGTACAAGAAGTATAGTCCTTGGGTTTTCACTCCTTACTATCCCATGTTGGGATTTGGCAATCCGGCATCATGCCGAGTCTGCTTATTAAGGTAGAAGTCTTAGGAAAAGCGTGGAAGATTCTAGTAAAAGTACATTTAGTATAAAAGTAGGTACTTTAGGGTAGATCCTCATGCATTTGCAGAGCTCAGCCAAGTGCAATACTATTGGCTTGCTACTGTGCATGTGACACTGGGAACGAACCGATACCCTGTTTTCCAACATCCCAAGAACTAGTTACTTATTCTGTTGACTAAGCCGAGTGTCAATACTGTATAATTTTGATCAGAGTGAATGGCTTGTGACCTGTGACAGTCCTGGACCTTGCTGAATGAACGAATGGGGGATTTGGGACTGTGACATTGGTAAAAAGGAACCTGAACAAACATCGATTTTTTGGGCAGATCTTCGACCGTAAAAGGATCAGGATCCTTTGAGAACCATGCAAGAAGCGCCTTTGGAGAATTTTATGCTATTTACATGATTTATAGCTCAATTTAGGGTTTTTTTTGGGGTCTGGAACCCCCAGAACCTATCCGAATGAGGCTCTTGTGACCTGTGACATACCCTTCTTTTACGAATACGAATGTGGGCTCAGGATGTGTGACATTCGATGTGATCGAAATTATACAGTAATATCTCGAGTGCGATTTATCATGGGCTTGACTTACCCAGTAAGATCCTTGTGAAATACAGTCATCACAGGGTTAATCACAAAGATGCGGAAAGATAAACAAAACCTGGTGAGATGATCGCCTGTGAGGCCTTGAGGCCTGGCCTTGAAGAACTGACTTATTGAGCCAGCGGCCAACTGTCATTTCGTCCACACACTCATTCGCAAAACAATAAAGCGGTCTAGAACCCTTCATCCATTTCCTTTTCCAACATGCGCCTTATGCACCAGAGGGTTTCTCTAGCTGCAGACCAAGTATTTTCTGGGATGTCTATCTATCTCGTCTTGACCGGTAATATCGTGAATGGGCAAACATTTCTACTTGTCAGACTTGGTGCCTGGGGAGGGAAATGGACCTTCATTTTGGGAATGCGACTCTCCCTCAAGAAGCAGCATATCAAACTGGAGGTGTACACCTTCGAGCTTTACCAATGTGATCAACAAAACTCAATGCCAAGTGAAAAGGATCTAGACACAAAACTATATTTCAGTGAGACAAGGCCAAGTTGGGGGTCAAACCCACGTTATTACAGCTAGCCTACTTGACTTCATTCACTGCATTTCGGCCCCGAATGTCTAGCCTTTAGATAGAGTATCGGCTTAGACCTCGTAAGGGACAATTTGACATCCCGAATAGGAAGGGATTTGTAATATGATTGTGCCTGGCCAGCTCAGGCCAGTGATTTTTTCAGCTGTCTGATGGCTTTTTGTTTCATATCACTGGCTGGTGATCAATATACATCTCTTCATGCTCTAAAAATCCATTGACGTGTCTTGGGGAAATCTTAATCAACACGAAACGACGTGGCAGACCTTTTTGACTGCAACTACTACCATCTAGGAGCTGCACAAGCCACATCTGTTGTTTTCTAGGGCCATATCGATTGGATATCATGTCAGTGATGTATCAAAGTTGTTTAAAAGTATACTGACATATTGTATCCATCCACAGTCAACCTGATGGCATCTCAGAGGGGTAGAGGGCGAGGAGTAAAGAGCCTGGGGGCAAGCAAGCAAATCTCTGCCTCTAGTGCTCGTGGCTGAAATGTCGGTGGTGCGTGCTACGGGGTGTCGCCAGCTACAAAACTTCTGTACCGATATCAGAAGCTGAAGCAGCCTGCAACTGAAATCACCGCCGGGTCCTCGACTCATCAGAACAGTTCTATGTTACATTCTGACATCAACATGCAGGACTTTCACGACAACGGGCTGGGCTCTTTTGTTGACTTTCCTGAACTTGCAAATATGGATGAGGCACCTGTTTATCTGGGCCAGACCACAGCTGATGTCGAGATGGGGCCACTCCAAGATTTGGGTATGGATACCGCAAATGCAGGCGATGACAACAATATCCAGATGGGCCTCTACGATGATCCAGAGAGCATGGAAATATCATATGAGGCTATTGTCGAAGTCGAACAGATGGCGGAGCAGCTTGCACATGACAATGAACCTGCAGTTCGGCCGGCGCCAGTCATTCTGACGTCTAATATTCCATGAGAACCCCAACCAGATCTTCTCTTACCCACTCTCAAACCTCGACGGCCTCCCTTGGAGACGTATCAGTACAGCCATGATGTGTGGTATGCTCGTATGGTCATGCTTATGACTGTATTTCTCAATATGCAGTGCCAAGTCACCTTCTTCGCATGCAATATCATTCTGTTCATGCTGAATCTCATATTTACCTGGCTTGACCTCCTCAAACCTGATCAACCAATGCCCATCACGTTGAACATGGTCCTTAGATGACTTGACATGCAGGACTGGTTCAATATTCTCCCAGGATGCCCTCAATGTCATAGCATCTTTGTGGGGGATACGGACCCTACAAGGAAATGCCCAGCATGCAAGATTCCACTCTTCCTTTCCCAACGCACTTCACTTCTCCAATCATTACTTGGACGTCCACCGCCTGACCCTATTCCTGCCTTCTTGGTGCCCATCGCTTCACTCTCATCACTGCTGGTTGATTTCTTCCAGATAGAAGGTAATGAAGCTGCTGTAGATGAATGGCGAGAGCTGGAGCCATCTCCTGCAGGACAGCACAGCCATGTCATGGACGGAAAACAATGGAAAGAAAGGCTTGATCACAATGGCAAGCCTTTCTTCACTAAGGAATCCCTCAAAAAGCCAAACGAAATTCGTTTAGCTGGAAATTTCTCTCTTGATTGGTACATTGCCTCTCACGTGTCGAAAACATCAACTGATTTTTGGTTCTGCAGGTTTGAGGTCACGAAGTCTGCCTACAGCCCGACACATCTAGTTTGTTAGCCACTAACTCTAATTGACTTAGATCGTGCTAGGATCCCTACTCGCACTTCGGTAGGAGATACTCTAGCAAGTCAAAGGCGACGAAAGTCGATGGGACAAGTAGTCATGAAGGACGGAGTTCGATGTTAGGTAGAATTAACCTTAGCCGAAGCTGGGGTTCAGACCAGCTGAGGCTCTTCTTAAATACACGTTGGGTATGCTAATAATTGTACTGTGGGAATGCGTCCGCTGCGATCGCACATGAGTAATCAGACTGAGTAAAACAAAGAGAAAATAGAAAGAAATGAATAAACCGTAACATTACCCCCTCCCTAAGACTCGTTCGTCCCGAATGAGCTGTTTGAGTTCGCTCCGCCGCTTGAGGTGGACTGGTGTGATTGTGAGTAGAAGGACCAGGTATCATCATCTGTGTCCTCATCATCGTCAGCTTCTGTGTCCCAATTTTCCCGTATACGTTCTAGGTTTTGGAGGTTTACTTCTTCTTCTTCGTCAGGGCAGTCATCGAGAAGGTCAATATTGTCAATGATCTCGGAGGAGGGATAAGAGTCTTGTTGGGCGTCGGAGTGTTTCGGGTTCGTACACTCGGATGAATATACCATCTCAATGTCTGTGATACATGGCGTGTCGGGATTATGGTACTCGACAGGCAGGTTGCGAGGTATTTTGTCGTCGATTCCAATGGTCTTTCCCTTTTTCTTTACGGTCCACATGACCTTTTGAATTCGTGCCTCATAGTCATTGACGAGTTCCTCGGCATTGGCCATATCCGAACGTTTGACCCAGGAGTTCTCTTCTATTGGGTATCCTTTCCATTTCACCAAGAACTCGGTAATGGTTCGGCGGGTTCATCTGCGGCCAATGATGCGATCCCTCTCCGCCATGATCTCTTCGATTTCATATTCTTCTTCGTCCTCGATCAACTCTGGAGGCGGCCTTTCAGGGCGTGGCTGGTTTGGGAATTCTGGAGCGTGGTATGGGGTCAACAACGACTCATTGAATCGGTTGTGGATGCGCCACTTTGTGGGTAATTTCAGTTCGTATGCCGAAGCCCCCTTTTTTGCAACGATAGCGAACGGTCCTATTCGCCTGTCCCCTAACTTCTTTGTGGGGCGAGGAAGGTTTAGGTTAGTGGAATCTAACCATACCTTGTCGCCGACTTGGTACTCCACTGCTTTCCCTTTATGCTTATCGTAAGCTTTCTTCATTGACGCAGCCACCCGTTCGAGCGACTCCTTCGCTTTTTCTTGCACCTCCTGGATCCCCTGGACCAGTTTGTATGCTGCTGGGACAGTGTTGGGGCGTTGGGCTGTTTTAAGGACCTGCCCATCACGTCCGAAGACCACCTTATACGGGGAAAATCCCGTAGCCGAGTGTCTGTGGTTATTGTGGGTGAATGCGGCGAGCGGTAACCACTCGCTCCAATCGTCCTGTCGATAACTGACGAACATTTTGAGGTATTTCTCAATTTCTTGGTTAACCCTCTCTGTCTGCCCGTCTGTTTGGGGGTGATAAGCGGTGGAGGGGTTTCCGGTTATCTGAATGAGGGTGTAAAACTCCTTCATGAACTTTGAAACGAAGGCAGGTCCTCGGTCTGAGATGATCTTCTCAGGCATCACGCCATAGGGTACGTAGATATAGTCCCGGAGAACCTTGGCAAACCCTAGGGACAACAGTTCCTCAGTGCAAGCAATGGGTATAATGGTTTTAGAAAATCTGTTGACTATAACGAGGATGGAGTCGTTCCCCCTAGAGTCCGGGAGTTTGGTGATCATGTCCACCGAAATGTGAGTCCACGGTCGATCAGGGATCTCATTAGGGTGAAGGGGTGCCTTTTTAGGGCGACGGTCCGCCTTGGTTCGTTGGCATACTTCGCATCCCTTCACGTAGGACTCTATTTCTGGACGCATCCAAGGCCACCAGTAGTCGCGTAGAATGAGTTCTTTCGTCTTTTCCACTCCTGGGTGCCCCGCAGTTACCTGATCATGTCGTAGGGCTATGATCTCACCTCGTAGTTGCCTGTCCCTGGGTACGTATATACGCCCGTCATACCACAGCAATTCTCGGTCTCGGGAGATCCCTTTCTCATGATTAAGAGAGTCGGAGATCCCTCGGTCCCACTTGCGCAGGTTGTGGGTGGCTAGCCTGATCTTCTTGTGTAACTCCTCCGCAGTGGGCATGATTAGGGCCCGGAAGTGAGCTGGTTTCAGGACCGTTACATCTCTATTATCCTCCTTTCCTTGGTTATGGTCTGTTCGCCTCGACAAGAGGTCCGCTTTGCGGTTTTGGGCCCCCAGCTTGTGATGGAGGGTGAATTGGTATTCGGCTAATTCGGTCACCCACCTCGCTTGTCTGCGATTGAGCTTTTGGGGTTTTCGGAAATACTGGAGGTTCGAATGGTCCGTCCAGATTTCGAAATCTTCTCGGGTGCCCATGAGATACTGGCGCCATTCCTCCAAGGTGATCATGATGGCCAGGAGCTCTTTGTCGTAGATCTCATAGTTCCGTTCTGTGACAGACAGAGACTTTGAGAGAAAAGCCACTGGCCGCCATTTTTCCCCCTGCCATTGAGACAGGACAGCCCCGATCGCTCCTTCGCTAGAGTCCGCTTCTACTCGAAATTTCCCTTCATCCAGCGGTATAGTCAGCACTACGTCTTCGCGAAACAGTTCTTTTAACGTTTCAAACGCCTTCTGCTGGGCCTCCCCCCATTTCCATTCCACCTTCCCGGTCAAGGCGGTGAGTGGCTTGACATGTCGGCTATAGTCACGAATAAACCGTCGGTAAAAGTTGCAAAAGCCTAGAAATGACTGCAGCTCTTGTTTCTTGGATGGAATCGGCCAATCCAGAAGACCCGCAATCTTTACGGGGTCCATCCGTATCTTTCCTTTGCTGATGAGAACGCCTAGGTACTCGGTTTCTTCTACCTCGAATTCGCATTTTTCGGCTTTGAGGAATAACTTATTGTCTCGAAGGATTTGAAGTACTTTTCGTACAATGTGCCTGTGCTCCTTCTTGTCTTTAGAGGCGATAAGTATGTCGTCGAGGTAGACCGACACCTCTCCCGCAGTTATTAACTCCTTGAAGATGTCGTTCATCATCCATTGGAAAGTTGCGGGGGAGTTGGTGAGCCCAAAGAACATGACTAGTGGCTCGTAGAGCCCGCGGTTAGTTCTGAACGCGGCCTTCCACTCGTCGCCCTGTTTGATCCTGATGTTATTGTACCCCCATCATACGTCCAACTTTGTGAAGTACTTGGCTTTCTTTAGCCGGTCCATAAGCTCCCCGATAAGCGGTAACGGATAACGATTCTTGATAGTCATCTTGTTAAGCTTTCGGTAATCCTGAACTGGGCGGAGTTTTCCGTCCTTCTTTTTGACAAAGAAAAAGGGGGAAGCCATGGGGGATTTCGACGTTTGGATATGCCTGGTAGACAGGTTCTCGTCCAAAAACTTGTCGAGTTCCTCTTGTTCCATGGGATTGAGAGGGTAGACTTTACAGTCTAGATTGGCGTTAGCGTTGGGTATTAATTCGATAGCATGGTCCCATGGCTTTCGCGGCGGTAATTCGTCGAAGTTTTCCTTGGCGAACACATCCTCGAACTCTTGATACTCTTCCAGCACCACTTCTTCAAAGGACTTGGTCACTTTGCGGGCGTTAGCCTGGGCGGCTAGCTCATTGGCCTTAGTTCCCATAGCCCGGACGTGAAAGGCTTCCTCAAAATCTATTACCAAAATGGTGTCACCTTCCTTGTACTCTTCCCAACGAGCGGATGGGTCCGTGTCGGGAAGTGAGAAGGGGATCTTTCGGCAGGTGCAACAGGCCAAAGTGACTGCTCCGGTATCCCAGTCGATCAACGGGTTGTGTCGTTGCAGCCAATCATGCCCGAGAAAAAGGGGGGTGGATCCTAAGTCTACCATGGCTAATTCGATTCGTTCCATGTGGTCCCCGATGCGGAGCCGCACTTCGGCATACTCAGTGATGTCACCGCCCTTGTTTCTGGTGCCATCGGCATTGTAAACCGGGACGGGCCGGGCCGCCTTTTTGAGATTGAGGGCGTGATTCCGAGCCCAGGCGCGGTCTATGGAGCTACCCGTGGCCCCGCTGTCCACCAGCGCTTTTACGGAGTGCGTTTCTCGGGTGTCTAACGTTTCCAGCTGTACGGAAATGGATACATTATGCCCCTTCCTTCCTCGTATGTACATGGGGGGCTTGTTAAGATCCTCCATCCACTCCCACCGGTCCCTGGCTTCTGCGGCGGTCTCAGGTTGCTCTTTGAGAGTTTCCCATAGTTCGACTGTGATCTCCCCCTTTCGACGGGGATGTACCCATCGAGCGAGGGCGGCGAAGGCGGCCGACTCGTTTGTAGCGAGCCTTAGGGCCCTTCGCGTCCAATGTGGTCCAAAGGGTTCATAATAAGTGTCTTGAACGGGTTTCCGTTCCTTGACCTCTGGGGTAACGTCAGGGATTACCAGAGGTTTCCCTCACGGCAAGTGGACCGGAATGTCGGACCGTAAGTGGGCTTCTTCGTCTTCGACTTCCTCTACGGAAATGCAGGGATTCGTACTCGTGAGTGGCAGTTGGTCACCAGGCCGGTCAATAGGGCCCCTCGGCGGCACTTGGTCACCTTCCGACGAGTGGGTGGAGGAGGGCTCGCTGCCCTGTGTTCGGCCCTGGCCAAGGGTGCTTGTGTGCGGCGTTGTAACCTCCACTACAATCCGGTACTTATCCTCTTTCCTAACGCCGGCGGTACTCTCGGAAACTCTAGGTAGACGCACACATATTGGCTCGCCAAGGGGGTCTGCATCGTTTGCGGATGAGGCCGTTACTAAATGCAGGTGGTCCTCCTGGTTCCCGGCCTCAGCTGCTTTTCCACTGCTGACGGGAAGGACAACCTGTGTGGAAGGCCCACCCATCGGAGTCGTCAGCTGATTCTCCCTGCCGGGGCGACGACCACCACGTCTGGCGTCCATCTTGTCCTGACCTGAGGCGCTCGCTGGGTCTTCCAGAACTTTCCCCGTTCGGTCAGGCGGGGGTGTCAGAGGTGGACCAGCCCCTAGGGGTTCATTGTCCATCGCTGACTGCATAGGACGGTGGGAATCCCCTCCTACGCCATTGGCGGTTGGCGATTCATCGTTCTTGGCTTCTTCAACTGGTAACGCGGCGAAAAAATTGGTATATTGTTCAAACGGAGTACCTACATACGTAGTATAAGTCCGACTAGAAGTACATGAGTGCGCACCAGGGGAAACTAAGTCCTTTGCCGACGCCGTCGAATCGCTTATTTCGACACCGGCTCGTCTTTTGACGACTTCTCCTCCTTCACTTCCTCAACTTTCGTGTCCTTCCCGAGTTCCTCCTTTTCGGCGTCAGCGAGCAATTGGCGGAGTCGGGCGACATTGGGCTTTTTGCGAGGTGGGAGTTTGACGGGAAGCCACTTGGACTTGTCGTCGGGGCATTTATGCTTTGGGCTCCACCTGGTGTTCCCACATTTGAAGCACCGTTTGTCGGATCGCAACTTGTCGATCTCCATCGGCTGTCCGGCACCCCCATAGGTCGTTCCCGTGGCGTCCTTCTTATCGCCACTAGACCCGCTTCCTTTCGACTGATTTTGATTGCCTCGACCTGAGCCGCCTTGGTTCGGGGAGGTCTTACTGGCGAGGCCCTGGGCCATGTCGTACCGGTAGTTGGCGTCGATCCTTAGGACCCGCGCCTTCCACTGTGCGTAGGTTGTGGGGCGCTCATTGTCCCCATGCATAACCGTTTTTCGCACCGTCGGCCTAATCGCCGCTTCCACTGCTTCGAACATCTGCTTCTCATCACCAAACTCTCCGCACTTGTGGGCCAGCCTTTCGAACTTGGCGAAAAATTCGACCGCGGTCTTGAACTCCGACTGCCGGACCTTTTTCCACTCAGCCTTCCATATCACGAGTTCTGCCACCTCCCGGAATTCTACCGTGATGTCGTTGGAGAATTCCGCCCATGTCGGGAACCTCCAATGGCCCTGATCATCCCGATAGCGATAGTACTGATCGCCCCACCAATCCTTGGCCTTGTCACGTAAGTATCCCTGTGCGAACGTTATGCAGTAGGGATTTTGACCCTGGTCGTTCATAGTGAAATGCAGGGGGAACACCTGGAAGTACATCTCGCAGTGGTGAAGGAACCGATTGATGTCGGTTGATTCCCCGGTAAAGTATTCGGGCTGCGTGATTAACTTTGGTTTGATGTCGTTCCACGGATTGCCGTCCTTTCCCGCCGCTAGTGTCCATGGAGGTATAGGGTCCAGGGGCGAGGGTGCCCTAGGCAGTACCGGGGGATTCGGTGGTCACGGTAACGATCGTAGGCGGTAGTTTTCCCCGGGCGGGGGATAATCACCCGGATACGCTGGTCGACGCGGGGGTCCAGTCAGCGGCAAAGGTGGGACCGTGGACTGTTTCCCTTTGTCCGAGGGTCCCGCACCCGGATCGTCCATATCTTCGTCGTCAGGCCCCACACCCGCCCAGAATTCTTCGAACTCAAGCGGGTTGGGCATCGGCTGCGGTCGTCGGTAAGCCGCACACTCCTCCTTTGGTTGGTCGGGGTTCGCCTGGTTCCACACCAAGGCGGCCCGATGCCACGTTTCCACCTCCAGGATATTCTTCATGAGGTAAACGTCGCCCGATCTTCTCGCTTCTCGATAATCCTCTCCCGCCTCCGTTAGGAGCCACTGGGAGTCCTTCTCCATGTCTTCCATCATTATCTCATATAGTCCATGCCACGGTAGTATGTTAAAGATCGTCGGCCGGGGGTGTAGAGGGTGGACCAGAAGGGTCCGGACTGCCGTCATCACCTCGCTCTCGAGAGCGCTGTTCGGCGGCCTGCTCGGCATCCTGGGCTTCCTTCCTCTCTCGGGCGAGGCGGTCGATCTCCCTGTTCCTTCTCCACCTTCCGATATCTGAGTCCTCGTCGCTGATCTCGGCCTGGTAGGAGTTCCAGGCTCTTCTTCGCGCCTCGAGGTCGGCTCCTGCTCTTCGAGCGGCTCCTGAGTAGCGAACGGCAGCGGCTCGGATTCAATTGTCGACCTCGGCAGGGGTGGCGTCGGGCTTGAGGGGTAGATCCCACCAGCCTCCTGGGCCCTGGAGGGCGTCCTCTTTGGCATGTCGTATGCGTGCGTCATGCGCTCGGCCTCGCTCCATTCGGGCCTCGATTTCTGGGGCGAGCCGGGCATCTCGAGTGAGTCGGAGGGACTCGACGTACGTGTGATAGAGGAGGGGCCACAGACGCTGAGAGGCCGGTACTGGATCGGCGAAGGCTCTCGACGCGACAGATGGCTCCCAGTTGGAGACTCCGGCGAGTCGCTCGGAGGCGGTAACTGCACCAAGTTCTTCGGCGTCGTAATCTGGGAACTTGCCCCAAAGCTCCCCACTCGTCGGCTCATCCGAGGAGACGGTGGTAGAGATCGTTGGGGTCACGGTGCCCGCAGGGATCGGGTCGGGCTCTCCTCCGGACGCGACTCCGGCCACAGCAGCCTCTTCCCGGTTGTCGGCGTAGACCCAACTGGTTGCAGGGTGCCAGCCGACAGGCTCTCCCCTATCGGTTGGCCAGGACCTTGGAACAGACTGTGACTGAGCTGCACTGGTGGTAGCCGCGGAGGCTCCGAGGCCAAGCTCTCCGGAATCACTGTCGTAGTCATCCTCCTGGGCGACCCTGTATCTCCTACTCTCGCTGCCCCATACGGCGTCTGTCCACCGGTGTCCTGACCTTCCGCTGTAGTTATCTCCGGTATAGGTCGCATCTTCCTCCGTGTTCGGGTAGAGGTCATCGAGGAGGTCATCGAGTCTGGTCCTCTCCCAGTCTGAGAGCTCGTCCCCTTCGAACTCGGTGTCAGGGCTTTCTTCGCCCGTGACCAGATGCCTGGTGCTTTGTCCTCAGTCTCCATCGGAGCCTGGCTTGCCTTGGACTGGAGACTGGTCGAAGAGACCTGGTATGGGCGAGTCTCCTCGGTCGAGGAGTACGCCCCTGGTATCGGTGATGTCGACGGAGTCGACTGCTGCGCTGGAGGCGCTTCTGTAGGAGTCGGTGCTCGACTCTGAGGATCGCGAGCTGGGTCATGACAATGTGTAAAGGGATCCTCCAGATCCCCCGGAGACGTTGGATTCGACATTTTGTATCGTCTGTTGGGATGCCACGGGAATGTCTATTACCGGCGGGGGGTATGCGGGAGTGCTGGGGACGTAATGGATCGGAAGTTGGGCGCGGACTCGTCTCTGTTGCTGAAAGCAGCGGCGTAGTCGGTACAAAATAATGGACAAGAAAAAGAGTATAAAAGTCGCGAAGACGGCGAGAGTGGAGTCGGACCAGGGCATCCGTAAGTGGATCTATCCTTGGTGTAAGTCGACGATTGACCATGCAAGTTGATAGACAGCAAGAATGGTGAGGACAATGAGGATCGCGATGATCAGGCTGAGGTCGGTTTCGTAGTTGGAGCCGTTCATCAACAGGATTTCGCAATCTTCGTGAGTGCTCGTTGTTATCAACAATAAGATTGTTAATAACGAAGTGAGCTGGAGGGCGAGAACGAAGGGTTTCGTGTTTTTAGAAATGGCATAGAAATCCGACCCAAAGAAGCAGGAGTAATCCTGCAAACAGCAGGGACGGGATGAATACGCAAGTGAGGAGGGTTCGGAGGACGGTCACTATGACCAGTCCAAGGGGGTCGTTAAGAAGAAATCGTAGCACGGAGAGTGCGACGACGGTTAAAAGAATGATTGGAAAAATGTTGGGCAACGGTGAGTCGTTGGGCAATGGAAGACGAGCTTTGGCTAAATGTTAGCCACTAACTCTAATCGACTTAGATCGTGCTAGGATCCCTACTCGCACTTCGGTAGGAGATACTCTAGCAAGTCAAAGGCGACGAAAGTCGATGGGACAAGTAGTCATGAAGGACGGAGTTCGATGTTAGGTAGAATTAACCTTAGCCGAAGCTGGGGTTCAGACCAGCTGAGGCTCTTCTTAAATACACGTTGGGTATGCTAATAATTGTACTGTGGGAATGCGTCCGCTGCGATCGCACATGAGTAATCAGACTGAGTAAAACAAAGAGAAAATAGAAAGAAATGAATAAACCGTAACATAGTTGGAGTTTTGTCATTTTCGATCGAGAACCTACCACCACATCTCAAGTTGGTCACCCGCACCCTTGTACTATTGTTTGCCTGCTTATTACACTCCACAGATGTTGCACAAGTAACTTACTCATACCTGTTTTACTTCCTGGCCCAACAGAGCCGACTTCGGAGCAACTACAGAATTACCTCAAGCTCATTGTTGACGACTTGATCATTCTATTTGAAAAGGGTATCAATGTTCCAATGCCGTCTACACCTGAAGGTTAGCGATCTTCCCTTCATGTGACCCTTTGCTCAGTGTGAATCAGGCCGACTTGTCCAATTCATGCTTCTTGCCATTGTATGTGATCATCCAGCCATGATGAAGGTAACAGGATTTGCAGATCACGGTCATACTGAAGCCCCTTGCACGAAGTGCTTTGTTACACATGCCGAGCTTTCTTCTGATAGGTCTCTCAGGAATGGTATGCCAATAGTATATCTACCTTGCCTCCTTATTCTATCTACAGGATTTCCAAAGTGGTCAGGAAAAATTCACTGCATCAGGAAAAAACCTGTGCGCTACGTTTAGCTACATTGAATATGTAGCCCAGATACCCTCGTAGCACACCCCCCCCCTTACGTACCACTATGTAGCTCAGTCAAAATTGTATGTACCCACTAGTAGCGCCCAGTAGCGCCTACCATTAGTTAGGTATCAGTACCATAGCATTATGATACTGTAATGATATCACAACAGTTCTTTGCTGTACTAGTATGATAAAGATATAATCACACAGTATGAGAGAGGTGAGATTAGATATATATCATCAAAATTCATATTTCACAGCAATTAGTTTATCATTCATCCAGGACCTCCATCTGGTTCCCCTCATCATCTTCATCAGGTTCATCTTCACTATCTGTTTCTCCGGTCCTACCATCGAGATCTGCCTTAGCCCGATTTTCTTCCTCTTCATCGTCGAGATATCCTGTCACTTTCTCCTTCGCTTTTGCACCAGAATTAGACCTACATATATGCAGAATGAGTATGATGTGCAACACCAATTTCACAAAGATGTCACCTAGCGCAATCATGCCAGTGTCTGCGAATGTTCTCTGTGACCTTCAAATTACCTTCACACCATTTCTTGACATCTGCCAGATGAGCGAGATAGCGTGGGCGTTGGATATCCTCATCCAGAGGTCTCGGTACATATTTACTGCTAGACCATTCTTCAATACAGTTCTCGAGCTAAAGGATATCAGTCAGGTGTCATTAGGAGTGCAAAAAGGTAATCAAACACACAATAGTCATGACTAGTGCCAAGGATTCTGGTTTAATCAGGTCATAGTCATCCGAGTACCTGATTCCGGGGGCCTTTTGATTCTTGAACCAGCACACACATATCGCACGAAAGATAATCTTGTTTTCAAATCATCTGAACTTCTCCTCTGGTTTCTGACATCACACTGAGCTAGTATTAAATGAGAACAGTGAAACAAACAGACCTTGAAGGAGAATGCACTGCCAGTTGAGAGCATAACGTAGAGATTCTTGTTTGTTTGTTGAATTTTCTTTTTGTCGGAGACCTGGAAGCCATACGTTGGGGAGACCATAGGTTGGATCCGATCCCGAACATTGCCACGAGCTCTTGCGCCTCATTTTTTAATCTGTCATGCAGCTGTCAGCAAAGTGAACAAGACAACAGTAGTCACATACCATGGACTGAAGAGCAGCAGTCAGTTCAAACTCTTTCCTGACATTCTCACACACATCAGCCCACAGAGAATGAACAATTTCAGCTTGCTTTGTATCATCAGGGTATGCGTCAACTGTAAAAATCTTGTTCTCATAGCGCTGGAGGACCTCATGGATCACACTCTTTGCAGTACCACTATAGTCCCAAAGATTGAGACCTTTCTCACCACGTGCAATGGTACAAGTTCGCTTGGAGTCTGATTTGGTGTCATCGGTACCTAGGCTTCACTGGCGCTTGCTACGATGAGAAGAGGATGCTGAATTCTCTGGAGGGTCATTACGAGGTGGAACAGAAGAACTTTTTTGTGCTAGATCCAAGTCTGGAAGTGGCAGCAATGGAATATCAGGCAGTGGAGGTGAATCTAGCACAGTGAGAGCAGAAGGCAAAGGTGCACAGGAACCTGAATGAGCTGAGTGGCTGAGCTGTGGATGCCGGCTCTCCCACCGACGCCCAGTTGCAAGGTCAATTCGAGGGGGGGAAGATGAACGTTGTGACAGCTCAGTTGTGGGCTTGCGAGTTGAACCTTGTTTGTGAAGGTTTTTAGGTGGTTCATTTTGTATCGTTCCTTTGCTTCGAATCTGTTAAAGAACTCTGAAACCATTCAAGCATAATAGTAACAACTCATACCGATGACGAGAAGAGGGTGCTTGGCTCTTCATTTTCCTTGTCAAACTCTCTGGAGGCTCACAGCCATTGTGCAAGAGGCAATATTCCTCATCAGCATGCTCCTGGAGATCTTCTGGAGAAAGCAGTCAGATCTAGCTGAAAAAAATGCATAGGAGAGAAAGGATCATGGTTTGTTCGCATGGCTAGCACACTGGTGGTAGCAAGCTTTTGGTTCTTCTTCTTCAAGGCCGCATTTTCTCTTTCGAGCTTTTTCATGTATTGCTCTTGATGGTTTTTATCTGTAAGATGTCTGTGAGTATGTTTAATAAACACTCGTGAAGTGGCACACCCATTTCCAACTGCTTCGTGCTCACAATTCTTTGACAAGGCACTCTAACTTCATCATCAGACTCAGAGGTGACAGTGTTTCTGTGAGCCATGGGACAAGGATGGTGGTGGTGCAAGGAAGAAAGCTACGATTGAAAATGTTTGTTGAAAAACAATAAAATAACATGATCAACAAGACTCACCTTACCGCGTTTCCACTTGCCTGATATATTTCTTGCACTGCACCAATGGCCCCCACACATTATCATTGCCCATTCTGCGGATCTTCGACGTGTTCATTGCAAGGCATGAAGTCTCATTATGCCCTGACACCATGTGGAAAACAGCTGGATGACAAGTTTAGGGGTCAAGCATTGGTGGCAAAAAAACGAAAGCACATACATGTTGCAACAGAATCATCAGCAATGGCAGTCCCATCTTCCAGTCCTGGTCCATCAGATAGAACAGACATCCCCAATATAGAGTCACAAGCCTTCCCAGAGCCATCTGACTCATTTGAACCTCCACCCTCTCGCCCCTCAAAAAAAACCAGAGTCGAGGACATTCCAGATGAAGACAATGATGAAGCGGGATCAGCATGATGGATAGATGACTTCCCATTTCCAGCCGGTGATCCCATCATGTGGTGTGGTACTCAGGAGACACCATTTCAGACGTACCGTCAAGAGAAGCTGGCACGAGGAGAGGATATGTGGCAGCCCTTTGAAAGTTGCAAAGAATGGGAGCTTGCCTGTTGGCTCGTTCGTTCAGGGATCAGCCAGAAAGAAATTGACAACTTCTTGAAGTTGGCAAGTGTAAGTGACTCTTGTGCATGCTAGTACCAGAAGGGAGTCCTGATTTTGCTTTTCAGATTAAGGAAGACGTTGCACCAGCTTTCGATACAAAACGCAAATTATTCCAGACTATTGATAAACTGCCAATGGGTTTAGAATGGGAGTGTGAGATCTTCGAGATAGTTGGCGATGAAGTGGATGAAAAGGGGAACAACCGCACAGAGGAAGTGGAACTATGGAAAAGAGACCCAGTTGCATGTGTTCGCAAGCTCATCGGTGACCCTCGGTTTATAAATTGCATATGCTATGCACCAGAACGCATTTACAAGGATTCAAATGGTACCTCACGAGTATACAGCAAGATGGCAACGGCAGATTGGTGGTGGGAAATACAGGTGAGCTCTATAATCTACTAATTAGCATGTGACATTGAGACTAATATACGCAGAAACTCTTACCTCAGGGTGTTACAATTGCACCAATAATACTGGCCTCTGATAAGACCCAGCTTTCCCGCTTCAGTGGCAACAAGCAGGCCTGGCCTGTATACCTGACAATCGGCAATATCAACAAAGATACGAGACGAAAACCATCAGAACATGCGACCATGTTGATAGGCTATCTCCCTGTCAGCAAGCTTGAGTGCTTCTCCAAAAAACAACGAGCTATCGAATCATACCAGCTGTTCCATACATGCATGCGATCACTACTCGAACCCTTAGTCAAAGCTGGAAAGGATGGTGTCGAGATGCTGTGCACTGATGGCAAGACCCAACTCGTCTATCCACTTCTGGCTGTGTATGTCGCCGACTATCCAGAGCAATGCCTCGTAGGTTGCTGCATGGAGAATCAATGTCCAAAGTGCACATCACCTGCGAAGAAAATGGGCGATCCTGTCTGCTCAGTAATGCGTGATCCAGAGAGCGTTATCCAAAGCCTGAAAGACGCATCTGCAGGGTTGAAGTCACAAGAATATGCCGACTGGGGACTTCGACCTGTGAATCCCTTCTGGATAGACTTACCACACTGCAATATATTTGAATGTTTCACCCCAGATATCCTCCACCAGCTGCATAAGGGTGTATTCAAGGACCATCTCATAAAATGGACAACGTCTACAATCAATGTGGAGGATGGAAGAAAGCCGGAGGATGAGATTGATGGTCGATTCAAAGCCATGACGCGACATCCAAGTCTTCGGCATTTCAAAAAGGGTATATCATTAGTGACACAGTGGACTGGGAACGAGTACAAGAATATGGAAAAGATCTTTCTGTCTGTCATTGCAGGATCAGCATCCTGGGAGGTCACAGTCTGCGTCCGTGCAGTTCTAGACTTCATTTACTATGCCCACTTTGAAGAGCATACAGATAAGAGTCTGGACAAGCTTGAAGAAGCATGGCGTACCTTCCATCGACACAAAAATATCTTTATTGATCTCAACGCTCGCAACGACTTTAATATCCTGAAAGTCCATTCCACTATGCATTATGCAGCAATGATACGGTCTCGAGGAACGGCAGATGGATTCAATACAGAGGCGTCGGAGCAGTTGCATATCGATTACGCAAAGGTTGCATATAATGCATCCAACAAGAAGGGATACATTAGGCAGATGACGAAGTGGCTGATGCGAAGAGAGGCTGTGGAGAGATTTCAGAGATTTCTCCAGTGGGCAATTGACAACTACGCTGAGCCAGAAGAAGACAAGGAAGATGAGGATGAGGATGAGGATGAGGATGATGATGGTCCACAAGCAGGCATTGTTCCCATGACATTTGATGGAACCAAGTCCGGCCACTTGACATCCAGTCACCCTTCTGCCATCACAGATGATGACGCAAATGCAGACGAGGAATCCAGCACATCCAAACCATCTTCAGAGTATGGTGAATGCCAGTATTCCATTGCAAAGTCTCCATCATACACCAATGTTGATATTCTCTCTCTCGAAAAACAGTTTGGCACCACAAAATTTGTATATGCACTGGAAGCTTTTCTTCGATGGCATTTTGGTAAAGTACCACCGGATTTTTGGACGTCAGAGCCAGCGACATATAGCGTATACAAACACTTCCATATCTTCATCCCACCGACTCCCGAGGTCTCAAAATCAATTACTATGGACTCTGTTCGTGCGACGCTGCCACAACCTGCTCGGGGATACAAGAAGGAAACACCGGCTGCGTTCGACACAGTTCTTGCATGGAAAGAACTGCCTGAAGAGGGGGTGGATCTACATACACTTGGGCCCCAAGGTGCATGCTCCTGACGTGTTAATCAGGCATGACTCTTACTGGCTTATTCTAGGACTACATGTTGCACAAGTCCAGGCTATATTCTCCCTTCCAGACCGTTTTGGTACCTTTCCACACCCTCTTGCCTACGTAGAATGGTTTACTCCTCTCCGGAAGCTCAACGACCATACAGGCATGTTCAAGGTTAGCCGATCAACAGCAAACCAGCAGCAGAAGTCATCTATAATTCCTATCACCTACATTTTGTGGAGTTGTCATTTGACACCATGTTCAGGGCGGAAAATGGATCCTACATGGACAAGTGAGAACGTATTGGACAGAAGTAAGACTTTCTTTGTGAATTCATATCTTAGACACATTGACTTTGTACTACTATGACATGAATGCAAAATTAAGTTGCGTTAGATCTCCCTCGTCCCCCAAAAGCCCTTCTGTAATATGAATTGAACCACAAAGTGCACATAGCATATGCCAAGGTACATATAGACTCTGCATGTGGTACCTAATGGTACACGGAGCTATGTACACTTGGCAGAGGGGTACCGAGGTTACTGAGTGTACTGCCAGTATGTAGGGTTGGCGTGGGGCTACATAGCATTTGGCATTTTCCTGATGTGCCAGCATTGTTTCGAATGGAAAAACCTCACCTCTGACATTGAGCGAGCCGACTATTTCAAATGTCATGGTGTTCGCTGGACCGAATTTGTGTGCTTAGACTACTTTGATCTAGTATGGGACACTGTTATTGATCCAATGCATGCTATACTTCAAGGTGCATGTTCTGATTTGACGGCTATTTCAAGGGAGTACTAACATGAGTTGACCATATCGGTAGATGTTGCCAAAAATCAATGGTATACTCAATTTATCAAATGGAACTCACTGCGAGCTTCTACTGAGACACAGCCTTGAGAGCTTGATATCATACATGACTTTCTATCAATGGTAAGCGAGTTTTGTATCCCTACCTTTTTACACTTTTGATGATCGTTGTTGACCAGTTCGAGGCACCACTATGGGCTGGGAAGCTACCTCTCCAGCTAGGTGAACCTGCAGGTGGTTCGCTCAGTGCTGATGAATATAAATTTGCCACAACAGTACCACTTCCAATCATTGTACGTGGCAAATATTGTCATGAATTCACCCCTATTTTTCGCTTATCTTATCTTATCATGGTATCTTATCTCAGCATCACAGCAACTCGTCATTCGACTCTCGTCATCACTCCTCGTACCTGACCGGTATCATTCATGACCCGCTCGGTCACACGCCTACACGGCATCACCTCGTGCCACGGACCATATCACTGGAACTCTGTCATGGGCTCTGCAGCCATACACGGTGGGAGGCGGCACCATATGGACAATGCCATTCCCACTGGCAGGAGCACTTCTAGTGTCATCACGCTCACACCGCATCATCGGAGCATTGCCACAACACTTCCCTGATAGGTCCCTGGATCCACCGCTCACATGCATGATCTGTTTGATGGCCCATAGACCGATCACACTCTATGGGCCGGATCCTTCTTCACCCAGTCACGCTTCTTTAGGTCATCTGTGATCACACCCTAGGATGGACAAGCCACCACGTACACTCCTCAGAAGACCGTGCCCTATGGACACTAGTCTTCTTACTCGCAGGAGGGCTTCTCCTATACCAAGCACCATATGATACAGAGGACATAGAAGACAGTGCTGCATTGGGACAGCACGCACCGAGACACAGGAGCGGTACATACTAGTAAATACCACAATGTATTTAAACGAGCCTTGCTGTGGTCTTACACCCCAGCTTTGGCTAAAGTTATACACTCCTAACTTTTCACACAGAAACTCCCTGTTTCGTGCTTAAGGACTATCGTACCTTACTTAGCGATTGCAATGCCCTCTTCACAACTGAATCACCGAACGCAAGTGACAGTTAAGAGGCAACCATTGTTCAATCCAAGTTAGTGCGTTACAGGCAATTAGAAGTCAGCATGCTGCATAGTTTTGGATGCCAGAATCAATTCTCCGCTATTGTAAGACACCTTGCTTTCTGTCTCTCATGTATACTGATGCCACGTACCAGTCAAAAGCTATCCTGGCTGCTGCTGATGAGGATGCTGCTGCTAAAATCTTTATCAGCAGACTTCTTCAAAGAGGTGGTGAGGATCGAGGACTTGTTCAGGTGGCAACACAGGATATTACACCGGAAGCAATCGTTGAAGATGGTATGTACATTTGAGCTCTTCCTTTCTTTGATACTAAAGTGTTCTATAGCTCTGTCAATGATCCGTGTGGTGGTTGGACCGCCGGTTTCCAGGAACAAAACTCCGCTCTCTGATATTGCTGCTAATACCCTTGTCCAGCACTATAATTCGGGCCCTTCTCCCAAAGTCCATCATCCCTTGAATCCTGCAGTCAGACACTCAAAACCTCTTAACAAGAAGGCACAGTTTTTCGAGTATGCAATTCTTGATGGTCGTCGCATTGTACCAACGTCTCGGACAAAGCGGAAAAATGCAGGTTCTTCAATTGTCAAGGTTGTATGGAATGACGAAACATATACCGGTGTTATCACCCACATTTTCCGCCATGACCAACTTTCAGTTATGGACGAAATCCTGTGGGCCGAGATTCTGTGGATGGCGAAGTTGGATATGTGTGCTGTCAATGGCAATCCTTGGAGTGATTTGTAAGTTCCTTGTTGTGACAATGTCCTTGCGATCGTTCATGGCTTCTACAGCCCAGAACTGGAGGTTGAATTTTGGCGTCATGACTATTATCATCAACCTGGTACACTGGGGGTACCTCCAAGCGTGATCCCATTCAAAGTCATCTGGTGTCCAGCTGCATGTGGGGAATTAAAGCTGTATCGGCCACCCATGTGGGTGACAACGACATTGCCCAGGGTACGTTCTCAACATATGTCACTTATGAGTGTTGCTAATATGATCTACAGCATTCTTCTCTTCTAGATATTGATTGAACAAAGGATATCTGTACAGCATAAAACAGCTTCTAGTTCTACTTCAGGTCCATGGTCCAAGTCTGAGTCCGAATTGCATATCAGAGTAAAAGTACAAAGGTCCAAATTCCAGCAAAAAGCACATGGCTCCATTCTGTCTCTCTCTTTACACAAGGTTTTCTTCTCCAGATGTGTCCCCAGAAGGTGCGTCTCCATCTCCTTGAGCTTCTTCTAATTTGTTTGAGCCAAAACCAGCAGGATCTTCATAGCGATTCCAATCAGAAAGAAGGTAAGTGTACTCTGGGTCATCTTGATGCTCGTTCCACCATGCCTCATCAATCCCAAAGTTATAGGGTGCCTTGGTAGCTGGTACAACAGTGTTGTGCCCGCTATTCATCACTCGAATTGGGCAGACCATCTTTCTCTCATGCTCAGTTCGCAACTCATTGTATTTGTCTTTGAGCCGGTAAAGTATGTCTGTGAACTGTTGAGTTTATGTTTATCAGCACTCAGTTCAGTAAAATGCTAGGTTCCTACCTCTTGACTTCGCCAGCATGGTCGGATGTGCTCCCAGAATGTCAACTGAGCATATACATCTTCTGGCAATGCTTCAATGTTGAATCCTGCAAGTTTGGCCATGTGAAGCTTCCAGCCAGTCTTCAGTTCATCGTCATCTTCTGGTCCGCTGGCATAATCCGACATGTACTCATTTGCAAGCAGGTCAGTTGGATTGACTCCATACTCCTTCTCATATTCACCTGTGGCTTTCAGCAATTGGGAACATGCCTTCAGGAATCAATGTCAGTAAGCCAATAACATACTTCACAAAATTGACTCACAGTTGCATGCCTCTGAGTCCAGCGTGATGTTTTACCATTAACAGCTGCCTTTGCTGCCTTTGCCTCGTTGACCTGTGCCTGCACGATTGGTTTGAAGCCATGAAAAGTGTCCTTTGCAAAGTCAATCAAAGTCTCATGGGTGTAATAAACCTTCGAGTGCTTCAAGTCTTCTGGACATTTGGTCTATATGGCAGGGTGAGCTTTCTTTCATGATGCTTATTGTAAGTTCACCTTGATATCCTCTTTGACTAGATGAGCAACCTTGCAGAAGATTGTCATATTATCTTCATAAAGGACATTCTTCTCGAAAACAGGGGTCATGTAGACTTCGTGCGTTTCAGCATTTGTATGGACTCTTCCTGGAGCTGGCCACTTGTCACCGGTTTTGACACTGCAAACAGCACGGAACTTCTCCAAATCAATTTTCTGCCAGTGTTCAGTTATGATTTCACTCTTTAAGATGCAATTCTAACCTTCAAAAGCTTTCTAGCTCGGGTAACCGGCTGTGACCACTGTTTTCCTCAGGTCATATCTTCATAGTCTGAGGGAGGCCCTTCATCCTTCTCTGATTCCGAATCACTTTCTTCAGCATCAACATTAAGTGTACATCTTCCCAATGGCTTCTTTTTTCTGCCTCGTTGTGCTGATTCACCCCCAATTCATTTCCTCTTCTTCACAGGCTCTTCCTGAAGCTTTGTCAACACCTCATTCTGCTCGTGCATCACATCAATCATATCAGCCTGCCGTTCCAGTAGGCCATCAACAGCATCCATCATCCGATGGAAATCTCCTGTTGTTGGTGGGCGACGTGATTTCTTCGCTGCAGAATTGCTGTTTACGCTGAAGGGCCCTATGGTCAGTGAATTCCTCACAGCCACAGTTGCATTCTTACATGTGCGATACAGGCTTAGACTTCTGTGTATGTATATGGTGTCTACCAGACGATGTTAGCCTCAGCATCAATCAAACTGCATGCATGTCACTCACTGCTCTGTTCCCACAGATTTCCCCTTCTTCTCAGGCATCTTCTTTGCAACTTGTGAGGCGGTTGCTTGTTTTCGTTGCAAGATTTGATCTGGACCACGATTTTCTGGCGCTTGGCGATGCAACGGATCCTGGGGCTGACTGGACATAGCGAATGATTAAAACTCTTCTGGTAAGGCTTCTCTTCAGACTCTGATGGTACTAAAACTTGCCTAGTAGATACAGGCTTGCTACTTCTCCCAGGGACATTTCCTGTTGATGGATCTGCAGGTATGGTGGTGGATGACCTGCAACAGCAAAGGATGGAAGTGAGTCAAAGCCCTTCATATGACCTTCTACTCACCTTTCTTCTGATAGATCAGCCTCCTGTTCCCTGGGATCAAAAGGATCTGGCTTGTGCGGTCCATCATACATTGCATTATGGATCTGGTGGCCTGAATTGCCTTCAAGTTCTGGGTTGACGATAGCTGTCACTCCGAGAAGATTTCTCGCAGCATCTTCCAGACCATCCCAGACGTCTTGGGGCATCCATATGGGCTTGAGGAGAGCGGGGGTCATGGAAAGATGAAGGAAAGTAGCGGTCAAGGGCGTGTCACGTCAAAGCAAAATCATGTGTTAATTAGACTACCTAATGGAGAATATCATGACCTGTTATGACCTCATTCATTTGCATAATAAGATAATGACCACAACAATATCTAGGCTCTGGTGCACTCACAATTTCAGGCTCTGACTAGGTATAGATTATCATTATTCTATAGGCATTCATCATTCCTGCTACGTTAGTAGTAGGTCTTATAGAGGGATGGTGGTAGCCGAGTTTTGAGTTTAACCCGAAGTCCGATGTCATAGAATTTTCTATTTGTGGAAGAAATTCACGGCCCAGCGCTTCAAAATTTCCGTTTAAGTCAGAATTTCGGGGTGGCACAGTCACCGCTTGTCACTGTTTACATGTGACCCTCTGTTACTATCACGCTTTCTGCGGCGTTGTTCGGCCGATCTTGCCAAGGATTCTGACTGAACTCTGAGAGAAAATGCGAGCTGGTGGCGGCAGAATGCTGCCACCGAGCGAGTCTTTTTCTCTCAGCAGCAGAAGCCACCACCACTGAGTGAATCATTTCAAGGGGTAGTACTCTCTCATTCATACTACTATTTTTTGAATGCTGACTATTATTGATTATGACTTTGAGTTTTTTCCGCAAGCCAAGATTTGAATAACCCTTGGGCCTTGATTCAATCTCTCCTGCAGGAATTATAGCCAGTAAACCTCGCAGGATCAATCAATTATACATAAACTTGGTTTATTATAAACCATCATAATTATATAAAGAACAAGGCTTCAAGAGGGGTCAACGTAGCAGGCTTTGCCCCTGATGTGGGCCTTGCAGGCGTTATTTAGATAGCGACTGTATCTGACTTACAAATCTGGAGGAAAGAAGACTTTCACACAGCTATTCTGGATGTAGTCACCAGTGCCTTTTATAGGTATGTTAAGGTGTGGCCGGCCGGGATTTTCAGTCTTATTTGGACCCTTTACAGCTGGGGGTTGAACGCAGTGATTAGCTTAGTATTAATTCATACTTTTTCCAAAATAATAACACTGAACTGATACGGGCTTGGTTTGCTCAAGGTATTAGGGTTGAATGCGTTCACGTGGCACAGTTAAGCACCATCAGCCCGAGATCGGATCCGGGGCTGACACCCTCTCTTTCTCTCCTCCCACTGCACTCGCCATTTAGGCCGGCACGTATCAATCCCTTTCGATCATGTGACAGTTATGGACTAACGTGAATAGGCAACAGATAGATGCCAGGGGAACTATGTTGGAACTATTGCAGTGGGAGGCTTGCAGTAGGAATAATACTAAATTGTTAGCTACTAGAGCTCCTAATGAGCTCCTTATATACTACACAAAGTATCTAGAATATTCTACCAAAAGTACTAAATATATCTAAGTATCGTGACAAATGAGTAAGCCGAAGCTTCGGGAATCTTCTAGTATGAGCTTGAAGGTGCAAATCCCAACAAACTATATTCAAGATGGATAGAAACGGACGACTCTGAGGTCACAGAGAGCTGCCACCGTCGACGCGTACTCGGAGGATGCCCTCGCCACCGATTCAAACGTCTCTCCCAGATCCTTTCTTCCTTTCCCAACCATGCCGTCGCGGTATTCAGGTTCAAACCTTGGACATCCCTGACTGCGCATGATTCTGCCCCAACAAGTGTAGCCGCTAGCGGTGGTACATCCAAAACCATTAATCCCTTGCCGTTGTTGTCTAGTACCGTGCTGCTCACATTGCATAGTCGGCTCGAATCTGGCCTAGCTCGACGGCTCCCGCGCCCGACTCGTGTCCTCTTTTTGACAGTCTTAGGGGATACAACATCGTTCTGCCGAGCAGTAACTACTAACTCCCTCTTCCATCGATTGCATACACATTCCCTATGTATAGAGGGAAAGACTGCTCGTTTTCGGAACTCACTTGATGCATCGTCGTTGCATGCCTAGATGCTTTGAAGTTGCGCTTCAACAAATGAGTTGGGAACGCAGATAACTCTCCTTTTTGCACAGCTTCAAGCCACACTTCCTCCACCGGTGCTTAATCCACCTGCTCGTGCACATGGGCGAGAAGTAACTATTTGGAGGACACGCGACATTCGGATTTAATTCACCGAACAGCCGAGGAGGGACGGTGAAATAGCCTTCACCAAGAAGAGAAGATAGAATTCCTGCGTTTAAAATGGAAGAGGGACAGGCGATGGGTCCAAAAGTGGAGGCGGCGATAATTTGATTTCCCTTCATTTGAAGTTAACCAGTGTTCACGCTTTTTACTCGAGGCTTTTGGGGAATTACTGAGCAATACGTGTTCATCGACAAGAGTGGCTTTCCGCACGGCTTTCGCTCTCGCGTGATGGGTCGTTCTGCTCAACGCAGACTTCACAAGCATGAAAGAAATATTTGAACAATGATACACACGATTTTCCAAGAAGTTCCGCCGCAGCCAGGGGAAGTACACCATAACAGCCAGTACGTCAGTGGTGCTATGGTACCGTGTGCGAGAAAGAAAAGCAATGTTCCTGTCCAAACTATCAGCTAAGGAAATAAAACAGTTAAACTGCGAGACAGCTCATCAAGAGGAGATTTGCATGGTGTTTGCGCATAATTCTCAATAAAGAATACGTTTGCTTCACGAGTTACTTTCCAGCCCAATATTTCACGTCGCCCGGCTTACAAGATTCGTATCCTCGGAGTAATTTTGATATGCAAACCGCCATTCCTAAGAGCGGAAAATTTGGCTTCGCATTGCTATGACAGACCGGTACTGTCATTATTCCATCGAACAACAAACCACGCACGAGAAGAGATCAATATCAGCACCAGGAACCCAGCGAGACGCTCATACCCATTAGCTTATGTCGAGAAAATCACCCTAGACGAAGTCCTCTACACTTGTTGAAAAGCAGTTGCCCGCTAAACGGCCGGACGTAGTTGAGATTTAGCGTGCTCGAAATTAAAAGTTAAGCCTTCTTATCGATAATCCTAAGCTTCGAGAGAGATGTCGAAGAATGATATCCTCCGAGAACCCAAAACAAGATGCACACGGTCCGGAGGAAGAAGACCCTAGGATTGCGAGCCAGAGAAATACGACATTTCTGTGAAATCCTAGTCGAAGAACCGTAGTATCGATTATGACCCCGCGCAGAGATTGAGGTCTCCAGTTCCTCGGTGTTGGAAAGAGATCAACCGACATTTCGGAGACCGGCCCGGTGGTGGCTTCCTTTCTGACCACCACCATCACGCGCCATAACGCGATCTTCAAGGACGTTCTGTCTTCGATGCCTCGGTACTAGTCCCTGTGGAGCTCAAAAATGAAGGACAGTACCCCTCTGCGGCACTTGATCAGGACGAAACATCATTGGTCAGAGGTGAAAATTTCACTCTTTACTTCACGCAAAGGCTGACTGGCTCCAGATCTTTTTCTGTAGAGGTATTCGTTTCGTTGATCAACCGCGACGCTTATCGTACCGCACTATTATTCCAAGCGCGGTGTTTTCTCCGTTTTAACAATTTCCAGGCGGCATTTTCTCTGATTCCGCATAAGGATCTAGTACTATCGTTGAACCCGCAGGATTCTTTTCCCACTCGTTCGCCTCCTATGCTCAACCATCCAATTATGCTACTATCGTCATCGGCCCTCATGAGATTAAACAAGCAAGGTCCCATCGTTAAGTAACGGAAGTCTCAAACCCTTCACGCTATCAAGAAGCGGAACATACGATTCTCTGGCTATAGAGGAGATATATTTGAAAGGATTAGTACGTTCGGATCATTTTCCCTTTCTGGTGTGGCTTTGATATTTCGAGTATTTCAGCGCAGAACGCACAATGCAGCCTACGAGGCCACTGGAACAGCGACCCCTGCAATAAACGTCAACGGGAATAATTTGGTTCCTACCGTGAGCCAGCAGCGATCGCTCATTGGTACGGATTCATTCCGTGAATGCTTCCTGTCTGCAAGTTCACGTACTTTCCTATCAACAGGTTACTTCCTACTCAACTCGGGACGAGACCGATGCGACTTTCATCTACTATCGCTCGCCTCTGCAACGCTGGTATGGTTCAATTTTCTCTCAGCGTATATCGATTTAATGAGGATCGCAGTTCATAAACTCGAATACGACATAGATTCATTATATTCGCTCAAATTCTCCGGTCAAAAAGTGCACTGCGTGAATTATGTCAAATTCGTTGACTTTTTTCCTTTCGACCGACTTTGAACCCACTCCCCGGACTTGGCTGGATTTTTTTAATACGTAAATTCATTCAATTAATACAACTACGCCGCCTGAATAATCTCATCGTAGTAGTCAGAACACCCAACTAACTACGCCTTGCGTCGCTGCGGAGAGCGAAGGCTATGTCAAAACTAGTACATATCCTTTTCTTTCCAATGCTCGCATAGCTCCGATATCATGCCTAGATCAACGTGATATGTTGGCAGGCCGAACGTATGCCAACCCACCCCCAGGCTCGCAGTCAGCCGATCCAGTTTCTTAGATCTGTGGCGCAACGTTATATCGTCCGCTCACAGTGGGCTCAATATCGACGTGTCATCAACTGTTAAGTGAGTAACTGGCTACATTTCCCACGCCGACCTACCGGTTTTCCTTTACCAGGACCATGAGTTCTTGATGCTCACGATCACGGGGCTTCGATAAGTGAATTCGATTCTTCGTTGCCGTGTTTCGGTCGTTTTGATCAAAACATAAGCATTACTACGACCGATGGTACGTCTACACCCCATCACCTGTATCACCTTGTTTTAACTGCAACATAGATATCCTGTTACCATGAGCAAACCGTCTTACTCCTCCTTCAGTCTCTACATATTTTGTATCACGTCTATATCTCTTCCGGGATCCCGTGATCAAGTATCTTCACCAGCTAGACATTCTTTGATCCACAATATCACGTACTGTGGGAGAAGCGCTGCTGTGTAAATTCAGTACTTGCCTATCTTTGCCTCTCCACTGCCATGAGTTCTATGCGAAGTCGTGTCGTTTCCCACGACATTGCTGCCGTGGATTTGTCGGCGGCTGAATTGTCTGCGTCTTCTTTGTGGCACCATGGCGTTCTTCACTCTATTTCCCCTTCTTCTCTTCAACAGCCTCGTTGCGGGAGAGCTGTTCAACCACACCATCGATGATACGCTCGGGGATGAGCTGACTGGGTTCCAAGTAGAATATAGTCCGGCTAGTCAACCTTCGAACGTGAGCGAACTCGTGTGGAAGAACGCCTCCCATTGCAGCGATTGCTCCGTTGTGCCGGACAATTCATTGGCGATGAACGGCACATGGACTGGGGTGACATACTATCCGTCTCTGAGAAATACGACTGCTCGGCTTACATTCCATGGTACGCTGCGTCGTTTTCGTTTTGAAGACATCCTTAGACTAACGTATCGTTTTCAGGCTCTGCGATCTACGTTTACCTGATCATTTCCAACTATCCAAAGAGCACAGGATTTGTGAGCGATGCGATATGTGATTTGCGTATGGACGGAGAAGTCGTAGGAAGCTATAGCCATGATTCTGACGGGACATACCAGTTTGAGTACGATGTTCTGGCGTATAGCAATGCATCTTTGAGCGACGAAGATCACACGCTGCTTATAGAGACTACGGGGACGAAGCCGTCATACATTATTTTCGATTATGTTGTTTATACGTACGTCCTTGGTATGATCGTTCGATTTCGTGCTCACTTCTTGAAGGAACACTCGGTCGTCTATCCTGCTACCAAGCTTGTCCACACAACAAGATTCAGTTACTTCGAGTGAATCTTTTTCACCGTCATCAGGAGCTCCTTCCGCTCTTTCTTTGGCCACCACATCCTCCTCGAGCTTAGCCAAAACCTTCGGAGGCGCCATTGCAGTAGGGGTATTGGCATTGGTCATTTTGGCGGGATCACTGGCATTTTACCTTCGCCGGCGACGCCGAAGGCCAACCGGACCAGCAACTCCATCGATGATGGCGCATCCCAGCGATTTCTTCCATCCATCTAATCAGATGCCACAGCGGCCTACAGCCGTATTCCATTACGACGCCGAGTCATCCACCGACACGTTAACAACTCAGGTTCCTGCTCCAGCGGCCCATAGACGAGAGATTCGTGGGGAATTAGGCCATTTTTGAATATGAGATCGTCTGCTAATCCAGACACGCGCCATCGGCTGAAGATGAGTTTGAATCATATACTGAAGGAAATTGGCGGTTGAATGCGTGGAGACAGTGGGACAGAGGGAATGGTCTTCATTAACTATTTAAATATCGGGAGACGGGATCATGGAAGAGTGATTTTATGATAGGTCGAGCTTCAATGGATATCTATTTGTGGTTTTGCCGTGGTGAATCTTTTTGGTGGTAGGCGGGCATGTTTCTCTTATGCGAGATTCCATAAATAATTTGTGACCTGAAGAGGTGGAGCTTAGTATCAAGCGATCTAATTAAATGGGTGCCTGATGAAATTTGGCGATAATAACTCGGTGTGTGTATATTCCAAGTCTCTATATCCATGGCCGGCCAGCATGAGAAGAATTTATACTCTTACGAAGAATCCCTCGAGAACTGTTATTAGGGGGAAGCTACAGCCAGTTACCGAATCTGATGGTATTGTTTTACGCTATCGCGACTTTCCCCCCCTTGTTGAACATCAAGTATTAGTCGCTGGAATCAATGTTATATCTGCAGCCAGCAATAATTTTATCCCATCCCGACTACACCATCGCGTGCATTACTTTATCGAGCAGTAAATGGAATGGACATTGAATCGATGATCTCGAGAAAAACAGCGTAAGTGACTAAGTGAAGCGTTTTTTTTTAAATAAAAAAAAAGAATCTCTACTACCGTCTACGATACACCCACCCGTATAGATGAATCAGCGCCTTCTAACGACGCTCCTTCGATCGACATGTAACAAGTCGCGGCCCCGTCCTAGGTTCCTTCAGCTGAGTAAACGCCAACACGCTAAATCCAATCAAAGAAACGCTGTTTTCATGTCTGCTGCTCGGTTTGTCCAAAGGTGGGCATATGCTAGGTGGGCGGCAGTCGTGCTTGCTGTCTTGCAGGAAAAATCTTACTAAAGCTCACCAACCAACCTAGGCGGTGCAGATATGCACTGAAATGTTACGCATGGGGTCCGTCTGACGGAAGAAAACAAGAACAAGTAACCCGTCTCTTCGATCGACGTCGTCCTCTCGTTCGTGACTGGTTTCTCATCGTTCTCGCCGACCTTTCTATTCCTTTTGTGGGAACGGCATTCAGGACCGTGGAGAACATCACACCTCTCTGTTTAGTGGATAAATCGGTTATGCAATATAGGCACGTTTTCAGCACGCAATTTTCCGAAGCTCATGTCGTTGAAGCTCAGGCTGAGGGATAGGCTATTACTCGGAACAACGATCATCAGCATTACTAGAGTCTGCCCCACACCATCTGAAGGATCGTGATCGCGTTCTTTTGACCATCGAGTATGCCATATCGATTCCGACACATGACTCGTCATAGCTTCACTCCCTCCGTTGTCGAGGATTCCATCTCGCTCAAGGCTCTAGTCGTACGACCTACCCGTATTATGACCTATCTGGTTCTCAACGCTCTCCAACCTCTTCTAAGCCTCGCTTCTTCGCTGGGTATCTGTGTTCCACTTGGTCAATATCCATCCGGCGCATTGGTGGATAACATGAGTGAAGAGAGTGAGGGAGCAGACCGGGGTCGATTGGCTATTCGGGATGAAACGGCTAGTGGAGAAGGTGAAACCGTACCTGGGCCTGTCGCAGTGTAAGATATCCACTACCTTGTATTCGTATCTCGTAGGCTGATATATACGCCTAGTTCAAGTAGTGCATTCTTCCATCACGGTTGACTAGAACTGTTGAACAGTGGATATATGCGCAATATCAGGCGGAAGGACGTGATACGCATGTCTATTTGACCGGTGAGATGTCCTATGTTTGTTTTTCTCTCCGCACCCGTAGACATTATCCTGATACCCTCGTTGATAACATGAGGTGTTGGCGTCAGTTTCTACTGGAAAGCGCGTCATTTTGTGTGAGCTACCTTGATACAAATGAGATTGGTTCTAATTCGGTTCGTCTAGGCAGCGACGCGAATACGGAACTCTGTTCTTACCGAGCGACTCCAGGAAGAGACCACCTTGAAGACGTCGTGAACAGGTAGGATACACATCCACTTGTGTTCGCATGACAATGTCACAGGAAAGCAATTGTTGGCGACATCAGACTCTTTACTAGCTCTGCACTTCCAAGAACTGAATAGGGTCGAAATACAGCACAGTGAGACACAACGTTCTCAGTGATCATCTCCGACTTTCATCATAAGCCAAGGGACAGCTCTAACCAAGTGAGCCGGCCGTCCTCATGCCCTCAGCTGGTGGAATAGTCGCCCGGAGAGGGGGCATGCTACAGTGTTCATTGTCGGAGTCGATAAAAGGGAATCTGTGATTCTAGGTATCCGAAGAGTAGCAGAATTCGGACGTGAGGAACGACTCGCTTGACCCGTCAACTTCTCTTGGCTTAGACTTTTTGCCACGACTTTTTGCTGATGAGCGATTATGAATCTTACTCTATTCGACACCAACTTACAGCTCCTCTGAGTTAGGATGCGTCGCCAATGGCCATCTAAAATCAGTACTGGCATTTTCCACATCGCGTATCCTTTGACAAAACTTTGAATTCAGAGCCCTGGTAAAAAGGATCCCAAGTTTTCCTTTGTGGAATAGCCGACACGGGGAGTCGAACCCTGTGTTATGACACTTAATCTATTCAGCTGGTTGTCCGGGTACCAATAAATTCACATTTTCCACTAAATATTCAATTTCCCGGGCACGTGGGAGGGACGTCGGATGTTTTTGATGATTTCTGATTCTCGAGTTCTGATCTATCAGTCACTCAAATGTCGTACTACCCATTAGAATGGTAAGTATTCTATGACCTATTACCAAGAGCGAAATTTTCTCCCTGTCAGACTTGATATTGGGGGAAGGAAATGTTGGAGTATTAAGTGTCGCGCATCGCAGCGCGGTTGACGTCGGGATCTTCGGTTGTCAGGCAAGGAAACTGTTCTTCTCCTCGGCCTTGTTCACTACGTAGTATTACTACTTCTATTAGGTGTACAGTTTGTAGATAAATAGACAGACAAACGATGATGACCCTCGCCTGTTTGCGAGGGCTCCCTGCTATATCCGGGTGAGCGGCTGGAGAATTACCGCTTATCTCAACAGGAAATAGTACTTACGTCTTGCTGGGATATGCATGTGAGTCTCCGTCGAGGAGCAGCATGTGCGAGGTGAGGTGTACGCCTTCAAGATTTACTTGTGCGGTTAACAAAACTCAATGCAGACATTGCCGAGGTCAAAAGGATCTAGACATAGCACAGTAACCTATATGTACCATTGTGGGAGTCGAACCCGCGTTATGACATCCAGCCTGCTTGGCTTCATCGGCTCAGTATTAATTCGCACGTCTGAAATAACAACGGACTGAACTGATACGAGCTCAGCTTGAAAATGTTCAGAATTAAGGTGTTGCGCTCACGTGACATAGTTAAGCGCCCGAGATCGGATCCGAGGCTTAACACCCTTTCTTTCTCTCTTCTTCTGCGCTCGCCGTTCATGCCGGCGCGTATGAGCCCTTTTCGATCCTGCGATAGCTACGGATTAACGCAATCAGACGAGAGACGGATGCCAGAGGAACTATGGCCTAGATGAATGGAAACGGACGACAGAGAGCAACTTGGGCCATCGTCGACGCGTACTCGGAGGATGCCCCCATCACCAATTCGAAAGCCTCCCAGATCCTTTCTTCCTTTCCTCGCCATGCTATCTCGTCCTCTCAAATTTAAATTCGGGAAGCTCCTAGCTCCGCGCGATTCCGCACCAACATGTGTAGTGAGATATATCCAATTTGGCAACACTCTTGACATTCGCCGTTACGATCGTTTAGCACCGGGATGCTCATGCATGTATGTCGCAAGTCGATCCGCATCTGCCTTAGCTCTAGGGCTAGCGCTCCCGATTCGTGTCCTCTTTCTGACAGTTACAAGCGATACGCCCATCATTTCTGCCGAGCAGTAATTCCCTCGGACCTAGCGCCAGTAACACCACCACCACCACCACCATCATCAATCGTATACACATTCCTTCAGTGGACGCGTCACAAGCCACAGGGCCTCGCGTAGTCTCTGTCAGTTCACTGAACGCCCAACGTGCTACATCCCCTGAAAGAATCACCTTCATGTATGCAGCTCGGTTTGCCCAATGGCTATGGTACACCTAGGTATACGCTTGCTGTCTTGCAGTGGGCATCTTCGTAAAGCTCACCAACCGACCTCCGACCTAGGTGGTACAGGTCGGCACCGTACTATCATGCGCGGGGACGAAAAGCAGGAACGAGCAGCGCGTCTCTTCGACTCCTCCTCGTGGACCACGTCTATTCCTTTCGTGAACATGGCGGGCAGGACCAGGGAGAACGTTGCGCGTCTGCAGCGGCCGAACAAATGGGTTAAATGTAAGCGCGTTTTGCAATGCTCAAATTTACGAAGCTCATGCCATTGAAAGTTGGACTTATTACTCGGTACGTTTATCGTGGAATTCGGTTCCAGATCCCTCGCCAACGCTACAAGAGTCCTACTCGTGCCATTTGAAGCTGAATCTAAAGGATCATAATCGTGCTCTATTGACCATCGAGTAAGTGCTGCGCTTTATATCAGTTACAATGCTTGAAACTTCTCCTAGCCTCGCTCCCTCCGTTGTCGAATCCATCTCCCTCGATACTCCCGTCGTAATCTCTTGTAATCCTCCCATATCCTGGGTTTCCAACCCACTGCAACGTCCCTGTTGCGTTGTGCAGCCGAGGGTATATCTGTCACTCAGCTTTGGGAGAGGCATGACCGACCGGCTGGACAGAGGGCTCGTTGGCGGATGATGCGAGTGGAAAGAGCAAAAGTGCAGAGGAACGATCTGTGGCTCCGGATGAATCAGCTCGTAGAGAGAGTGAAGAGGCTCTTGGCCCGTCATAGAGTAAGATTTCCATTCTCGCCTCTGCGTTTCTCGTGGACTGATGAATGCAGTAGCATATCCCTCAGTCACGGGCGATGCGGCTCAAACAGTAGCTATATGGGCAACAGCAAGCAAACCGGCGCGATGCGAGAGGTCCTATGTTCGTATTTCTCCCGCATATATGCTAATACATAGCATGAGATATTGGCGTCT